TTCGTTGTCAGCGTTGCTGGAGATTCACTTATTACCATCCTAAGAGGCAATGCAATTATTAAAAACGTTGTGTGGGAAGAAAGTGATTCAGCTCCTATTGTTGGTGCTGATGCATTGGTTCCATACTCAGTGGACACAAACCTTTCGCTTCAGCGCATTGATGAAGACGAATTTGAGGTTGGCGCAGAGACTTATGCTCATCTAAGCAAGAGGGATATGGGCATTGTGCGTGTCCTAATATTTCTACCACCAAGGTATCACCTCCTCTTTTCGATGGAAGTAGGTTATGCCTCCACATTGGTCAGAATAAGAACCGATCATTGGCCATGTTTGGCATATGTCGACGAATACTTGGAAGCGTTGCTCTAACAGGGAGGATTTCTCTGGCCAAGAGTTTCAGTTTTGTACCTTATGTAACACTAAAGAGTATACAACGGGAGTTTTGTTTTTTTTTTGCCCCTCTTTTAATTTTTCTGTACCATGAAGAATGGGACAGCATTCTTTTTGTGGAATCGGTGCCAGGAGGTGTAACTTCGAGGAAAGGGCAATTTTGTTCATTGATATCATTAAGAACACGTGATTATATTCCGAAATTAAGTTCCCATTGCGTAACATCGTTCAATTTTGTTTCAGGCCAGCTAGTATGATGCTGGGCTTTTCTTTTGAGTTTTCTGTGAAGGTTCAGTTATTGATAGTTAATGTTCAATTGCAACAAATGTTTCTGGAAAACAAGATGCAAGAAACAAATTTTGGAGTAAATTAGAGATGCCAGAGTAACTGCAGGAAACTTCATGTCATCATAAACAAGTATTCTTCTGCTGGAAAAAAAGAACATTAAAGGCACAGATTCTTGTGCATCAATGACATTTTCGACTTGATATATTGCAAATGTCGTGAAGCAAAAACAGTACCATCATCTTCCAAGGATATGAAGTGCCACTCTCGCTGACAAAATGGCAAGTGCATTCTCTCTTGCCCCTTCATTCCAGAATCGGTCGTTATTTATACACAATGAAGGTAGAGAGAATTATAATACGCTCCTAGCTTGTGTAGTTAGCTATGAGGGACTCGATTGCTGAATCCTTAGCACGTACGTCTTTATAATGGATTCGATAGCCATGACCTGGAAAAGGAAAAAAAAAACTAGCAATCAGTGTTCAGTGACTTAGTTATGCCGTTTTAAAGGAAACAACAGAAACCAAATGCTAAGGCAGGGACTTTCTCATTTCCTAAGAAGCGCATACCAGGTAAAAACCACTCGAAGTCTAACTTCAACAATTTTCTCATGCTGTCCAGCTGCAAGCCCACTGCAGGTTTGTGCAACAGATGGATTAATCCTAGTCCTACTTTCAGCTAATGGTACAATTGCACATTTACCTTCAGTTAGAAAATCTAGGGAGGATTCTACCTGATTGCTTGCTGTACATAAGAAAGAGATCTAAATCATCAGATTCTTCTGATTTTGCAACATGATCTCCAGTGAAAAGCGCCTTTACTGGTTTGTAGAATAAGCAGACTGAACCCTGAAAAAAATGTTCCTTTTAATGAATGAACCCTATATATGCTGAAGAAGGTTAGATTGGTTGTCCAAATCTCAGTTTATGAGCTTTGGACAATTTTTGACAGAACATGTTCCTTCGTCTCTAAGGTTGAGGAAAATTTGGGACAGGATATGGTGATAATCCAATCTAATCTTTATGCGCAAAAATAGTGCACATATGACATATCTTGACCCTAATACTCTTTGTCTTTGATGTTGTATGTTTAAGGATGTTCCATCCAATCCAGAGAAGCCTTCCATACTGAAAGCTACAAGTAATTGCTCAAACAACTTCTTTCATTAAGTTGAACTTACTTCAGTATGACCTGGGGTATGGATAAGTTCGAAATCAGCTCCAATGTCCCATGGGCCATTTCCAGTAAGTTTCCACTCAACATCTGCAGTAACATCCTCTACCTGCATCAGCACAGTAATTGCAGTAAATATCAGGAGAAGTATCTGAGAGCAACATTCACTGGAGAAATAGGTAAATCAGACTCTACACTATGTTCATGTCATGCAAGCTCTGACACGATATAACTGTCCTCTCTGTACTGCTAATCAGTACTTGTACTGCAGGTTATAAAGTTTGACAGTGTTGATTGAGTACTCGATGAGGATCAGTCAGGACTCAGGAATAAGCGATGTCTTTCTAGGGTCAGACAGAAGGATGATCATGATTCTTTGAAATCGTTTGGATGAGGGTCTTACATCGCCCGAATGGATGATCCTCTCACATTTTAGCCGCTCAGCCCACTTCCTATGATCCGCGACATCATCCCTGTAAGTAACTCAATAGACGCTCTTCAATATCCAAAATAAAAGGGAGTGCGTTAAAAAAAGGCAATTAAAAAAGAGAACTATGTGATACAGCTTTAAGTCCGGAAATACATGTGGGTCAAAAACATGTAGCGTGCTCCACCAAGTTTTTCGATGTTCTCTGCCAGTTTCGTTGTATACCTTGGGCTGTAAAATCAGAAAATATCAGAAGACCTAGTGATAACCACATATAAACTGGACAATAAGATTTGGGAGAGATGATCTCCAATTTGTGAGGAAAAAAATGCTATCACATTGACCAGTACGCTGTGCTGAAATTGAATACTTATCAGCAGGAACACTAGCAATTAATGTATCTGATTACAACTTGATAATTTTTTTTGTCTGGAGATGGAAAGATGGGTACTTAGGGACATGAACAAATTCATAAGCTTATTGGAATTAACCTGTCAACTAGTATGTTTCCATCTGGATGGGTTAAAAGATAAGAAGTTGCTCCATATGAATCTTGAGAATGATAGCCACAGAGGTAAACACCCTGGAAGTTTTGAGCAGTGCAACAAGGATGAGTATGAATATAATTTAATTGAGATAAATTGGGTGAAATCCGGAATGAGGAGAGCAAGTGATACAGGGAGAAGATGATTGTCGATGGGGAGCGGGAACATGTTTTGCACTTGAAGAATGTCCTTTGCAGGTTTCTCGGTGTGAATGGAGGAAGTAGGACAGGAGAGCAGAGCCTGGACATCAATGGCAGGCATGGTTCAATTTTGCATTGAAATTCAGTAAAAGAGAGGCAGAGCTACCTGCAGGGCCTTGGTCCTGTGTTCGTCGGAGATGGGCTGCGCGGCGACGGCGGCTTTTCCGTCCACCCTCTTGAACACCTCCTGCAATTCAAATCACCATCACCAAGCAAAGCAGCTGAAGCATCAAGCATATGCATATATGAAAGACTAGTTACCGAAGCCATCCAGCGGCAGGTCTGGCAATCGATGCATCGGTGATCTGCAGCAAACAAACTCAACTGAAGCGCATCAGGAAGAGAAATTAAATGGAGACCGATTTCAGGTGCAGGGCTCGATCAGTGGCTCACCGACGAAGAAGTCGCCGGGGACGTTCTGCGGGCGGCGGCGTTGGAGTGCCGGAGAGGACGCCGAAGAGGCAACAGCTCGTGGTCGTCGCGGCGGCGGAGCAGCGACGGACGCTGGGGGGGCGAAGCGAAGGCTCATCATCAACGCCATGGCGGAACAGCAGCGTCAGCGACAGCGTGCGTGCTACAACTAGCAGCGTTCGCTCTGCGCAGGGCAGCAGATGCACAAAACGACCCTCACGACTGACGTCACAGCAAACGCCAACATCCACCAAAGTCAGAGGATCCGTTTCCCAACATCCTGCACGTACGGCTCGATTTTTTCCCTTTTTCTTTTCTTTCTTTTTTTTACTGAGTGCCCATTTTAACACTCGATCAATAATAAACTACTCTAGTTCTAGTATGAAATGAGTCTGTACCCATTATAGATATGTTTTTGAGATAAGTATTTGTTGATAACTTTTTGTGACAAGTAGACAAGCACGATCGCAACAACTAAACGCCTTGCAGTGATATGAAATCGCCAACCACCTCGATCTAGCCAAAAGGCTAAATCAAGATGGGTTTTATAGAAAAACAGCTAAATCGGCTAGCGGAGCCGATTTAGAGATCAAAATCAGCCTCTAGGCCGATTTAGATCGATATGAGGATAACTACCCGTCTCGTGGGCAAAACAGAAGGTTTTTAGGACAAACCTACAAAGAGGTGTCGCACTCTTGCAGCGGCGGCGGACGGTTTACGGCGCAAACCGACAAAGATGGACTAAACTAGGGTAAAATAGAAAACATAGTAAAAGAACGATTCAAGTAGATTGTATTCAGGGTATTACAATGAATCGGCCTTGCCCCTTAAATAGAGGTTGTTCTTGCCCTCTACAAGCCCTTCTCCACGTCCAACTCGGGATAGAAACCAAAGTAAACACGAAATATAGCTTTCCCGAGCAAGAAAACTCGAGACCCGAAGAGAGCTCGGACTCTGCCGGTCAGACCGGCCACACACCGCAGGTCTGACCGGCCCATTGTCGGCGGTCTGACCAGCCAACACACGCCGGTCAGACCGGCCCTCACAGAGGAAAACCGGCAGACTTCCAAACTTTGGCAAGTTTTCTTATTTTATCCCTAGATGTCAAATTTGGGTGTAAACAGTATTACTAGACTGTTAACCGGACCAGCTAGTATGATGCTGGGTTTTTCTTTTCAGTTCTCTCAAGGTTCAGTTATTGATAATTACGACCTGTTTGGTGCAAATGTTTTCGGAAGATAGGATGCAATAAATATGTTCTGGACTAAATTAGAGATGCTAGATCAGTTACTAACTTCATGTTGCCAAAAGATTCAGCGAAGCAACCGACCTCCACACCAATCAGTTGCCCGGATACTGATCTGGATGTCATTTTAGGAAACTTCGCATCGCAGCGAGCAATTTTCCCCTGTCAACTTGGGCCTGCCGCTTACTCTAGGGCATCTCAAGCATGTACACCTGCATTTTACTGACTACAATAGAAAATTTGGCAGGAAAGAAACAAGCGTCTTCCAAAGTAACGAATCATTCATACAACTAGTATGCAACCAAGTCCTGGACGAGATAAAATTTTGAAGCATGGGAGGTACCAAGATTTAGAGAAGATCATAGACATGGTGACAAACCTGTTTGCCATCATGGGTGTAAATTTTTACATTTCCTATATCGCCAATTTGTACATTGCTCCTTCTAAGATAAATAGAATGCCAGCCGCCTACGCTGGTCTTTCAAAAAAAAGTACATTTCCTCTTGGTCACTTAATTCCAGAATTGATCGTTATTTATGTACACTGAAGTCTGAAGGTAGAGAGAATTATAAGATGCCCCTAGCTTGTGTAGTTATAGCTATGAGGGACTCGATTGCTGAATCCTTAGCGTGTACATCTTTATAATGGATTCGATAGCCATGTCCTGGAAAAGGGAAAAAACTAGCAATCAGTGTTCAGTGACTCAATCATGCCGTTTTAAAGAAAACAACAGAAACTAAATGCTAAGGCAGGGACTTTCTCATTTCCTAAGAAGGTATACTCTATCCGCAATGCTTGAATGAGCGCATACCAGGTAAAAACCACTCGAAGTCTAACTTCAACAATTTTCTCATGCTGTCCAGTTGCAAGCTCACTGCAAATTTATGCAATAGATAGATTATTAATCCGATTTGTAAGCTAATTGTACAATTGCACAGTTATGTCCAGTTAGACAAAATCTAGGGAGGATTCTACCTGGTTGCCTGCTGTACATAAGAAAGAGATATAAATCATCAGATTCTTCTGATTTTGCAACGTGATCTCCAGTGAAAAGCGCCTTTACTGGTTTGTAGAACAAGCAGACCGAACCCTGAAAAAAAAATGCTCATTTTAATGAATGAACCCTGAAAAAAAATGCTCTTAATGTCCAACAACAGCGCACATATCTTTCACCCTGCTACTCTTTAGTGTTCTATGTTTAAGAATGTTTCACCCAATCCAGAGAAGCCTTCCATACTGAAGGCAACAAGTAATTGCTTAAACAACTTATTTCATTAAGTTGAACTTCTTACTTGGGTATGGCCAGGGGTATGGATAAGTTCGAAATCAGCTCCAATGTTCCAAGGACCATTGCCAGTAAGTTTCCGCTCAACATCTACGGTAGCACGCTCTACCTGCATGAGCATGGTAATTGCAGTAAAGAATATCAGGAGAGGCATCTGAGAGCAAAACTCGCTGGAAAAATAGGTAAGCTAGACTCTACACTAGTACATGTAGTGCAAACTATGAATAATTGTCCTCTACGTACTTCAAGTTATGAACTATAGGTAAAATTTGCTACAAAAAGATGCAATCGTTTGCATGAGGGTCTTACATCGCCCGAATGGATAATCCTCTCACATTTTAGCCGCTCAGCCCACTTCCTATGATCTGCTACATCATCCCTGTAAGTAACTCATTAGACGCTATTCAATATCCAAATAAAATATTTAAAATAAAGAAGCGGCGCATTCAGAAAAACAAAAAATAGATAAACATGTTATACAACTTTTAGTTCAAACATACCTGTGGGTCAAAAACATGTAGCGTGCTCCACCAAGTTCTTCGATGTTATTTGCCAGTTTCGTTGTATACCTTGGGCTAGAAAATCAGAAAAATATCAGAAGACCTACTGATAACCACATGTAAGCTGGACAAGAAGACTTGCTAGAGATGATCTCCAATTTGTGAAAAATGCTACCAATTTGTGAAATTGAATACTTGTCAGAAGGAAAACTATCAATGTATCCGATTGGAACTTGATAAGTTGTTTGTCTGGCCATGGCAAGATGGGTACTAGGGATATAAACAATTTAGTAAGTGCATTGGAATCTACCTGTCGACTAGTATGTTTCCATCTGGATGGGTTATAAGATAAGAAGTTGCTCCAAACGAGTCTTCAGAATGATAACCACAATGATAAACACCCTGGAAAGATTTGAGCAGTGCAGGATGGATGACATATATAACATGAGAGTATTAATTTAATTGAGATAAATTGGGTGAAATCCGGAATGAGGAGAGCAAGTCATACAGGGAGAAGATGAGTGTCGATGGGGAGGGGGAACATGTTTTGCACTTGAAGAATGTCTTTTGCAGGTTTCTCGGTGTGAATGGAGGCAGTAGGACAGGAGAGCAGAGCCTGGGCATCAATGGCAGGCATAGTTTAATTTTGCATTGAAATTCAGTAAAAGAGAGGCAGAGCTACCTGCAGGGCCTTGGTCCTGTGGTCGTCGGAGATGGGATGCGCGGCCACGGCGGCTTTTCCGTCCACCCTCTTGAACACCTCCTGCAATTCAATTCAATTCAAATCACCATCACCAAGCAAAGCAGCTGAAGCATCAAGCATATTATGCATATATGAAAGACTAGTTACCGGCGCCATCCAGCGGCAGGTCTGGCAGTCGATGCATCGGTGATCTGCAGCCAGACAGCGAATTACAAATTCAACTGAAGCAGCGCATAAATGGCGAGCGATTAATGATGAGTTTAGGTGCAGGGCTGACCGACGAAGAAGTCGCCGGGGACGTTCTGCGGGCGGCGGCCGCTGTCGAGTGCCGGGGAGGACGCCGAAGAGGCGCGGAACGAGGCAACAGCTCGTGGTGCAGCGGCGAAGAGAAGGCTCAGCGCCATGGACATGGATGGCGGTATCGTGAGTCCAATTGAGTTCCCAGGAGCATACATCCAAACAATCACTGACGTAGTGATGTCACAGCAAACACAACACATTTATCGACTTTTTCTGCAAGTGCCCAGCCGGTCCAGTTACACATTTTCACGCTTGGATCAAGAATTACCAACTGGCATCTACTGGTGCGTTGCAGTGCAGTAGAAAAGTCAGTTTGGTTTGTGGTTTGGCTTGGCTGACCCGCTGCATCCACCGCTAGGAATTTGGAACTTCCTAGCAAACTCTTTATGTCCTTTTAATAACCCCCACATGACATTTCTCCTTCCAATAGGATAGACCCTTTTCATATCATCACCAGATTAACTATCACCACACTTTTCTAACTGACCTTTTTATTAGTATTACTACAACAAAACACGCTTGATGGCGATGCATGCCTCATGACTATTCTGCTACAGTATATGCTTCTCCTTTCTTTTTTTTTTGTTTTAAGACTGATGATAGTCAATCAACTCAGCTGCCACTACTGGGGTATTTGTTGTGCAGGAAGGTGAGTGGCTGCAACCTCATCTCTGACTGAAGCTGCAGCTCCGACACTTTCTTCAGCGACCGATACTGCAGCCGTATGCTTTCCCCGCTATCAACCGCCTTCACAAGATACCTGCGATTCACCATTTGTAATTAGTTCTAAGTCGCAACAACTTCACATACATCTTCTTCCATCACCCCCAAAAATGCCATCTGTTTTTCAAAGCGAGCTATCCAAATGGACTCACCAGCCATTCAAGCACTGCGATGTGATGACTGCCTCCTTCCCAACAAATTTATCAGGCGTCCTTCTGTTTCCCTGCAAATGCTCTTAACGATAAGAATTCATTTCTGCCCTTTATTATTTCTTAGTAATGCAAGAGCCAAAAGCAACTGTGCTCCTTGTACCATGATCAGGACCCTCTCGCCCACTACAAATGGATACTGCACACCCCTGGGTGATGTAGGGTTTTCAGCATCCAACACCAGCTCACCATTGCCCTGATTAAAACAATGAAAGTAATTATTCAGATCCATGCACCACCATTGATTGCTTGAGGGTATGTTCACAATCACAGCCACAGCATTACGTACTCTGCTACCTCCAGTGCTCTTCAGCACATCCATACGTTCGGTCACCTCTTTCCTGTGTTTGCGAAGAGCAGCATTATGAAAGAGTCTCCTATCATCTTCCATCTTCACCACTGTAGCTACTGCTCTTAAAGCTATTATATCCAAAATACTAACAGCAGTACGTGAGCAGGTGAGACATAGATAATGCCAGTTTCGTGGAAGAAAATTAGTAGTCAGAAATATACCGAGATTAGGAAACAGGGTGGCCGGATCAACTTCTCCATTGCAAATGGTGCATCTTGCCTAATCATAGTAAAAATAGAAAAACTGGCATGATTGTTGGTGTCACCCCACTGGATCAGAAGATAAGTAAAATAGAAATGACTTGAAAATACACTTTTATTAAATATATGTCGCATAGTTATTGTAGAAACATAATCTATTGTTTTATGATATATGCTGTGTGAAATACAAGGAACTGCTTCAGGCGTAAAATACCTTTTTACAAGAATGTGCCATTGCTACTAAAAAGCACTCCTAAAGTCCTAATAGTCACAGTTCTCTGTTAAGTAGTACATTCCAGTTTTGGATAACCTACCGCTAGGGCCCTCTATTAAATAATAAAGAAGACATAAATAAATAATTTAATTTCAAACAAAAAACACAAATTTAGTGAACAATGCCAGTATCTGTGTTAAGGACAATAATCAAATTGAATTGCTAGTTGAAGCTAGTACATTGAAGAGTGCAATCTACAGTAAAAGAGAGAACTTTGCCCTCATAAGTTACAACAAGAGAATTAATAGCCATCTGGAAGCCTGAGTATGAAGTTTTTTGAAAAAATACCATTTCAATGACTTTCTTCAGCATGAGGCCACCGAAAGAGTGTCCACATAACAGAACCATAGCATCCTCAAGAAAAGCCCCACTGCAACAGACCAAATACCATTTCATCACCCGTGCTTGTTGTCTGACTGCGATGCGTAGTTAACTAAATAATATGGTGATGACATCCACACTAGTTTGGAAAAAAAAGGAACAAAACTTTATGTAGGTTTATATCAGTTATTCAATTTTGATTAAGCTAAGTAAAAATGTGCTCCTTCTCCCCTTCATTTTTGTATGTGTGCCTGATTGTCTATCACTCTGTCTCCCAGTCTCTCTCTCAAAGAAAATGGGGGCTAGCATATAACTTATAGGTAAATACATATGAAGAATGATCCATGCAGAATAAGACAATCTATACATATGACGTGGGCTTCTTTGATGAAGTGGTACATTCCGCAAGGAAAAACTTACGACAATGGATCTGATAGGACACTTCTGAGAGATGGTTCACTAATGAAGCTGCCCTGAGATTCCTGCAATCCAAATTTGGCAAGATATGAGCAATCCGGTAGTTTTGCGCACATGAGAAAGACACAATTACATGTACAGAAATCCTCTTGCTTTTTCAACATGTCACTTTCCCACTCTTAGAGAGTTGAGGTGTGCTTCTCTCATGCATCACTATAGCTGAATATGGATGTATGCCATGCATGCTATTGAATTGATGCGGTACTGGATTTATACTCACAGAAGGTGCTTCCGAATGATTCGAAACAGCACGTTCTTCAGCACACAAGTCATCCATAAATTGGCTTGCAGATATGGGTTGGTACATCTGGGGTACGCAGTGCCCAGCTGCTGCAATAGGAGAGCAATCCAGTATAGCATTGGCATGTGGCATTAGCCTAAAGGTGAGTGATGCTCTACAACAGCAAAGGAAATTGCAATAAGAAGTTTATCATATCAAATCATTCAGTAGCATCCATGTAGGGAAGTATACAAATATAACCACGAAAAAATGGAGGCGAAATGAGATGATGAAACCATCAGTTGTTACCATAGTACTGACCTAGTCTCATTTGTGATCCTGTAGCGAGAAGTTGGGCGCAAACCAGCAGTAACATGGCTAAGTGCCCTTCCAGTCAGAAGCAACAGGTCACCAGGCCCTGAAATGCCATCTGCTAGGTACCATTGGCCATTTGGGTCACAAACCTACCAGAGAAGTAGCTAAACAATGTGAACTAGAGGCCAGGCAGCACTTATAGGCTAATTCACTGAATAAAACTGAAATGTGTCGACCAGAATAGCAGGGAGAAAAGATGAGCTAAAAAGCATAAATAAACTAAGAAAACAGTAATGTATTTCAAGGAAAACTAAAACCAATAAAGGTTAAAAAAAATTGAACTTTGCACAGTTGTTACATGGATACCTCAATTCCTGGATGATCAGAAGCAATGAGCACAAGGAAGCCCCTGTCAACTTGAGGCACTGAAGAGCCGAGACAGGCAGTAGAAGAAGCATGATCGGTGTGGAGGTGTTGGTTGGAATAAGCCACCAGCAACTCCGAGGATGAGACCTCATTAACAGGCAATGGAGTATCATCGAGCAAGTGGTCGAATACACTGGAAAATGTATAGAGACCAACTCAATTGTGAGTAAGTGTGAAGAGCAAGATGTTACTAGTCATAGATGAAGGGATTAAAAAAACAGGCATTGCATTGTATTTGTACTTACTTGGTACGAAGTCGGAGATGGCGAGCAATCGCAGAGAGAGCAGCGCGGGCAGCCTCACCGAAACACCTGAAGGCGTCGTCCATGCAAGCAGGGACCAGGTCGCCGCCGCCGTCATCGGATGTCCTACTGCGATTCAGAGGAGAGCGATTGAGATTGAGAAATTCAGAATGGAAGGCAGAAGAGAGAATTCCTAAACCTTGCGCTGCCCCCTGCGCGGTAGAGGTAGAAGGCGGGTTGGTCGTTGGCGCGGAAGAAGGCGCGAGCGGATTGGAGGGCGCAGCGGAGGATGGCGGCGTGGGCGTCGGGGAGGTCGAGGAGGGCGGCGCCGTGGCGGGTGAGGGAGGCGGAGAGGGCATGGACGGCGCGGCCGTAGGCGGGGGTCGCGGCGCCATCGTAGGGCGCCAGGTCGTGGAGGCGCACCCTGGCGAGTCGCCCGCTGCTGCTAGCGGCGGCGGGAGGTGGGGAGGAGGCCGCCATGAGCATGGGAGTGGGAGGAGCTCATGGTGGCTACTGTTCCGCCATCTCCGCCTCCCTCCACTCCACAGCGTCTAGTGCTCCTCAACCTGCAAGCCTGCAAAAGACCCCGACCCCCAATGCTACGACTGTTTTACTGATTTCTTTGTGAACAACAGAAAGATTTTTCTTTTTCTCTTTTCAGAAACAAAAATGAATTTGAGTCTCAATGAAGTTCATCAATCACGAAAACATATTACTACCTCCATTCTAAAATAATTTTTTTGTTTGTAACATTTGACCATTCATCTTATTCAAAAGATCATGAAATTATTATTTATTTTATTTGTGACTTGCTTTATTATTATAAAAAAAACTTTAAGTATGACTTATTATTTTTATATTTGCACTAATTTTTAAATAAGATGAATGATCAAACATTATAAAAAAAAATCAAAACGACATCTAATTTAGAACGGAGGAGTACTATAATATATTTTTATTAAGGCATATATACAGTCTTTAAATAAGGTAAATTGCTTTTTTTGCTATACATATATTTCGAAGTGTTGATAAGATTAAAATACTATGTAAATATTTGTCAAGACACTGTATATGTACTACATGATTTTGTATATGCAATTGAAATATATGTATTTTCATAATAAAATGTTGATGACCAAAGTTAATTATATAGGAGGAGTATATGGTTATATTGTACTCCTCTGTCATAAAGATAAGTTCATTTTTCACACATCCCACACATATACTAACATAAGAAAAACCCCAGAAAATTCATACTTTATCCCATCCCAATATAATTATTCTTCGTTTTATGTACTTCTAATATAATTATTTCTTATATTACTTTCACAAATTTTGATACAATGATGATTACTTAAAATAAACTTATTTTAGGATAAATGGAAGGAGTCAAAAAAATAAATTTATTATGAAACGAAAGAGTATGTGACAGTTTGTTAAGGTTTTTTGACATGTATGTATGTGTGGTACCTGCATATTACTCCTACGTATGTATGTTGATCGATCTCTTCCCATCCTACTAGAAAAGGGTAAGGGAGACCGAATCGACGGAGTCGGGGTGGGTGGAGATGCAGAGAGAGAGGCGGTTTGTTACTACGTAATACGTGTATATATCTATAAAACCAACGTAGTAATAATAGAAGTAATAACAGATTAAAGAGAAGATCGAACACGAAGAGGAAGGAGCCCTCTGCTTCTTCCTTCAATTCCTTGGTGCATTGTGATTGTGTTGTGCACGCGAGCGAGAGATCGAGGCCGCCGCCACGCCATGGACAGCGCGGTGGACTCGATGGAAGCGGAGTACGACGCCCTCCTGGACGCCGTGGCCGCCTTCATCGCCGAGCCCGTCCGCACCACGGGGGCCATCCAGGACCTCAAGAACCGCATCGACGCCTTCTATGCCTCCTGCGATCGTGCCGACGACCTCGTCCGCGCCGCCGCCGATCGGGTCGCCTTCAACGCCACCGGCAACGCCCACGTTCCTCCTCCTCCTGCCGCTGCTCCTCCTTCGCCTGGGACAGGCACCACCAGGATCGACGCGCTGCTGCGCGCCGTGGAGGGCATTGCCCACCACGATCATCCTCCTCTCCAGGCCAAGGCCAAGGCCGCAGCCGGTGACCAACACCACAACTTATCTTAGTTTCCTTCCCTTTCTTTTTAGCGCTGGATATACTTAGATTGATTCTGCTTAATTGTCTTTACTTTGCAATGTAATAATGCCAATACGTTCCTTCAATTAAGAGCATTTGAATTTGAATCGAAAACTCACTGCATCTATTATATTTATTTATTTATGCGTATTGAAGACAATAAGGTTGGATGGTGTGCTTTTATCAAAGTCTGTTTCTTAGTAAACCCTTATAGTATACTGTAATTAAAAGCCTCTTTCTGGCTTGATACGACACAAGTCTAATTAAGATTTTGACTACCTTTTGAGACAGCAGTGACATCACTCTAAAACAGTTGTATGTATATAGTATGGCAGGTTCAAAGGTGGTTAGGTCAATAAATGATTTTATTATTAGGGGTAAAATAACTTACTCTACAATAGGTATTTGTCTGAGAGAATAGTGGAGAAATTGAACCACAGCCACACAAAAGACGGCTCAAAAGAAGACAAAAACAAGATAATAATGTGACGTGCAGGTTATTGTCAAAGCCATATAAATACTTGCTCCTAATACTCCATATCCATTATTGGAGGAAACTAAGAAAGCAGGCAAAGGAAAGATGCAGAGAAATGAAAGAAAAGCAACAGCAAGATTTGACACCCAGTGGTCATATAGGCAGCACACAGGGAATGCAGAGTACCTGCTGCGACGAGCCACTGTCACGCTGTCTCTCTGTATTTTGTAGCACGAGCAAGTGAGAGCTTGCCGACGATGCCCGACACAACAACTTAATATGGAACATGATGGTCAGCACGAGCAATTTAGCATTGGCAAGAAGCGACTTGCAAACATAACATGAAATTATATGATAACAACCTACAACCAGCCAAAAAAAAAAAGTATATGCATACAAGATATTCTATCCCATATGAACAATGAGCATGCCAATAGTGAAGACACATGAAAAGGGAAAAAAAGGAGACACTTACCAGTGGCTCGATGTTATCCACTTCAAACGTAGACTCCCACCAACATCAGCAGTAGCAGGCACCTCTGCAATCCAATCAGCACAGTTGGACGCACCCGACCGGCTGCAAGATGCAACTTCAGTATCACTCATTCATGTCAGTTCTCAACTTGAGGGACTATAACTGGTAATAAGTCGGTAAAGGGTGCCTGCCAACCAATGCAATAACCTGAAGAACCTCAGCACTCCATACAGATACAGCCAAAGTCATGTCACACGATCGTCAAGCTGAACTTGTCCCTTATGTTCACAATTATGCTCGACTCTTCTCAGAATAGCATCTTGTAATTCAGCTGGTGAAAACAATTCGTACAACATAACAAACTTGCACATCCAGACGGCAGATTAATACAACACCACATTCTGTAACATCATTGTTCAGGCAAGCAGATGGAGTAACCAAACAGAAAACAGTACATAGAGCATCTTCATCCAACAATTATAACAGTGATGATGATGACTAATCTGTATTATTTTTTGGGTTATTCACATAAAGATATAGAGGATTGAAATGTACCAAGTTTGAGATAAATTAAGATAAGGAACTGGAAAGAGTTGCATCATATGTGATCATTCAAGTTACATGGTCTACACGGTAAACCACCAAAGAGTAGTACCTGTATTTGTTCGAAATGCAAATACCTCATATGGAAAATAATCTTATGCGCTAAACGGAACGAAAGGCTAGATAGAGTTGGCCACAAGCGCACAAAAGACATGCAATCAGACAATGGATTTGAAGTGTAAAATAATCGTCTAACTGACATTCTGATTGTGCCATCCATCATTCCTAGCAGTTAGGCTTTCTTATCAGTAGGCTCGAACGAAAATTCAGCCTCAACCTTCTTCCACTCCTCCTTGGCGTCACCCTTGACAACTTTCCTCATCGCCATGGCAACCTCCTTGGCATGTTTGGCCTTCCTGCTCTTGAGCAATCCTTTGATCAGTCCTTGTACAGCTTGGAACGGCGGCGCCCACTTGTTCTGCAGGCATTCCTTGAACACCTCCAATGCAGGAGCAAACACACCCTTGTTGACTAGCCCCTCAAGCAACATAATGTAGGTCTCAGAGTTGGGCAGCACCCCCTTTCCGTTCGGCCTCGGCACCTCTGGCATCCTCTTGAATATCGCGACGGCAGCACCCACCTCCCCCTCCTTGCAGAGCCCCTGGATGACGGTGTTGAAGCTCCCACGGTTGGGTGGGACGCCCTTTGCCTCCATAGCATCCAGCAGCTCGGCAGCCTCAAAGCTCCTCCCTTTGGAGCACAGCGAAGCCATGCGGAGGTTGTAGGTGCTCACGTTGGGCTTGAGTCGCCTCTTGCCACCCGCGGCAGTGGTGTTATCCTTGAGGAATTGATCAAAGGCGGCGTAATCGGCCGCGTTGAGGTAGCCCTTGAGGATCTCGTTGCAGGAGACAATGTCTGGCTCGACGTCAGCCTTGGAAGGCATTTCATCGAACAGGGCGCGGGCGGAGGCGAGGTCGCCACTGGCAACAAAGGACTTGAGAAGGACGTTGTGAGAGACGACGCTGGGCTTGATGCCGAGCTCGGCGGGGAGAGTGCGGAAGGCTTGGATGGCGCGGTCGTAGAGGCGGTTGTCGTGGTAGGCGGAGAGGAGAGCGGAGAGGGCGCGGTCGGAGGGCGGGGTGACGATGCGGAAGGTGGAGAGGGAGTGGTCGGGCATGCCGGCGGCGGAGTAGAGGGAGATGAGGCGGATGAGGAAGCCCTCGGAGGGGTGGGGCGCGGGGAGGGAGGTGAGGGAGGAGGAGAGGATGGAGGCGACGAGGTCGCGGCGGCCGGCAGAGGCGAGGCGGTGGACGGAGAGGGTAAAGATGGGGCGGTCGGCGAGGAAGGCCGGGTGGGAGAGGCCGGAGATGAAGAGGTCGGCGAGGGCTTCCGGGGTGTGGGCGGCGCTGCGAATGGAGTTCTTGAGGGTGGCGAGGTCGGCGGGGGTTTGCGTCTGTGACTGTGTCTGGGTGGAGAGGAAGCGCATGAGGAGTTGGCGGCGGAGGAGGAGGGCCGGGGCGGGGCCAGCAGCGAGGCTCCGGCGAAGGGCGGCGGCGGCGGCCATTGGCGGAAGGAAGGGGTTTGTCTCTCTTGTTCGATGGTGCAGGGGAGAGACGAGAGAGTTGGAGGGTTTAGACTAGCTAGTTGGGCCTCAAATGGACCTGCAGTTTAGTCCACAAACACAAGTAACTCACTGGGCCGAAACTGGGCCTTCCCGTGATAGATAGTCAAGTGACAGATCGAACGGCGCATATTTGCTGTGAACAATCCAGCGGCGCATCTACGTCCTACTCTACCTGAGCACTGGAGGAAGAGCCGAGGATGAAGAAGATAACACGAGGCATCATCAGTGATCAAGTTGAAGTACATACTAATGTATTGAGGAGCGAGAGAGTGATGGTACGTCGAGCCGAAGCAAATAAGTAGAGGATCGAGCATAATTAACGATCGGTGTCGGTGGAGCTGAAGCTAGCAAGAAGCAGCACAAGACAATGCAGAGAGGATGAATCTTGAGGTAATTAATAAGTGGCCGTACATACAATTCCAAGAGTGTGAATGTGTGATCGATCGTTGAGCTGAAGCTGAAGCAAATACATGAAGGAATTAAGGAGCAAGGTAGCTAATTAACGATCGATCCATCGAGAATTCGAGATGGCGATGAAGTATAAATAAATAAATAGAAGGGATTATATTATTTGTAGATCCACTCGTTGGAGCGGGCGCCGGAGTCGTCGGTGGGCATGTCGATGAAGATGCTGACGGCCTTGCCGATGCGGGGGCGGTCCTTGAGCTTGGCGAGGGAGGAGCGGACGTGGGCGACGGCGCCCCAGCAGCGGAGGGAGGCGGCGACGTCGTCGAGGCGGAGCAGGTACTCCTCCTCCGTCAGCGGGAAGGACCGCTGCTCCCGGTACTTCCACATGACGTTCATGGCCAGCAGGTTCCGCCCCATGAACTCCTTCTTTATCAGCGTCACGTCGTACGACCTCCCGTACTTGCTCCTTATCAGCGCCGCCAGGTCCGCCCCGCTGAACGTCGCGTCCTCCGGTCCACCCACCAACCGCTCCAGCTCCTCCCGACGCCTCTTCTCCTCCTCCTCCTCGTCCTTGCCGCTCGTCGATTCACCTGCGCCGTCGCCCACGGCCCGGATAACCGCCACCACCCTCCTCCTGCTGCTGCTGCTCTTCCTGACGCTGCCGCTGCTCATCACCACATATCTCCCTCTACTCTCACCTCCTTGTCGTCGCTGCCATATGCTATGTATCTGCCCCGGTTGGATGCTGCTGCTCGACACCATATTCATCATCGCCACCCCCGCCCTACCTGCCACTGCGAATAACTCATTCATTTTCCCATTGATTGATTCATTCATTGATGAGCAACTGCATCAACAACAAAATTAAGCGAGCGAGAGAGAACTCCCTCTTTCAAACATATATAATGGAATATTATATTGATCCCCGAGCAAGCAAGCATGTATATAGTATCTGGAAATTAATGGAGTAATTAAGAAACAATCGCAACGAATTAATTACCTTTGAAACAAGAATATATGTTGCGAGGATCGGAGCAAAATATTGCTGGATCCTACCTTCGGCCTGCAGTCATTTACAGCTTTGAATACGAAAGATGAGAGAAGAAGGAAGATTAAGAAGATCTGAGCAAGAGGAAGGTAAGTTCGAATAGAAGAAGCAGCAGAAGCAGAAGCAGAAGCAGGAGAAGAGAAGAGAAGCGGCCTGTGGGCTCCAACTATTCTACCACTCCTCATTTTGTGAGGTCCCTAGCGAGACACAGGGCAGACAGCGAGAGACCGGCTTCTCTTATGTGGTTGTCAAGACGGATGAAACACCAGCACCACATTTTTTTTCCCAATAAATTCCTTCCAGGATTTCTTTACCCTTTTTTTTCTCTTATTTTGGTTTTATGGTCCCGATTTTTGCTGTATATATTCAAATGATAATAGCGCCATTCCCCAAATAAGAAATTGCTCTCCTTCAAGGGAAAAGAAAAAAAAAGTGTGGATTACTTAACAGGCTGATCATACACATTTTAGAGACACCAACCGTTCGGTCAGTGCCGGCGTCCCGATTTGTTTACTATAGTAATTAATAGTCTCAGAATTAAATACTTAGTAAATGGAAACTGATATTTATGAAAATAAGAAGGACGCTGTTTTGTGAAACGTCCATGTATGGACGTTGTTCACAACAACGTCCAGCTGAGGACGCTCTTTGTAACGGCGTCCACGACCTGCATGCTGCTCCATCGCCGACTAGCTAGACTCTCGTATAAGCTTGGGCTTGCTTCGCTGCCTACAGCAGTCCTCGTAATTCCTCTCTCGTTCAAATCGTGACCTTTATAGTCTCAGTACGCCGCTGAGGCTTGCCGCAACTAGCCGCCCTCGTTGTTTTTCGTCACATCCCTTGTGTCTCCGGCGGTGTGGCCTGGCGAGACCAGTCGTGGGCTTTCTCGGTGAGGTCCAAGCTCTCCTCTCCTTCTATCAATTCATCGCGGCAGCGCTGTCCTCGCTCCATCACTCCAAGCGACTATGCTCATCGATCGGCTTATCATGAACAATGATGATGTGCCATTTGGAGCAGCACGGGTGTCGTAAACCAAATTAAAATACCAAACTAACATGTAGTAAGAAAACCTGACAATAGCATCCATGCGGACATATATAGCTAGGAACACATGTTTCATACAAGTTAATGTTTAGTCATGTAATAGGGGTGCATAATAGACAAATAGTCAGTTGATCTGCTTTAGTTTTGCAGCACATGAACATATACGTATATACGAATCTTGCTAATGGATTCACTTTGGAATAAGAAAAACGAAAATCTATCGAGGGCGCCTACAAAATGGAGGAGATTGGGGGAAGGGGATGTCATCACCGAGTGTAAGTGTGCCACACATAACGCTGGCTTCTACAAGTAACGTAGCTCTTCTTGAAATCTTGAGGTGGATGGCGATCGATTGTCTTACCCCTGTACATTTGAAAAGGCTGCAGCGCCATTACCTATCCCTGACGCGAGCATATGAGAAGGGCACACGCCACACCCCTGGATGGCTGCCTGCCCAAATCACTAGAGGCAGCGTTAGTGCGGTAAGGAAGCACCGCGGCAGTCAAGACATACAGGAAGAAGCTGCTAGGCTGCACCATGGGAGGACGTGGTTAGGAAGAGCGTCCACACTCGGACGTTGTTCCCAGCAGCGTCCATCACTGGATGTCCTAGTAGATAACGTCCATTCTATTTTCCTAAATCCCCTCCATGATTTACTACTTATTTAATTTCAAGGATAATAATTACCATAAATAAAAAATTCGGGCCGGCGTCTGTCCGACTGCGTGCAAACGTGCAATATTCCCCTAAAAAGTTACAGTTTTACAAGGGAAAAACTCCACATTCCAACAAGCAAGCAGGCAACATTGCAGGTTTGCACTCAACAATCGGTTAGTTATCTCCACACAAACTTGGAACACGTTACAATTGTACATGGAATTGAGTAGAAAAGAAGCTGCCTTGCACGCTACTGGCACTGCATACAGATTAACACACACACACACACACACACACACACAGACAGAGAAACACACAGGAACAACCTCTCCTCTTGCACCCACAATACAGACATCCAAAGCTCTGTCCTTTTGAACCCATAACACATTGAAAGCACTACTTATGTGCAGACAAGCAGCCCTTAACTGCACTTACTAGTTGAAAACGGATGGATTGGTTGTTGCGCTGCTCACTTGAACCTCAAGCACCTCCAGTTTCCGCTCTAGGATGTCCAGCTTCTCATTCAAGGACGCAAGTTTGCTCTTCGTAGTAGCTTCTGCACAAATGCATACAAACCTGTGTAAGCATATTAGTTAACTTGAATAAACATGCATGCATAAGATATGCTACCCCCAGTCCACTCTGTTTTGCTGACATGCTCGAGTTCCTAATCAACATGGAGCGATTATGTTGTGAATGCATCTTGTTTGGAGCAAAAATGGAAGGTATGATAGTTACCAGTGCCTTAATCCGGACCATATTGAAAAGGTTCAATATGCATTCTGGACTAAATGTATACACGGAGGGCAAAGTACAGAACACATATATTCTGCACAGTAATGTTCAAGGTATCTTTCAAGCTTTGTTTTTGACAGTGGTTTAATGGACATAATAAGAAGCATACAGGGCTTGGAAAAGCACCAAGCCAATCCCTCCTTTCCAAGTAACAACTACTCCACAATTATGCAAAATTTTAGATAATGACAATTGTGCAAATCAGACTGACTAGAACATAGTCACTGGAGTAGTTGGCTGGCCAACAGGAAATATGCTGTCTTGTCAATGGAAGCTTAACTAACGTTGATTTAATAAGCTTATAGTCCAGAGAATTCATATCGTAGAAAAGATTTAAGAACAATTAAAGGTCTATATCCAGTAACACCGTTACTGAACTGAATTTCCGAATATGCTTAAGTTAGTTTGTTTGGTGTGACGCTGGCAGCTGTTGGAAGGGCAGAAGAAAGGCTTGATTTATAGATACTGTGTTGACAATGGCAGAAACAAGTTCAGATTAGAAGGGAGGCAGAATGGGTTTAGAGTTGATGGTACTAGTGTACATGGGTGAGGTAGAGCACATTTGTGGAAGGCAGGGAGAGTGGAAATGAAATTTTGGTTGGTGCATATGCATAGCTGTGTCGCCAAGACTAATGGAAATGTGGAAGCCCAGTTAGGGAAGGAGCAAGGCAGATCTAGTAGTAGAAAGGAAAAAGGGTAATGCAGATCCAGAGAAATGTGGCTATGCCTGAGTAGAGGAAGCAGAAATAAATGTGAATCCAGTGCAGGTCCATGGAGGAATTATGGGAAGGATAAGGAGGAAGAGGTAGGAAGAGAAAAAACGGACCGAATCGGAGGAGGAAGTCGAAGAGGCGACGGACGTTGAGGGAGATGTTGGAGATGAACTCGCGGTTCTCCCAGTCCGCCTGCACCGCGATCCCCACGTTCACCGGGTTCCCCATCCCATGCCCGCCCGCGCGAGCCATCTCCCCCTCCCGATCGATCGATTAATTACCTGCTTCTTCTTGGATTCCTCCCTCCCCCGATTCACCTCACCTACTCTACTCCTCCTCGCCGCCGCCGCCGCTGCTGCTCGTGACGTGACGTGCTGGTGTCGTCCCCTCCTCATCTTCATTCTCCCGCAACTCCGAGTGGCATCTGTTGGGCTGGGCCGGCATGCATGAGTTAGCCCACGCACATGAGCTTGAACAAATTCGGCCCAGTTTTTCTTTTCCCCCACTACTTTCATTTCCTTTCCTTCGACCTGGAGCAGGGGAGCTGCTTGTTTGCTGGCTCTGGCTCGGTCTGGATGGTGGCGCCGCCGGCGGCACTGCATCTGCTACTGTCCCGCCCTTGGCTGACCGCCGCGCAGCTCCGGCAGGCCCACGCCCACCTGGTCGTCTCCTCGCTCCTAGCCGACCGCTTCTTCCCCAACTCGCTCCTCCGCTCCCTCCTCCCGCCCTCCCACTCCCACTCCCCGCTGCGCGCCCTCCGCCTCTTCCCGCGCCTCCGCCGCATCATCGCTACCAATCCCTTCTTCCCCAACGCCTACACCTTCTCCTTCCTCCTCACCGCCTCCGCCTCCCTCGCTCCTCTTCCCCACGCCGCCTCGCCGCGCGTCCTCGTAGAATCGCTCCACGCCCTCGCCATCCTCGTCGCCTGCGACGCCCACGCCTACGTCTCCAACGGCCTCATCCACGCCTACGCCTCCTGCGCCCTCCTCTGCTCCGCCCGCCGCGTCTTCGATGTCAACGTCTCCTGCAGGGACGTCTGCTCCTGGACCTCGCTCCTCACCGCCTACGGCAGGGCCGCCCGCCTCCACCACGCGCGCGCCCTGTTCGACGCAATGCCCCACAAAACCACCATCGCCTGGGCCGCCATCCTCAGCGCCTACGTCGGCGCCGGGAGCTTCGCGGAGGCCGTCGACGTGTTCCAGGAGATGCTCAGGGCCCGCGTGCGCCCCAACAGGGCGGTCATCCTCAGCGTGCTGGCCGCGTGCGGGGCGCTCGGGGCGCTGGAGCAAGGGCGGTGGGTGCACGCCCACCTGGTTGCCGCCCACGGCGCGATGGCCAAGGACGGGATGGTGGCCACGGCGCTGGTGGACATGTACGCCAAGTGCGGGAGCCTCGAGACGGCGAGGCAGGTGTTCTCGGGCATGGCGGAGAGGGACGTGTTCGCGTACACGGCCATGGTCTCGGGCCTGTCGGACCACGGCCGCTGCGTGGAGGCCATCGAGCTGTTCGGGCGGATGCAGGAGGAAGGGGTGCGGCCCAACGAGGTGACCTTCATCTGCGTGCTGAGCGCGTGCGGGAGGGCGGGGCTGGTCGGGCGCGCGAGGGAGATCCTGGGGAGCATGTCGGCGGTGCACGGCATGGAGGCCGGCGTGGAGCACTACGGCAGCATGGTGGACGTGCTGGGGCGGGCGGGGATGGTGGAGGAGGCCCTGGAGGTGGTGCGGAGGATGCCGATGAGGCCCGACTCGTACGTGCTGGGGGCGCTGCTGAACGCGTGCGTGGCGCGCGGGGACACGGAGGGCGGGGAGGAGGTGGCGGCGATGATGGCGGAGCTGGGGCTGGACGACCGCAGCGGGGTGCAGGTGCAGCTGTCGAACCTGTACGCGGGGCGGGGGAAGTGGGAGGAGGTGGTGGGCGTGCGGAGGGGGATGGAGGAGAGGAAGGTGGTCAAGGTGCCAGGGTGCAGCATGGTGGAGGTGGACGGCGTCGCCAGAGAGTTCGTCGCCGGCGACCGGTCGCACGAGGCGTGGATCATAGACGTCGCCGAGCAGCTGGAGCGGATGCTCGCCCACCACTGACTCCCGTCCGTCTCTCAGCTTCCTCCGTCAATTTTTAGATTCGACTGAGACGCTGAGCTCATCCGTCCATCCATGAGAGTTGTACGTATAACTCTTTTTTCACTATGACCAAGGAGAACACTAACTCCTCCGATCCATTTATTCATCGAGGCACAAACAAAATAAGTTCAACTCTTGTGGAAAAACTAAGAAACATTATACAAACATTATACGTACAGCTCTTGTGGATGGAGGGAGTACGATTCAGTGACTCTTCCGGTGGGATATGTGCCTCATAAATCAAGAAACGTATTAGTTCATTGTTGTAAATCTGTATCGTGTAAGACCACAATGTTAAAGAGAGAAACAACGGAGTGAACGGCAAGAAGCAGCGATGATCATTATATAATGGTTGTGCACAGCAACTTGTTTTTCATGTTGTAAGCAGGACACGGCACTTTTAGCGTGTTGCTGATATGCCATCAATCAATAACATCTTACAAGCCGTTTTCGCAAGTTAAAAGAAAAAAGAAGGGGACAATCGAGCATGAGTTATCACAATGCAGCAACAGGTAGCAAGCCGTTGTGCCTGAGCAGAGCTTCCGGTGATGGCTCCCGTCCGCGGAAAGACACAAACACCTGCATTTTCATTTCCAGAGTTAGCGTACGTCGTCTTATTCCACATAAGTTAGTGCAAACTATGCCCTTTACATACGCTTATTGCACAAATAAAGCATCCATGTCAAGAGATGCTGTCAAAGGCACCAGAAGCCTACCTCGAGTGGAGATTTTCCACCTCCAAGCGCAAGGACTGTTTCTCTGAATCGTCTGCCAGTTTCCTCAATTGCCTAGATAAAGTCATAGCTAGAGTCAATATCATTGATTTTTATATCCTTTCTGTATTCTATGTGCCACACATTGTTTTGTAGGGCAAAATATACGTTTGGCCAAATAAACAAATTAAGTTAAGAAAATGACTACTAAACAAGTCATTTTGACACATCCAGAGCACCTCCCTGGATGGGGGAAAACAAGAAAAACTGTACCTTCTCATTGTCCAAACCAACGTCTTCAAATGCTGAGAATGCATCAGCTGACAATACTTCAGCCCACTGTGCACATAGAAAAGATACTAGTTTCAGCATACTCATATGCCACAGAAGGAACGTAATGTTTTAAACGTTTACAGCAATATACCTTGTAACTGTAGTATCCAGCTGCATAGCCTCCTGCAGATTGTCAATAAAAAAAATAGTGAGATCTGCAGTCAAATAAATGAATGAATGTACATGTAGGTTAAAGCATTGCAAACCTGCAAATATATGGCTAAAGCTGCACAGGAATTTATCCTCCGGAAGAGGAGCAAGAACCTGTGTTCGCTCAGCAACTCTTCGGTCGACATCATATATGGACAATGAACCATTTGGATCGTAAGTCGTATGCAGCTCCATGTCCACACTAGCAAAACGTATCTGCAGAAGGGATGGCAAGGATTAGCCATTTAGAAAGAACATAGGCATAAAGGAAGCATAAATTACTTCATACACTTGTTAGATATTAGTGTGATGTGTGTATGTGACCATGACCTATACACAATACAGACAAAAATAAAATATAAAACATACCTGACGTAAACTGAAGGTGCCAGCACGGAAATTCTTTGCAGCGACAAGCTTTGCATAAATTTCCTCTGGAAGAAGTTCGCCTGTTTCATAATGCTTTGCAATGCTCAAAAGAGTATTCCTGGCACCAACAAAACAACTGTTTAACAAACAGGTTCAAGGCTACAAGTTAAAAAAACAAAATGATACAGATCCATCTTACTTGTGGTAGCACCAGTTCTCCATGAACTGAGAGGGCAGCTCTACAGCATCCCATTCTACTCCACGAATACCAGAAACAAATCCTTCATCTTGTTTGGTAAGCATGTGCTGCAGCGCATGACCAAATTCATGGAACACAGTTTCAACCTACAAAAGACACATGCCAAAAAAAAAAGAAATTACCCTCATAATCAGTATAGCACTACTTAATTGATATGGAAGCAGGTGTGTCACAATCTTCAGGTGAATTTGATAATTACTGATGCTCTCATCAGTACTTTAGTGTACAGTTTTCCACATATTGATGTAACAGAATACTCATACATTGGAGACTATCTGGAATAATTTACCATTGCCATATTTATTATTGCTTACCTCACGGAAGGTCATAAGACTGGGTTTATCACCAACTGGTGGGGTCTGATTACACACCATATGGGCAACAGGAAGCCTGACAGGTGAACCATTGCGAGCAAGCACACGACTGCGAGAAAAAACCACATTCATCCAAGCCCCTCCACGCTTCTCAGATGGTCTTGAATATGGATCGAAGTAGAAATAAGCAACAGGGCTATTCGAAGAATCTTTGACACAGTAAAATTTGACATCACTATTCCAAACCTGAAAAAGGTAACTCAGTGGTCAATAGCTGCAGAACATTAACATATAGTTTGCTGAAGAAAAGAAAACAACTGCTTACAGGAGCCAGTCCATCTGCAGGCTCTACGCTAACACCAAAGAGCCTATTTGCGAGACTGAAGAGGCCATCCATAACCTTGGGTAGTGCAAAGTAAGGACGCAAATCTTCCTGCAGTAGCAATGCTAGAAATCAACTCAATGGCCCATCATCACAACAGGAGCACATTTAATAGAGTTCAGCTCAACGTATATATGGACAAAACAGTAACCCATCACAGTTTAGCCATCAAAACAGTACTGATCATAAGAAATCCATTAAACATTTCTAGAGAGCAAAGAAAGAACCTCGTTGATATCATATTTAGATTCCCGGAGTCGTTCACTCCAGAAGCTTAGGTCCCAGTGAGCCAGGTCATTGGCTTCTGGAGAAGCAGACTCTTTAGCAAAGGCTTTTAGATCTTCCATATCTGCACACAGAAACCAACAGCTAAGATATTCGAACCTCAAAAGATGCCTACTCCTTATAGAATATGCCACAAAAATTTGCTCACACTAAGACAGGTATGTATGAAAACAAAGATGATACATAAATAACACAAGAGAAATACAAAGAAGATACTCAATAATTTGATTGGCTACCTTTAACAGCATGATCCCAGGAGGCAGCACGGAGTTTCTCAAGAAGCTCTTCTACACGGTCAACAGTTGCCATTTTCTGAGCCATGCTTACCTTCAGGATTTAAAACTAGTTTAGAAAAGTTAGATAATTGTATACATGATTTTAATGTGGAAACAGTGACAAATGCAAGCACCTCAGCATAGTTCTTGTAGCCGAGTAGCTTAGCCTTCTCCAGCCTCAACTTTAGAATTTGACTGATGATATTGGTGTTATCAAGGTCGCCACTAGAGGCACGGGTTAGGTAAGCACGATAAACTTCTTCACGAAGTGCTCTGTTCCGTGCATGCTGCATAACAGCAATATAGCTTGGCGCATCCAATGTGATGATCCATGGTCCGTTTTCAGCCGAAGCATTTTCATGACCCTAACAAAATGGCTTGTCAGTGTGATGAATCAAGAGAGAACTTTTAAGCTTCAATAATGGTGTTTATAGCTTATATACCTTTGACGCGGCAGTCTGTGCTGCTAAGCCAAGTGCTGTGGCAGGTAACCCATCAATTTCATTCTTATCAGTAATTAATTTCTCAAATTTCTTAGTTGCATCCAGCACATTTTCACTGAACTTTTGTGTTAACTTCTCAAGCTCCTGAAATGAAGTTAGCATTCCATTAATTAATATGCATCAGCAAACATCCAAAAATAAAGAAAATAAATAAGCATGAACAAAAAAGTAACATGAAGAGAATATATGGAATATGACAACCATCAGAAGTATTAAATAGCATCTACAATCAGCTACAACAAACAACAGCCACCCCAAAAAGAATGTGACATCACAGAAGAGAAGAAGCTAAGGTTTATATGAGTCAATGTCAAGTAATCCTAGGTTTGTTGACCAAAAGCATGCAGATTTGTCAGGACGAAACAATCAAGTAAATTCTGGCATTGTTTGTAATAATCAGTATAATGTAATGCGTTTAATCAAAACTTGAACAGTGCAGCATAGTATATAGTATGCTTTAAGAGCATGACTGGTGAAAAAGATCATGTCAGAGCCTATGTCCAACTATCTACAATGAAGAAATTTTTTATGTTGCTAGACTGCTTGAAATAAGATTTTCACCGAAATAAAAGTGTCCAATATTTGATGGAAAAAAAAGATTACCTGCTCGATTTGATTAAATTTCTCCCTCTGTTCATCCTCAAGTGCGACTCCACTTAGAACGGCTTCCTTGATTTGGGCTGGTGAAGGGGAAAAAAGGGGAATGTTGTTAGGAAAGGAAAATGCAAGTACTCGTCTGCCATAAAGAAATGTGGTCAAGTTGGAAGTTGACTTGGTAATGTTTGGAAGTATAATATATAACGATGAATGTTAACAGCATTAGACTATGACGACAAGGGAGATAAACATGGTTTGAGTGTGGATTGAATATAACATAGAAGGTCACCTTCTACTATACGCTTGCGAGCCTCACTGAGGGTTTCCCAGTCTGAAGAATTCCTTATGGCGTTGAAAGCTTGGTATATAGGCTTGCTCTGGCCCAGCCTTAGTTGGAATTTGACTTTGTCAGGCTGTGCAGCAAGGGTCAAACAGTTGAGTTGATGACGATCAGTGAAGTGAGGATGATGAGTCAAGCGCAGCTGTTGTGGGTAGGTACCTGAACGTCCTCGACGGCGGCGCGGAGGTCGGAAGAGTCCTTGACGGCCTTGAGGTGGTCGACGGTGCCCCAGACGACCTCGAGGCTGTCGACGATCCGCTCGAGCGGCTCGACCAGCTTCCCCCAGGTGGGCTGCACGCCCTTCTCGAGGTCGGTGAGCTCGCCCTCCTGCATGCAACAAGGAAGGGTCGGGTCAGATCGGAAATTAAATTTGCGGGAAGGAAGCTGGTGGATCCAGGGCAGGGCAGGGGACGTACGAGGCGGGCGAGGAGCGTGCGGACGGCGGGGCGGACGTGGATGGGCTCGACGCGGTCGAAGGGCGGGAAGTCGAAGTCGGCGAGGAGCGGGTTGTCGTCGGTGGCCATGGAGGAGGAGGCGTAGGCGGCGGAGCAGGTGGCGGGCGAGGGGCGGCGGGAGGCGGGGCAGAAGGCGCGAAGAGGGGAGGAGGCGGGGAGGAGGAGGAGGGCCCTAGACCTAGACCTAGAGGTATATGAGGAGGAGGTAGGGTTTGGGAGGCGAGCTCGAGCGACAAGTGGGAGACGGATGAGGAAGGAGGAAGCCGAGACGATGAGAAACACCATGGCGACGCCGATTCCGCTTCCTCCTCCGACGCCGACTCCGACTCCGACTCGTGGTGGGCCCATCGCTCTCTCTATCCTTTCTTTTGGGCTTACCGGTAATTTCATGGGCCAAAATATCCATGCGTGTGTGTGGCGCCTGGGAGTCTGTTTTCTTTTTCTCTATTTTTCTATTTTTACTCGTGGGAGTCTGGCTTGACCTCGAAGCCACAAGTTGTTAAAACAAAATTTAAGATTGCTATCGATGAGTACTCTAATCCATGAAATGTTATCGAACTTTCTAGAGATATCATCGTACAAATGTTTTTCTCAGAAATGTCATCGCAGTTATGTTTCTAGGAGAAAAGTGCTTAATACGATGACATTTCCGGTAAGTTGGGTTCGTCAATGGCATTTTCTTGGATTGGAGCGCTTGTCGATAATATTTTCTTACAATTTTTTAAAGAAGACAATATTTATCAAAAAAAATTGAATTGTTCTTAAAATATGTTCAAATTTGATGTGGTTACTGCATGATTCCCGTTACTTTACCCTGAGACAATGTTTGGCTAATGGGAAATGGAAATGATTTCCCACCCATCAAAAAATATCTTTAAATCCTAACCATTCATTCTCCCTCTTTCATTTAATTATAACCCTTCATTTATTTTCCAATTATAATCCCACCTCCCCATTTTCCATTATCCAAACAAACTGTTCTCAAGATACAACCATGAACGCTAATTTAGCACGCATGGGAGCCGTCAGGACAATATAACAGCATGTCAGCATCTCTCAATTTGCAATTTGCCAAAGAAGAAGAATCTTTTATTCATTATAACTAACTTGCAAATGAAAAGGAGAACAAGGGAGAGTAGTGCTAGCTAAGCTAGTGCCTAGTAGTAGTGGTTAGGAGTTGTGGATCTGTTAGAGAATTAATCATCGATGTACATCAATTATATTGTTCCGGGCAAAAACCTTTCTTTCTGATCTTCGTCTTGTTGTCGTTATTCCTGACTGGCTTGGATTAATTGTGCGATTGCTACTCCTCTTATATGATTGGTCAGTATAATTGGTTAGGACTCGTGATTATTCCAGCTGCTACAACGCAGCATCTCATTTCATTTCATGATGACGCGGTTGCAAAGGCGCGACACATCAGACGGGCGAACCGGTTTGATCAAAAAGTCTTCAGCCCCCTCCTCCAGGCACCGCCGGATTCTCGTCGGCGAATTCTCCGACGACATTAGCACCACCGGAATCTCCTTCAGCTCCGCCGACTCCTGCCATGCACAATCCAATCCAATCTTCAGTTGCTACTACAACATCCAGATACAGAGAGAGGAGCTGAGTGACTGTCTGAAATGCTAACCTTGACCCTCTTGAGGAGATCGAACCCTGTCATCTCCGGCATGCAGTAATCCGTGATGATCATATGCACATTCCGATCCTGCATCATAACACAAACTAATTTTACATTCATTTCTAGCAATTCTTCAAAACTGACTGACATCCACAGGCATAGGGATCAAAGAACATACCAGGCTGAGAACCTCCAGTGCTCTCTTGCCACTATCCACCGTCGTAACTGCATGCACAACAACAACCAAACAAAATTAAAGGTGACTGACTGCTTATTGTTCTTGATATGTACTTGATTGTACTAACCAACCAGACCAAATGAGCAATCAACGACTTCATTCTACATGAAACTCAATTCTACACAGATGACAGATGACACATATATATTTGCTAGCTAGTAGTCATATCGATCAGTTAATAGAAATAAAATGCGCGCAATTGTACCTCGATATTTGGAGCTGCGCAGGAGTCTGGAGATGACAGTACGGTCGACGATGCTGTCGTCCACGGCGAGGACGTGCGGCTCCGGCTCCGGCACTGTCTTCGTCGACATGAGGCAGAGAATGGAGCAGAGCAGAGTAGACTCTCTCTTTTGGTGTTCTTGGCGATGGACAAGTCGCAGCCTGGCCTTTATACAGTGGTAGTTGGCAAAGAACTGAGTACCGACCGACCACAGAATATACAATGGAAAAAGGAAAGCATTTCCAACAAGGAGAAGGAGAAGAGGATGAGAAATGGAGGAGGATGAGATCTAAGCAAATCTGCAGAGGCGGTGGTGCAGCGCTGGCCGAGGCGCCTACCCCCTACCATACCATATTGTACCATGCCAGGCGTAGCTGCCTGCCCAAATATCCATACCCATAATTTCCTATTCAGGCTCCTCATTATACTAGTATCTGTTTCACATGGCACAATACTGCTCACCCGCCCTCATCATCTATAAAAAAAAGACATTAATTACAGTCAACACAAGTGTGTGTGAGAAATTAGGGGGTTTAAATAAGATGCCCCCATGCCATCCATTTCCTTCTCAGCTAGATGAGTCACACCTTCATATGGATTTCTTATAGCTAGACAAGATCCAGATCTTGAGTAGCATATTGATTGATTTTGTCCCCTATCTCAAGGTTTTGGCATTTCATTTGGCTGTATTGCTCTTTGCAACAAGGTTCAAACATGCAAATTCAAGGCAGAAATGTGAGGGAAGTTCAGCAACGGAATCCATCCCTGTCCCTGTACCTTAGGGAGCCTTCCCAACAGTAGATGCACTAAACACCCACGCTACAAGACCAACAAATTATCAAGGACCAAAACAAATATTTTCCAGCAATATATGCCCTAAACACCCACACTACATGCACGAACTATCCACATTACAGCATTTTTGAAGGAAACATTACAGCATGTCCAAAATGTATAGGGAATCTTGAGGATAAAATTATTTGTGCACGGCAACTACTACTCCACAGTCCCACCCCCATTCTAAAAATAATAATGGCGGAAGAATGCATTCTTCAAAAACTAATCAAATTTCAAGAACCCAGAGATTCTGATATATGATGTCTGACCTGAGGCTGGAGAGTTGAGAAGCCCCTTTATTTTATTTCCTGAAGTCAGTTTCTCTGTATCTGGACTGCCGTTCAGAAGCCTACATCCAGCATAGCAACGTGATTGGTCGCAGAAGAAGGGTTGCTGCTGCTGCTGATCCATCTTGGGAGTCGTGGCTTTTTCTTTATGAAGCAGCATTTCCTTACTTCATCCTTCATAAGCGTTCAAGTTTAAGCTGTTCAGGTATAATGAGCTGCTGCTCTTGAGTAAACATCAGGGGATCACAGCTCAGAATCATAAGGTCAACTCAATAAAAATGAAATTTTCAGCTCATGCTTTTGAGAAACGTAAGAATCAAAGGCCGGTAATGATGCAAGAATTTTTCATCTGACTCTGCTGCAACGTAGGAAAATGTACTTATCCTTGCGCATTTGGTGAAAACAAAATGGATCAGATATTTAGATTCAGTTCAGCTGGAGATACGAGGTGCTGTGAGAGCGAGACATTTGCCTCTTCCACACACCTAAAAGGTCTAGTAATATTCAAGAAAAACAAGAGTTGAAAATGTTATATAGTTAGCTACTGAAGCAATAATCCACAGCAAAATTCCGGGACATGTATCATGTATGTGGCACAGTACCACTCAGAGCTCCACTCTGAAGCCATGTATTGCTGATCTGTTTTAAAAAACAAATTAAGATTAAACAATTAGCATAACAAAACACATCTTTTAGCAGCCAGATGGCATTGTGGAGCACACAAGGCCCCTCATACAGGCTGCACTAAAGAAGAGTTCACATCAGGTATTAAATTTGACGTGTCAATCTAAAAAAATATAATAGGTCGGCATACACTTAAACACGCCCCTACTTGTGCTTGAGGCAATCTTTGATGTTGGTGCCCTTTTACAATATGAAAGTCAACCATGTTACTATGAATTTGAAGCATCCAGCATGATATGCCACTATCCTGAGCAATGACAGATGGATCGCAACTGTGTGTCAACAATTGACAAAATGCATCTAATGTTTTTAATGCAGGAGATCAGGAAAGTAACGAGAGAAGCCTCATTGTCATCTAGAAGAGAAAGTAGTTAGTAGGGACAATTCTACACTCACAAGGCATTATTTGGCACATATGATCAAAATATACCCCCATTGCATACACAAAAAGGAACGAACGTTCAACTGCAGGATAGAGTTTTATCCAAGGGAAACGTGATAATATAGTATAGTATCTCAGATAGGTAAAAGGATACTGCTTGTACCTTCTAGGACAAACTGGGTGAAATAGGATATGAGATGTTCGTAGTGCCACATATTCCATTTCTTATTGGCCTAGAACAGAATTGATTTAAAAGCACAAATCACAGCAGAAGTTGTCTATTTGGGCTACTAAATGTAATACCTCTCCGATGGGATTGCCACACCATGGATGGAGAACTACCAGAGTTTATCATAACTTGGCTAGTCAAGGATTGCATCATATCTGTTCTATACTGATAGCTGCAGGATAAAAATAATATAAATAATGAGAATCTCAATAATTCGTCCTCCAACAGAAAACAGTACAAAATATTGTAGAGAAATAAAGAAGAATAAAGAATATGACAAAAGTAGATTAGCAGGATATATGATATACCAAATACTCAAGCAGATTCTCTCTCATTTGTACTCATTACTTACAGGGAACATTATGATGTTTGTGTATTCTACCTACAAAGGATACAGATATCTACAACTTGTACAAAAAAGAGGCACACATGAGAAACACTTCAAACCTATCCCACCTAAAAGATGCCAAACTATGTAGCAGACTATACATGAGCTAATGTTAGCAGCATATTTACCTTATGCATACAATACACACACACGGCTCCAATTTTTCAGGAATACGCAAAAGGATTGTGCACCTTTGTATTAAGAGAATAAAACACACACAGGTCCAATCGAAACAAGAAAAAAAAACTCTAGAACAGCGTCTTATGTTTCAACAAGTCCTATATTCTTGATGACAAAATTCAAGAACTCCACATAAGCAACTTAATCCAATGATGAATTCATATTTTTCATCGCCAGATTATGCTCTCCACAATTATCATACCACACCACTCTGTAGAAAAAATTCCACATGTTGGACTATTTACCCTCGCCCTCTGGCTACACGAAACTTGCAACAGCAATCCTTGCTCAATTTTTTTTGTTGTTGCAGTTTTCCAGATAGTTGAAACTTTGAACACAAAACGAAACCAGTCCTGCGGTAAGCTTTCAGATGTTCTTACGAGGCTGTTCAGTAGCTGACTGTTCTAAAAAGTATGCAGCCATACCATTTGGTCCTTTTTTAGTATTAATAACAGCTGATGAGGGTAGAGGAGCATTAAGAGAATCGATAACATCGTCAACAAGTTCAGTGTACTGTGTGTCAGTTAGCTCAGACATAGTACCGCTCCCAGTGCCACTACTGATTGTGAATACTTGTTTCCTTTGCCGAAGCCCTGCTGCTCGTGCCACTTCAAAATCATTGCTTACTCCCATTGATGAATCCCTCCAAGAAGCATCTTGTGCATATAGTTTTAGAGAAGGCGTTGGTGCAAGAGAAGGTGTAATTCCAGCTACCTTCGGAGGGTCAATGGGACTATTCTGTTGCCAGAAATCATATCAAGGCAGTAAGTACAGTTCCGATACCTTGTAACACCAGATTTAAATAAGTCACAGAACTCACCTTAGTAAAGAAGATAGAAGTTCAAAGCAACATCTGAGGGAATGTGACTCACCTCATGGTCCTCATCCAAGTCTTCTAAATCCTCTTTCACATCGTCCAATCTACTGTCTTTTGCTTCCTTATCCATCCGATGCCAATCAGGTAATTCAGAGCCCTTGGGGGAAACTGAAGAGCAAGTGCCATTGGTTAGTAAAGATACATATTCTATTTTCCCAAATTAAGTGATAATGTATTAATGTGCAATCAAATTAAGCCATAATGTCAGATTATTGAAATAAGAAATATTGTGCTATCCCCTTGGTCTTTTTCCCACTGTGTAGTACTATTACTGCTTTCAATAGAATTATTTTAAGTTCCATTTTAGAAAGTTCACCCAACAGACACTCACCTTTATTTCCAACATCTATAGACAGTTCTTGGACAGCCTCTGTAATGTTGAGTTCAGAATGAGAAGAAGAAGAGCATCTGGTATTATCATGGCTTTTTTCAGCTTCAGTGCCATTATCCACAAAGAGGGGCATCCCTGCCAAACGAACAGCAACTTCTGGTCCATCCTGATACTGTGGCTCAGAAAATCCTTTGTCAAAATTTTCAGTGGCTATGGGGCAATTATCATTTGGAGCATATGGAAGCGATCCTGGCTTGTTCAGAAAACTTTCAGTGTACTTGACATCCTCCGTAATTATGGCTGCCTGCTCTGAATTATAGGCAATTTCATTTAATGTTTCGTTTTCCCTTTCTTCACCAGCGGGAATCATATCAAAACTATGAACATCAACCATTAGAGGATCAGTTGATCCTTTTCCAGATGATCTTACAGCTTCCTCTGTGCAGTTATATGAAGCAGACCTATTTGAAGAGATTTCAGGAGTCAAAGTCTCCTCAAAACTAAAATTTTCGTCATCTGTCTCAACTGATTCTCCACGGGCTGCTTCAGGAGTTTCTATCAAACTACATTCAGGCCCAGATGACATGGATCTTGAGTAGTACGGATGATCCGTTGAATATTTTGACTCATCTAAAAGATTGCAAGCCCCTGAGAAACTTGAGATGCTTCCATCTCTTGGGTCTGACGGTGTTTTGTTGGTATCCTGTAGATCTGCAACCATGGATTCTCCAGCAACGTAGCATGTAGACTTCTCAGCAATATCAACCTTATTTCGAGAAATGGGAGTCATTGTATGTTCATCTTGTAGCTTGAATGAGCCTTTTTGAAGCCCTAAGAGATTTCTGTTGATCTGTGTGTTATGAAAAACAAATGATGAATTATTTGAATCAGCAATGTTGCCATCATCTAGAGATATTAAAGTCCCCTCAATGCTGAAGATACCATCATGAAGCCTATCAGATGATAATTTCTCTTCAACTTGAAGAATGTCTGAAATACTAGCATCTGGAATATCTTGAGACCCCAAATTGGTAAAATGATCTTTAGAATTGTCATCCTGGAGAGCCATGTAAAGATTCTCAAAACATAAAGCGGTTTCTTCTCCTTGTTGATTTCCTTGCTGACCGCTTCCTAAACATCCAGTCAAATTGACATCTGCAGAGAACAATGATGAAGTTGTCTTGTATGGGTTATTTTCAGCCTTGGAATTCTGAACTGTATGAACAGATGAAAAAGACGGTAAGTCCAAGTAATCATCTGATTTTCCCATGTCATTGCCTGTGTCTGGAGTTACGAAAGCATTAACAACATTGGATGAAACTTCATGTAGTAAACCATCTATTGATTCCCCAGCAACTTCAAGAGTTTCTATCATGTTGGTCTCTGGAATAAATTCAACAGACCTGTTGTTTCCATAATTTTCTGTACTATTCACACTTTGAAACATCATGGTGTTCTTATCATCCAAGTTGAAATTTTGATTGTTCCCTGGTTCAGCCAATGCGCCACCTCCGGTAGCATGCATTATGTTAACCTCTGAAACACATGAGGATGACCTGGAATAGAGTGAATATTTTTCAGAATTTATGCTCTCTTCTGGAGATACAAAACTTCCCTCTACACCAAGAGTAAGTCCCTGTATTGTTTCAGATGGAACTTGTTTGCCATCATGAAACGATCGAATCTCATGTCTGTCTGAAATACATTGAGAAGATCCAGTGTTATTCGTCCAATTTTCAGCTCTTGTAACCTCATCTAGAAAGATAGGATTATCTAAAAAAGCAGAAGTTTTTCCATCTTCAGACTCAGAAAATCTGCCCTGAACAGAAGAGGGTGCATTGTCTTCTGCAGCACTGGCACGTAAAAGGTAAGAACTCGAGCTGCTTGAATAAAATACATCATTATTGATCTCACCTGAAGATAATAAAATCCCTTCAAAATTACAAGTTATTTGGTCTAGCTGATTAGAAAATGCTTCCTGAGTTTTCTCCTGGCCACCTTGAATTTTTTTCCTCACGTTGGTGTCTGGAACAAAATGTGCAGGGTTACTATCATCACATGAAGGGTTAACAGCAGCCTTTATAGGGTTAAATGGCCCTTCATCTTGCGATTCAGACAAACTTTTCTTGACAGCTTCATGAGCTTCAGTAATGGTTGTCTCTACTCCATTGCATAAAAAAAATCGGATGTAGCTAACGAGTGTTCAGAAATATCAACTACAGGTGGATCCATAAAATCTTCCTTCTCCAAATCAAAAGGTAGACTGTTCGGCTCCTTTAAGTGCAAGTCATACGATAATTCCTCCTTTGAGACCTCATCGCTATCTGTGAGTAGCTCTCCAGATGTTGGGTTGTTCAATTCGGGATTAACTGCAACAATCCTAGGAATTTCCATCATATTGGCATCTTGACAGCATAAAGGGAAACCTGAAGTTTTCATGTACTGTTCAGTGGTACTGACTGCAAGCGGACCCAGCAGAGCTTCCTCCTCTGAACAGATGAATACATCATTTCCTTCCTGCCCGTTAAATCCACATGGTTCTTTTTCCCAGGTATCCTCATCACCCTTCATCGCTAACTCTGCAGAGGATGAAAATCTCACCTCAGGATCCTCAAATTCCTCGCAATGCGACTCTTGAAATGCTGGAAGGTTCAATCTAGGACTGACCCCTGTATCAATGTCTGCAACAGCTGCAATGATGTTTGCATCAGTACAGATGCAAGCAAGTGCATTGGTAACCTCATCAGGATTAATTATCACTTCATTGTCATCAATGGCATGTGAAGTAGGGACCTTCTCTGGAGTGACAGTATCTGTTTGCAGCGCTGTCAATTTGTGTGGCTCAAGCAATGAGTCCTCCTTGCCACCCTCTGGAGGAACCTGTTCAAAGTTTTCTAATGCAGATAGCACTGGATCAGATGGATCCTGGCTCACATCATTTAAGCTACCATAAGCAACAATGTAGTCAGATGGAGAAGCGGGAGGTTCATTAATAGAAACTGGATAGGATTCCAGTTTTTCTGGTTGAGATGGTGAGCTTTCCTCACTGACTTTGACAGGCATTTCTCTGAAGACAGTCATTAAGGATGACATCCCATGTTCAGTTAAGCATGAGTCACCTCTATCAAAAGAACTGTCATGAGAGTTAACTGGACATATGAGATTCTCCTTGCAGGAGCTGAAATTAGTGTTCACGATGTCCAATAATCTATCAAAAACTTTGTCTTCACCACCTCCTACAGGCGATTCGTGATGAATAGTTGGAGGTTCAGTTAACTTGACAAATATAACAGGTCCAGAATGGTTCCTGTAATCCAGAGGAGAGAAAACAGTATCTTCAATAGGATCATGGGCACCACCTTGCTGATCTAAATGTGTGGAGGCAGCTGGTACTTCTTCATTTCCATCTCTCAGAAGGATTCCAGGATACCCTATCAATGGTGCTGAACTGCCACAAATCGGTTTTATGTTGTTTGATTGACTTATAGAGGAATCACTTAATTCAGGAAACTCCTTGCCGCAGATGGAACCTGCGACACTAGATGACATTGTATTCTGTGTATCTTCCTCGATGCTTTCGGTAGCAATGCTTGTTGTTCTATATGTTTTCTCACTTGAGAATCTCCTCTTCCGTAGGCCATCCAAGGGCATCGGCTGGAAGTCCTTACTATGACCCCAAGACATGTCTGCTTCACCATCACCCCTTGAGCTAATACTTGGCTGGCGGCGTTTCTTAGGTTTAGAAGTTCTGTTCTCTGAATGAGTTGCTGGCAGAAAAGTACTATTTGAATCAGTTGCCGGCAAAGAATTACTGGCATCATCTACATCGCCACAGTTCTGCTTCTGCACCAACAAACAAAGAGCAATAATGTTGAGCAAAGCAGAACAAAAATGGCCAAAGAAAAGAAGGAAACAATAACCAAATCACATAAATGTAAAGAACTACATCATTTGCAGGTTAAGCTTATATGCAGAGAATTAGAATGAAGGAAACAAACAGACCTGTGCACTGATCAGGTCGTTCTGGTTAGGCTTCCTTGGCTCACCATCATTTGCCTGCTTCTGCTCCTGAATCCTTTTAAGCCTTCTATGGTCCTTGAGATCAACTGCAAAGCAAGATGAGATGTAACCACTTGAGAGATATTCTAGCAATGCACTGTGAGGATACACAAAGAATTCCACATATATTTGGTAGCAAGTGCGGAGCTTTAACAGTATGAAGACATTGGTGCTCAAGCTTGCCAAATGTTAGCAACAGTCTGAAGAGATAGAGTCACAGAGACAAGAAAGGTGGCGAAGAAGGATGTTACGCACGTCTTCTGGTGAAGCGGATGAAAGCGGCATAGATGAGTGTAGCTAGAGCAGGGATGACAAGAACAGGCAGAGCTTGGATGGGCTGCCTCCAGCTCAAATTGCGCCTCCTGGCCCTCCAGAAAGCATAAACGAACACCAGGACCTGGCGATCAATTTAAGCAAGAAAAGATAAGAGGAAAAACTGAAGTTTTTCAATTCAGAAGTAACCAAAATCACATGATACATCAATTGAGATTAAAAAAAAGAAGAAGAAAAAAGACTATCCAGCCAACGTTGGAGGCGACTTGCGTGATCGATCATCAGCATCCGCGAGTAGCAAGGAAAAATAAATCGATTGGTGGTGTGGCTAGCGCGCGCATAAAAGCAAACACCTGGAGCGCGCTTCCGTGGAAACAAGTGTGGTGACGTATGGGGGCAGGGCAGGGTCACCTCACCTCGAGGTTGAAGGAGAGGAAGGCGAGCTTGTGGGCGAGCCTCCGAGCCGCCGCCGCTCGCCTGACAAGGCGCGAACGCACCACCGTTTCCTCGTTTTGACCATCGTCGTCGTCTCCGGGCCCGGCGGGGTGGTGTGCGGCTCCAGTCCGGCGCCAAGCAGCGCGGAGGCGGGACCAGACCCCGGAGAAGAATCCGACGGAGGGATCATCGGCGGCCATCCCTTTCCTCCTCTTGGCTCTTGCTTTCTCTCTCTCTCTTTTCTGCGCACTAACTAGTCTCTCGCTCTCGTAGGACATGCACGCCACGCCACGCACTAGCAGAGGCAGAGGCAGAGGCAGAGGCAGAGGAGAGGCTTTCTCAACTCATTTTTTCGACTCTTTTCCTATAGAAATCATTCTTGTGTGCAGTTAGCTAATGGTTCTTTAATTTTCCTCTAATCCAAATAAAATCATATATTGTGATTCAGACAAGATTTTGTACTCGTTGTTGGAGAGTTTGTGCCTGCCGACTCATACTGCGCCAGCCAACTGAATGGGCTTATTATTATTATTATTATTATTATTATTATTATTATTATTATTATTATTATTATTATTATTATTATTATTATTATTATTATTATTGCGTTTACGTTCCCCCGACATTCATTTATTTTTAAAAACTTAAAATAACCAATACTCGATTAATTATATATTCACATCGTTTAACGTATCTTCTCTTTCCCATTATCTCGAACACAAGTGCTGAGCCTTTCTTAATTTCTCACCATACATACTAGTACTATCAGTGCAAGCACCCTAAACCGGAACCTAGCCTATAAAGTTGACCCGAAGATACTCATCCCTACAGTGCAAATACCTCTTTTGTGTGACTTAATTAGATGAGTGTAGTGTGGGAGGAAACCGACCCTATAGTGGGCGTGATCTCGGGCTGATATCGGGCTCGTGGACACGGGTAGTGGGGCGAAATAATTTCCCCACCTACCCTCGACTCATCTTCTCCTAGCCCTCCCCTCCATCGCTTTCTCCTCCTCCCGGTCACCCTTCCCGTCGCTCGCCGTCGCCTCCTCCCCGTCCGGCGCCAGTTCCGCTTCCGCTCGCTGCGCCGCACTGCTCCTCCTCGCCTCACCGCGCCTCCTCTCGCGTCGTGTCTCGCGCGGCGGCGGCTGCTACTGCTCCGACGGTGGCGAGTTGCGGCAGGCAGCGGCACAGGCCCCTAGATTCGTTGGCGGTCGTCAGGAGGCGAATTGCCTGGAGACCCCGGAGCAAGCCACCGCCGCCGCGCCTCCTCGCCCACAGTGCACGCGGCAGCTGCGAGGAGGAGGGGGAGTAGATCCGGGTTCTTTGCGGCAGCGGCAGGTTCTCGGTGGCGGGAGGCGTCCCCGGTTGCCGCCGCGGCGTCGGTCACCACCACTGGCCTCGCCGCCGCCCGGATGATTTTGCTTCTTGACTTTTCTTGATGATTTTTCTTCTCTTTCAATCCCCAAGATTTTCTTGTCTTTTCTTGGCTCGGTGGTGGGAGGAAGAATGGTTGTGGCGGGAGAAGAATTTTTGTGGGCACAACGGGGATTTCTCCCCCCTCGATTGGTGCGAGGTCACGGGCGGGGAAGAATCGCACCCCACAGTGCTGACGCCTCTCCCAGTTTTGGCCGCGCGTGGACTCGTGAACATGAGGTTTTGCGTCGCCATGCTAGGCGACGAGGTGCCTTCCTTGGTCGCGGTCCCGCCCTCCACGTCGACCCGAATCCGAGCTAGCGCAACGAGATCACGCGCCAGCTCGGTGCACTGTGAGATGAATCTGATCATCTGGCGGGCAAACCAGTGAGTCAGCTTGTTTGAGGTTACCTCAGCTCCAACAGTCACAAGTAGTCGTACGGTAGCTAGGTAGGCAGCAGGTAGGCATTTTTTTGCATTGGCGGGCAAGTCGTAGCAGCGTAGCTTGCGACTGACAAGGCAGAATTCCTCCTTATCATCTCGCTGGAGTTGGACGGCGATGAGCAAGAGGGCAAAGCGCGTGGGCACACGGCGGTGGTCGTGCTGGATGCCCATGGTCCCAGGTAGGCCAAGCTGCCAGGGGTTACCAGCACGCACCCCCATGGCGTTCAACTCCTCAGAGAACGTCTCCGGCCACACGTACCGGACCACCGGGGGCGCCGTGGCCGTGGGCAGGTCGAAGGCGCAGAGGCAGCGCAGGCGTGGGCAGAGGCCCAGCTCGGGGACGAACACGCCGCGCCCATCAATGGGGAGCTCCCAGTCGCCCTCCTTGCGCCACCCCACCCCCACGGGTGTCGAAGGAGTAGGCCGGTGTCCCGCTCCGACACCCACACGTGCTCGCCGGCGCCCATCCATCCCCGCAACGTGCCGCCCCAGAGCTCGCGCGGCGGCGCCCTGAGACTCGTCGGCTTGGAGGGAGGAGGAGCTGGAAGGTAGGGGATCTCCTGCAGGGGCGGTTGCCGATGGCGTAGACTCCGGTTCCCAGCGGGATGAGGACCGTGCCGCCTATTATCTCTTCCGGAAGCTCCGGGCCAGGCGACAACACGTCGGCGGTGGCGTCGCACTCGAGGTCGAGGAGGACAGTGCGCTTGCGGTTGCTGACCCCAACAATGGTGTTGGAGGCGACGACGGCGAAGTTGAGGTACTCGAGAGCGAGCCGCCGCAACGTGTCCATCTGCGCCATGGGGCGGGGCAAGGGTCTCAACACTGTCCACTCGTCGTCGTGGGTGAACATGTCCTTGATGTTAATGTTGAACAAGAGGTAGGTGGTGATGCAATCCATCCTCTTCTCTTCTTCCACCACCAAAACTAGAGTTTTCCTCCTCCCCTTCCATCTTGTGCTTGTGCGCTGCTGCTGCTCATCCGCCTCCATCTTTTTTTTTCTTTCCGAAGAAGATACTCCCTGCCCCGCCTAGCCTGTATCGAGGAAATCTTATTATACACAAGTGGAGTATGTAGTCCGATTCCGTTTCGACCTCGCTGGCTGCATCACAAGTCGTTTCGATCCTACAACTGTGTCGCTGTTTAGAGTCATATAGGACTTTCTTGGTTAGGTCCGATACTCTGGTTAAGTTGATATTTCTCTAATTGTACTCTCGTTTTATATAGTTTTGTTATGTTACATCTATCAACTAAATAGATTTTTCATATTTCTGAACTGGGTGATGAACGTAGAGCAGGGTATCTGCATGAATATTAATTTCTGGTTTGTGCAAATTAGGCACGATCAATCACTAGAAGATGGCACGGTACATAGAAAATCAAAGAGGAAGTTAATTGTAGGAGTAAAAGAAGTGATGCACGAATGCATGCATCAATCACATACGATCTTTTTTGTTTGAACTAGGAGAGCATGGAGCTCCCCCATTTCCATTAATAGAAACGTAGAGGTTACAGAGTAGCATCAAGTTTCAGGACATCAATCACATAGTAAGAATTAAGATAGAAAGATTCAGATTGTTCATTCAGTCATCGTCTCCGACATGGAAGCTCAATCTGGAGTGGCTTGCTGTCTTGGTAGCTGCTGCTTCCGCACAAGATTCTGAATCAGACTCCTGCAGGGGCCAAGTTAGTATTAGTAAATCAGGAGTAAGAAAGAAATATGAATCATTCATGAGCATGCATGGATATGACATTGAGGGAGGAAAAGCTTATCTTCATTAAGCAAAGCAAATTAATAGTACTAGTAATCCATTAAAGACGGACCTGGGTATTGTGGGTGAGGAGGAGCTTTTGCATGTTGTGGTGGCTTCCCCTCGAGTGGCCCATCTTGGCCTTGTTCCTCTCTGCTCGAAGCCGATCCAGCTTCTGCTGGTCCTTGGCGTCAACTGCAATCGACATTAACTAATTTGACGATCGATCATTGGTTATTGATTTATGCAGTGGCTGCCTCCACTCCATGCGCAATTAAGGTTGAGAAAGAAACAAATTGACGATCGATGGAGGAACTAAGGACTTACTGAATTTGTGGAAGCGGGCAATGGCGGCGAAGAGCAAGGCAGCAAAGGCGGGCACGGACAACAGCACACCCAGCAGTAGCTGCTTCTTCTTCTTCGTTTTATTCGCAGCAGTCTTGATTCTCGCCGTCCACAACCCATAAACGAATAATCCAGCTGCCTCAAGGGCGAAGGAGGTGAAAGCAATGGTGCGCCGGATGACGCGGGCGGTGGCGTGGCGCCTCTGGATGCTGGCTTTGACGGCGGCTTCCTCGTCCGCGAGGCGCCGCTGCTCGTCGGCGTCATCGCCGAGCTTCCACCACACGCCCGAGAAGGACCCCGTGCGGGGCAGCTGCCGCGCCATGATCGATCAGGCCGGTGCTACGTACGTACTACCTTCGATGTTCGATCGATCGATCAATTTCTTCTTCTTTCGATGTGAATGCGATGCCCTCCCATTGAGAGGCGACTATCTAGCTTGCTAGCGGATCAGTAGCTTTTCATATTTATCAAAACGCAACCCCAAGTTGACGATCGATTTCTTTTTTCCCGTTTTCTCTGTATATAATGTAATATGTGTGTGTGACTGGCATACATCTCATACTGACACCAGCCAAAATCACTAGATTAATATGATCCATATAATACTCTTATTTGACAGTAAGAAGAATGATCGTGCCAGGTCGATTGCAGTGCAGATTTTGACGCCGACCAACTCCAATTAAATCAGACAAACTAGTACTCCTTCCTACCACTACATGCATGCCGCAGCATCATCATGCTTGCGTTTCGTGTTACTCTCTCTAGTTGTTAGTGCTGACCGTTGACAAATTGTTGGAAAAGTTCACTGTAGATCCCTCACGGTAACGGTCAAGTTTAAATCTTATCTCTCAACCGTAAAACCAGGTACTGGTTTGATTTGGTCCATATTCCACGTGAAGTTATGAGCAAAACAAAAATTAAAAAAATATAGGCTCATATGTGAACTACACAAAAAGATTTAAAAATAAAGGGCCTCATATGTCAGTGTTTCATTAAGGAAATAGCTATACATATGATAAAATTGGTACGATTTTGTTACGATCCTGTCTTGTATGCGTACGATTAGACCATGAAAACATGTTGGAAGCATCGTACGTTGATCGTAAGAGATTTTATCGTACGTATAGCATTGGTCGTTTCCCAAGTCCTCCATCTCACCCTCTCTCTCCCCTCTCTGTCTCTCATCAAATGTCGCCAGCGACAAACCTCCATTTTTTTATCCCCATATCCCTCTCGACAACAAGGTGATAGGCAGCGGGTAGAGCGAGTGTGTGTGGCCGGAGGCGACCCGTGGAGAAGCGAGCGGACTTCGACGAGCGTGCAGAGGCGCAGGTGGCTGCGGAGGAGCGGGCAACAACATTCCTCTCCAGCCAATGGTTGGCCTCCTTCCCCTTCTCGCTCCCCAGATGCTACCGGTGGCTAACAAAAGAGGAGCAAGACAACGGTGACCTCATCTCTGTCTAAGTGGCTTCCTCTCCATCAGCGTCAAACTCCCTCTCTGTCAGCATTGAGCTCCCTTGTCGGCCGACCACTGTCGCCTTCTTGAGCTCACTGATGCGGCAGCGGCGGATCTCAAGCTCAAGCTCACGAAGGAGGGACACCAACCACACCATCCTCAGCTTGCCTCCCCACACCCCCCGCCACATCCTTGGCATCCGCCTTCCCGCGCCCGCCCGCTCTAGTGATCACGTCCTTGCCCTCATCTTCGATGTCGTTGGCCGTGTTTGCCTCGACCTCGCCGGCTGCGCCATCCTTGGCATCTGCCTCCCCGTGCCTCGTTGCCAAAGATCAGAATAGAGAGAGAGGTGCTTTGTGCATATGGTTTTCTTTCTTTTATAGTGGGGGGAGACCGAGAGAGAGAAAGGGGTAGAGATGGTTTTCTTTCTTTTATATTTTTCATGTGATTGATATGTGAGTCATACACTAACTCAACCAGGTTGGCCATAGTCAACTCATCACGTCAGTTAAAACCAGATACAATACTACCCTAAGATTTTAGGTACTCTGATATTTGTAGGTTAAGAGACATACTATATTTGATATTGCGATTTAAGGATGCGATTCAAACTCGATGACAAAATGTACCTAAATTTGACTTATTCATAAATTGTTGGGCGTGGCAGGGCAGGCCCTGTTACAAGATGGGCCGACCGAGGAGGCCCGAGGGTTTTTCGGTCAGGACAAAAACACTCCACTCACATCCTCCTCATCACAAATATTTTATTTTCTGCTTTATTTTTTCCCCTAATGAATACCTGATCATCCAATACTTTAAAGACATGTACTGTTGGATATACTTGTGCTTTCTATACTCTTTTTTATATAATACCTAATCCCTTCTTCCCATAAAAAACCAATCTAGTGTTGGATGTGATTCTTTTTTTGGACGGAGGGAGTACATCGTTAATATATGACACTGATTAGTTAAAAATGATAAAAAAAAAACAATCGGAGAGAGTATATAATTTGGTTAGTAAAAGCAAACTGTAATGATTATAGATTTGTGTTTCTACAACAACTTGGAAGATAAACAAGCACAGGATGACACATAAACCAGTTTAGCTCCACTCCGGAAAAAATAAAAAGGACAAGTTTACAACAATCCAAAAAAGATTTACAGACAGATCCAGCCCAGAGAATCTTCATCTCTGAACCTATCTAAGCTAGGAGTATCTCCCAATGCCCCACCCTTCCCTGCTAAAAACCTACACAAGTCCCAAATCAAAGACCCCTGGTATTTAAAAAGTGTTGCCTGAAGAATGAGTCATTCTTTGAGCCAAGACAAATTGAGTGGTAACTACACTTTTTTTGCTGCTACGGTACATGAAGTAAAGTAACAACAAGCCGGCCAGCCAGGCGATGATCAGCTGCTGATCAGGATGAGATCAGCTGCTGATCGATCGATCAGGTGAGTCCTCCTAGCTCTCCCTGATCTCGCGGCACCCCCATGCCCATCTGCACCTGCACGGCGTCTGACCACCGCGCTGGTGACCGGTCGCTGCTGTTCGACGACGACATTGCCTCCGCCCTTGCCTCCCTCACCATCCGTAGCACCTCCGGTGTGGTTGGCCGCCTCGCCGGGTCCGCCACCACGCAGGCCGCCGCAATGCTGATCAGCGCACCGAGCTTCTCCTCCGTGCCGCCAGCGGACGCGGACTCCCCGCCGGACTCCGTCTCTTCCTCACGCACTGCCCGCACCCAGCTCGGGATGTCATCGCTGTGCATCTCCATCAGGTCCTGGAACGGCGCCTTCCCGGTGAGCAGCTCCAGGAGGAGCACGCCGAAGCTGTACACGTCGGACGCCGGCGTGAAGGCATGGGCGGTGCGAGTTTCCGGCGCTCGGTATAGGACGGACGTGGAGGAGGCGAGATCGGCGTGGGAGGGGAGCAGCGTGGGCACCAGACCGTAATCGGTGAGGCACGATTCGAAGTCGGGGCCGAGGAGGACGTTGGAGGGCTTGAGGTTGCCGTGCACGATGCCAGCCGGCGGCGACTGGTGCAGGTGCACCAGCCCGGCGGCGACATCCTCCGCGATCTTCATGCACGACGTCCAGTGCAGGGGCTTCCCCTTGCTCGACGTCCGGCTGCTGGACCCTATTGTGCATCATAAATTTGAATTTGGTTAAACTTTATTCCATTAACACGGCATGGCTTTTTACCTACAAAATGGATTAAAATACATGCTCTACATTTAAAAAGGATGTACACAGCACAGATAAGGCTTGCAAATTGCAAATGCACCATGAAACAAACTTTCAACAATCCAAACAAAATAGGAAAAAAAAAACTTTCAACAGGCATAGCCCGCGCTTGTCTGTGACTGTGTGTGTGAGGGCATGGCGCTATGCAGCATTGTCCGATTGCCTAGTCTCTTGTTCATACGCAGAACGGCAGAAGTATACTAGTAGCAATTATTTACTGCAGCTCAGATTCAGATCAGGACCACATGCTCACAAGCACTTACCTGCTTGTCTACATCTGCATACTGTTGTCCTTGTGAGAAGGGGATTTTGATGAGAGCCTGAAATAGAGGAAAGACCAAGCCACAGTGGTGCTGCGGGGTCTACTGCCTCAGATCAAGCCACCCATTACAACTTTACAAGAACAGGGATAGGCCCTGTTCTGTCGTGCATGAAAGCATGGCCTTTGACTGCCTCAACTAATCTGGGGGCTTTAAGTTTGCTTGTGAATGAATGAGTGACTGCATGCATGCCCATTATGGTGGATGGAATATTTCAATGCAGAGTGTAGTGACCAATTGACCATTGACCCACTGCTTTAACCAAACCAATATTAGGCCAGGTTTAGATGGCAAAAATTTTTGTTTTGGGGTGCCACATCGGATATATGGATACACATTTGAACATTTGAAGTATTAAACGTTGTCTAATAACAAACCAAATTACAGATTCCGCCAAGAAACTGCGAGACGAATTTATTAAGCATAATTAATCCATCATTACCAAATGTTTACTGTAGCACCACATTGTCAAATCATGGCGTAATTAGGCTTAAAAGATTTGTCTCACAATTTACACGCAAACTATGTAATTGGTTTTTTTGTCCACATTTAATACTCCATACATGTGTCCAAACATTCGATGTGATGGGTGAAAAGTTTTTGTTTTGGGAACTAAACCGGGCCTCAGTACTGCTAATACCAAGTTGGTAAAAAGTTCAGCGCATGGATAGAATGGCAGCAGTACAGAGGAATGCATTTTTACTTGCAAGAAATGAAAACTAGTGCAGCTCAGTGACACATGAACGGAACCAGCCATGTTGATGCACAGTTGGCTCTGACTATCTGTTCCTATTATCCAGAGCAGTTAGTATAATTAACTTTTCATATGATATGCTCTATCATTTACCACCAGTTTTCCGGGTCCTAAAATTATGCCCTGTTTTCATGGGAGATGTTCCCAAGACCCTATGTGGCACATATTGGAAGGTTATTTTCTTCCATTGAAAACAAGGAGCAATTTTTAGTCAATGGGCTTTCCATTCTGAAAGGCTGAAACAGAATGAGGTTCTTCACACCCATATCCTCCCACCAGTCAAATATTATACGATGTTAAGACAAGAGAAATATTCAAGTGAATCTGGTTGTTCTATGGTGATATATCCATGACTAGAGTAGTAATTAGCATGAAGATGGTTTAATCTTAAGTGTTTTTCACTTCACGATTTTCCCATGATCCCATCAAAGTCTTGAAATGGTTTTACTACTAGAGAAGAGAAAAGGGATGGCACACAGTTATATTGCGTTGTACATAACATACGGAAGTACTAGCTGCTGGTACTCTCCAAATTACTCACTCCTCCTATACTACATACAGGCGGGGCTTGCATGAATTAAAAGTGGAGCAGTAGGGATCTCCGTGGCACATGGCTGGCTTGGCATTCTTTTCTAGCAGCAGCAGCAGCTTGTTGTAAATAAAAGGACGGGCAAGGCAGGCAGCACGCATGTACCCAAACTTTATGGTGAAGCATGAGGAGGAGGCGAGGCGTGGAATTGCAACAAGGCAACAGCCAAGAAAAAGCCCGTCCTTTTTACTCTGCTAGCGAGGGAGGGGAGGGGAGTAATTGCAATGCACGAAAGAAGCATGCATCCTGACTGAACAACTGTAAGTATTTGGGATGAAGCTAGCTAGCCAACAGGAAACAGAAAAGATGACAACCATGAAAAACATATCTGTCTTGTTTCTTTGGTTCGTCATGGATCCATTGATCTGTAATTTTTTTTGTTTTGTGATCCTGGCCTTGGCAGGCAGCGATTTTGTCTAGTGTACATGAATGCAGTGATCCAGTGGCTAGTAGTACTTAGGTAGGTAGATCCCATTTCTCACTTGTTGTGTGCATTGCATTGTGGAGTACAAGGAGATAGCAGAGCTAATTATGGAGTACTAACATGGATGAATGAATCGTAAAAAAAAAAAGACAAATAATAATGGTAGGAGTAGTAATTAAGGTGGGGGAGAAGGGAGGAAGAAGAAGAAGAAGGTTACCGTGGAGGAGGGAGAAGAGGCTGCCATTGGGGTAGTAATCGTAGACGAGGAGTCGCTCCTCCTTGGCCTGGAAGTAGGCCCTCAGCGCCACCACGTTTGGGTGGCGGAGGCGGCCCAGCTCCTCCGCTCGCCGCCCAAGCTCCGCCGCCCCCGCCGCCGGCTCCCGCATGCGCTTCACCGTGACGATGAACCCGGTCTCCATCACCGCCTTGTACGTGCTGCCCACCTCCCCGCGCCCCAGCGTCTCCGCCGACGCCCGCAGCAGCTCCTCCAGGCTGTACATCTCCGCCACGCCGCCGCAGAACACCAGCTTCCCGATCCCCTCCCTCTCCCACGAGAACTCACGACCCCCCCTCCTCTCCGATGCCACCGACGCCGACGCCGACGCCGACGCATTGATCTCCTCCCGAGGCTGAGCCTGCGGCTGCTGCTGCTGCTGCTCTTCTTCCTCCTCTGGCATTGCTCCCTTATCCACGTCGCCGGCCACGCGCTTGTTCCTCCCGCGCCGCGACGCCATCACCGCCGCCGCCACCAGGATTCCCAGTACCACCACACCCGCCACCGTCGCGCCGGCCACGATGCCCGCGTTCTTCGCGCGGCGGCTCCTGTTGGAGCGTGGCGGGGGGAGCGGCGTGAATGCGGCCGCGGCCGCCGGCGCGGTCGGAGCGGCGCATTGGATGCGCAGCGGTGGGCCGCAGAGGTCGGCATTGGCGAGGAAGGACGATGCGTTGAATTTGGTGGCGAGGACGGAGGGGATCTCGCCGGAGAGGCGGTTGGCGGAGACGTTGAGCAGCCGGAGCGTGGGCTGCGGCAGCGGAGGGAGGATGCCGTTGAGGCGGTTGTCGTCAAGGAGGAGCGAGGTGAGCCGCGGGAGCGTGGTGAGGGAGGTGGGGATTTCGCCATGGAGGAGGTTGGAGGAGAGGACGAGGACGGTGGCGCGGTGGAGGAGGGCGAGGGTGGGCGGGATGCGGCCCTGGAGGCGGTTGGCGGAGAGGTAGAGCAGCTTGAGGTTAGGGAGGGCGGCGGGGAGGGCGTCGGGGATGGGGCCGGTGAGGGCGTTGGACTTGAGGCTGAGGACGCGCAGCTCGGAGAGCGGGGCGAGGAGGGTGGCGGTGAGGACGCCGGTGAGGTTGAGGTTCTCGAGGACGAGCTTGGTGACCCTCCTGTCCCGGGGAGGTTGGGAGCACTGGCGCACGCCGAGCCAGGAGGAGCACAAGGCGGGGGCGGTGTCGCGGCGCCAGGGGAGGCGGTCGGAGCGGTCGAGGGCGGACTTGAGGGCGAGCAGCGCGTCCGCGTCGGAGGCGGCGCCAAGGTGAGAGTGAGACGACCACATGAAGAAGAGGAGGAAGAGGAAGAAGAGGCATGGCGATGGCGGGGTGGGCATGGTGGTGGAATGAGGAGAGCTAGGGGGCACCCCGCGCGCCCCGTTTGATTAAGTCCTCACTACTGTACTGTAGTACTTCACTAGCTGCTGCTGCTGCTGCTACAGTTTGTTTCTGCGGCAATGGACATGGGCACATACATACCACTTCCACTTCTTCTTCTTCCCTCTCTCTCTCTCTCTCTCTCTCTCTCGCTCTGATAAGAGCTAAACTTAATTAATTGGGAGGGGAAAGCTTAACTAACAAAGGGAAGCGGGGGACGGGTGCGGGTTTAAATGCTGGAGCTCGCGTTGCGGTCGCCATGGCCACGCTGCTCTGGAGCACGTGAAGGAACTGAGCACCGAGGAGAGGAGAAGACTAGGGAAGAAGGGAAAAGATGCAGGTAACTGGGCCTTTAATTGTTAGTTGGGCCTGGGCCCTTCCCCTGGCTGCTCTGTTTACTAAAAGTCCCACAACAGAACACAGGACATCGATTTACTAACCAACACACACTGTTATGTTTATTATGTGTCTTTACTACTGTACTATCTCCTTTTTAATTATATTTTCTAAAAAAAATTAACACTATAACTATATTACTTATAAAATAGTACTTCCTCCGTCCCAAAATATAGATACCTAGTACATGATGGGATGTCCAGATTTATATCACTAGGTAATATCCCATCCTATACTAGTTAGCTACATTTTGAAATTGCAGAAGTATCTTTTTACGACAAACTTACTAACACGATGACTTGTATGATTTAACAATTTAGGCCATTTCCAATCCAAGACATTAGACATAGTTTCCATAAGCTCCACATCATTAAGAAACTAGTACTAGACACTACTCTTCCAATACAAACATCACTATTACATACTTAAATTTAATGCTACTTATCTCATATGATGTCTTGGATGTTGTGTACAAACCATGTCTCATGCAAAATATGGTTTCCTTCTATTTTCTCATTTATTCACTTGCCATATCAATTTTCATTCTAGGTGGCAACTTATTTAATGTTATGGACACCATCCTAATCATTGGGTTAGGAATGGCCTTAGAGCAAGTATAATAGTGAGCTATAAGCCTACTATAAACTTAGGGAGGAGAGAGGTAGTGAAAAATCAAGGGTGTTGGCTCTTATGCAAGAGCTAGCTTATCACAAGATCCAAGACAAATACATTAAATGCATAATTAAGAGATAGAGAGAGGAGAAGAAAATATTGTAGCCAACCTTATAGCTAATCTATTATATATATTGGCTTTAAGATGGGCTAATAATAGGAAGTGAGCTCTACCATTATCCTTACTCTTAGAGCAAGTGCAACAAGAATAAATGAATCAGCTTCTACTTAAGGGCATGTTCACTTTATGCCATTTTCAACTTTACCAAATTTTAGCATTACCAAAATTTTGGTAACTTCTTATATAGTTACTAAAATTTGACAGCAAACTAAATGTAGTCACTTTTTTTTAACAATTTTACCAAATTTGATAAGTTTGAAAATGACAACAAAGTGAACAGCCCCTAAGTATGCCAAAGGAATGTAGCTCAACTGTTTCGACAACGGGGTTTAAGCGTTAGACTTCGCATTTATGCTCAGGTTTACAGCTATTTTTTAAGTGATGATGGACATACCAGCCAACGTTTCTAGAGTGGGTACTTGTGCGTTTGAATAGCATTTGTATAGGTAAAAGTTATATTTAAGTTTTTTACTTACTAGTACAATTTAGTAACAATTTTATTTATATTAAGTACCATATTTACTCCATCCGTTCTATAATATTATTTATTTATATAATATTATTTATTTATATTACTATATTATGGAAGAGAGGGAGTGCTAGTATAATAGTATAATACGGAGTGACTACAGTGGAATATACTACTACTCCATAGTCAAAGATATGCCTGCATACTCGTTTCCTCGGGGTTCTCCAAAGCCTGGCATTAATTTCTGTGCTTCTGTCCTCCTGTGCTCCACTCCAGGTCTCCAGTACTCCCAGTGGAGTATTGACCGACCACCACCACCACCACCCCATCCCCTCCCCTGCACTCGGTGCTGGAGTAGGAGATTCTTCTCGTGAGTTTATTTTCACCTCCGAGCAAGGTTAGCCAATAGTATGACAACGTATCCTATGCACACACTACCTATGAATCTATGATGCACTCATGCACTCAGCCACCGTAGACCCTTCGATTCCAATCCAACAGATACAAATCTAGGTGCGGCATTTTTGCAGAAAACCGCCCGCATTATTCACCCAAATTTACAGGTAAACCCCTCGCTTGCTTTCCTCTTCTCTAGTTCAACCTTCTCCCCAGATCGATCCCCAATTCTCTCGAGGTAGGACTGGGCGACGGCAGCATCCCCAATCGCCCCGTTGATGCACGCGCTGCCTTCTTGTTGAGGTGCCTGCATCATGGCCACCGACGGTTGCGTATCCATCCACACACAGCTGAATGTTGAGATGGCCTAGCTCAAGCAGGGTCACGGCCCGGCTGACCTCCAAGCAGTGACCTTGCCGATGGAGGAGGAGACCAGTGTCCAATCGATGACAAAAACAAGAAGAGAAATTGATCCAGATCACAATTCAATTTTCAGCAATATTTCACTGTCACCAGTGTTTTGCAATTTCTGTAAGAGAGGGAACAGTCTAACAATATCAATATATTTTACACCAGATGCTATATTGACATCTGAATCCATGACAATAGCACAAAACGACTGTTCGCAGCCAGTTAACACAAAACGCCGCACCTCAAATTATGTATAAGACTTGAATGGAGAAATCAAAACAAAATCTTTTGCATTCAGTTAACAGCAAAGAAGAAAAAGAGAACCATAAGCCATCGATTCATCCTAATTGATCATCCTTGACCCAATCAAACATCGTGTGCTAATGACCTGAAGAGAAACACCCTAAATGCGCTGCATGCCGTCAGCGCGAGCCCCGCCGTTGTGACGACCACCACCACCACGCCTATATAGCTGGCAAAACCAGGCCACGAGCAGAGAACAACCATGTGGCTGCGAGATACAGCGCTTGGACAGGGCGCCGGACGGCCACCGCTTGCTCACCAGCCTCGATAGGAGGACGCGCATGTAGGCGAGGGCGATTGGAGATGCCACCGTCGCCCAGCACGAAGAGGATTGGGGATCGATCTGGGGAGAAGAATGAACAAGAGAGGAGAAAAGCAAGCGAGGGGGTTACCTGTAAATTTAGGTGTAGGATGCGGGCGGTTTTCTGCAAAAATGCTCACCTAAGATTTGTATCCGTTGGATAGAAATCGGAGGGTCTATGGAGGCTGAGTGCATGAGTGCATCATAGGTAGCGTGTGCATAGGATATGTTGCCTAATAGTATAGCCGATTATTAGCTCCAATTTATTTATAGTTAATCTAATAACCAATCATATAATAATTGTTTACTACACTATTAGTATATGGTCCCACCTGTTATATACACATTGCGTCTTGGAGTCTGTGCTGCAGCTGGCTACAAATATGTAGCCCGTTGTTATTCTCTCTCATCTTTTATCTCATTAAAATATTTTCGTAGCTGGCTAATAATTTGCTATTGTACCTGCTCTCAGCCCACCAGCTTTCAAAAGATTTCATCCTAATAGTATCGTTTGGTTATTTACCTGCAGAAGTATTAGCGGAAGTACAACAATCAACAGACTATAGTTGGCTCTACGTCCACGTAATGCTACCTTGTAATTTTTATCCATATTCACTGCATTAGAAACTATCACAAAGAGTACATAAAAGGGGAAGATACAAAATTCATTGGCTGCCGGATAGATGAAAGTCGTGCATAGGTATAGTAAGTGACTGTTTGACACACCTCGAGCTCCAGCTCCACTTCTTCTAGAGCTAGAGCCCAGCTAGACAGTTTTAGCTTCACCTATAAATGGAAGTGAAGCTCTCTCATAAAATGAACTAAATATGTAAAGTTAGGTTTAGGTAGCTTCACAACTTTATTTTAGACATAATTTTTGGAGTTAAATTTAGGAGTTCTACCAACGGATCCCAAGTAACAAATGATTGCTGATTAATGTACAAGCTAGGCTTTTGATGGGATGGATTGTCTTGTATGGATATGTAGGAAAGGGTGCTCCTAGATGTGTGTGTTTGGGGGTGGTTTAACTCTGAAAGCTTAATACTTCCTCTGTTTCACAATGTAAGACTTTCCAGCATTGCCCATATACATGAATCTAGACACATGTATGTGGACAATGCTAGAAAGTCTTACATCGTGAAACGGAGGAAGTAAGATTTATCATTGTGGCTGCTAAAATAAATCAATTGGTAAAGATATACTATGAGCAAAGTATCAAATAAAATAATCTATGTTAGATTTAAATTTACTACTCTCTCTATCATAAAATATAACATTTTTTATTGAATGGGACACATCGTAGTACAATAAATTTGAATAGGAGTATATCCAGATTCGTTGTACTAGGATATGTCTCATCCAGTACAAGGCTGGTATATTTTGGGACGGAGGGAGCACTCTACTACAACCACACAGCTAGTAGTAGTAGTATGTATGGTAACGGTGCCCGTCACCGTCAGCCAAAACTCGACTGCACAGTAAGCAGCAGGCAGTCCACTGTGTGAAAATCGGCCCACTAGGCACATGTCGGCCCGTCATCGATGCACGAAGAATAGGCCCTTCAGGCCCGTTTACTATTATTTTTCACTTCTCTCTGCCTTCCTTGTCCTCGGCTCTTGCTGACAAAACACTGGATCTGGACCAATACTTCTCTTACTTTATAAGTTTAGATTAGATAGTTTCATTAGAATCCTATAATTAGAAAATCTAATAATTCTAAATTGTTAGGCACGTGTTATCTATATATATACAGTTGGAAGTAAGATTATTAAAAGCAGCCAGACAAACTATTCTATTAAAGCTGCGGGTAAACCTTTTATTCAAAAAAACATACTACCTCCGTCCCAAAATAATTGTATTTCTAGGATTCAAATTTTGTCCCAAAATAATAGCAATTCTAGAGTACTAATTACCCCATCAATCATCTCTTATTCAAATTTCTCTCTATTTTACCCTCAACCATCTTCCTAGTATTAAAAGGGAGCATTGATGCCGAATAAGTGGCAACAATTTAGTAGTACTCCACAGCACACAATTATTAGTGGAGTAGTATTCTACACTGAGCACTGGCTCCATTTATGGTGCTATGCCTTGTACACTGTGCTATGTCTATTTAGGTCGTGTTTAGTTCACAAAAGTAGTTTGGTTGAAATTAAAATGATGTGACGGAAAAGTTGGAAGCTTGTGTGTGTAGGAAAGTTTTGATGGGATGGAAAAGTTGGAAGTTTAAAGAAAAATTTTGCAACTAAACACGGCCTTAGCTTTGAAATGTAGTGATAACTATTTTTATAAATCAAATTGAGTATTACTACTTGATACGGAGTACGTCTCTTGATATAATTATTCAAGTTAATATAATTATTCGAGAGAATATCTATTTTGGTCACTTGGGTTCCAGTAAAGAGTGCATTCTTGATGATGCGTGATTGATGAAATCGAGCTTATGGCAATTATTCGAGAACATAGACGATAAAGTTGATGGGTTAAGAAATGCTAATGAAGAAAGTTTTTACAAAATTATTGTAAGAGCTTAAAAAACATGCCTATGATATCACGTGATTCATAAGTATAAAAAATTCACCGCTTTAGTTCATGTTATATCAAACACACCCTTCGTATCTAGTACCGCTCTAATGCAAGTGTGTGCGCGCATAGCCCGTGTAGACACGTACGCACGTGCGCATTTCTCCTTTCAACCCAAGTTTTTGGTTTATGAGCTACATGCAACTCATCAACCTAACACCTTACTATTTTCTTATTAAGATTCAGATTTTATCTCAGTTCCGATTAGCACACTTTTCAAACTACTAAACGGTACGTTTCGTGTGATAACTTTATAAACAGAAGTTACTTTAAAATATCAAATATATACATTTGTCAAGTTTATAATAATTAAAACTTAATTAATCATGTGCTAGTGGCTTCTCGTTTTACGTGCGCAAACTTCATATTCGTTTTCATCAGTTTTAAACACCACATATAGAATTTTTGTATGCATAAAACTTTTATATAAAAACTTTATACCTGTAGGGAAACTATATACATATACATATACATGAAATATATATAAACTTTATACATAAATAATATTAAAGTGTAAATATTTTTACATAGAAATATTTAAATGAAAAAGGTCAGAAGGCAAAAGGAGCATATTTTGGGCCGCAAGCACGCATGCAACTATTTGGATTTAGTAAAAAAACCACACGATGTGAGGTGTAAAATGGAATGTTGACCCGATTCGAAAACAAATTAGGCAAAAATAGAAAGGCACGACGCGCATTAGCATTTTCACCGTATTTGTCATTTGTTTCAAAGGCAAAAAAATAAATGCTCAACATCAAATATGGAGATTATATATAAAAATGAAATTATACCCTCAAATATGTCATGGAAAAACTAAAAGGCTAGCGAAAGTTGTACCCAGACAGCTGCTACATAAGCTAAACCAAATTCATAGTATCATAGTAGATTTTTCAAAAATAAAAAGAGAATATTTTTCCTTTCCTTTCTTTTTTTATGTTTGAAAGAGGGTGGGCATAGTAATACCTTTTCTTTTTGAGAAAACCAAAATAATTTTGATGGCAACGATGGGTATTGGGCGTGTTTGCCCCCATATAACACGATCTCGATGACTATTTTGATTGAAAGAATGAGCTTGGAGGATCTATTTGAACAAATGGCCTCAAGTCGAAATTAGAAGGAGCACTCCTTTTATCCCGATTATAGATCATGTTTTTTTTAAAAAAAAATCTTTATGTGTAAATTTTCTAGAGTACTTTTTTTAAAAATAACTCTTCAACTTAGTACAATAGTTAATACATTTGTTGATATATATATAAAAAATCAGATAATCCACCATTCAGTTGAAAATGGCTAAAGTCTAAAATGGCAATTTTATGTAAAAGTAGTTGTTTTTATGGAATGCATTAATAATGCCACCTGCAAGTTAAAATTAAAATAAAAGAAACATAGTTAGGGACATTTGAGAAAAAACATTGCATGTATTAAAGTAGGAGAATGAGAAGGGAAGGAAAATGCAGTAAATAATAAGCAGGTAACCTGTTGATGACGCCTAAACAGTTGGTGCTTGGTGCCTGGTAAAGAGGAGGAAGAAGAAGAAGAAAGAAGAGGAAGGGGACACCACACCACAGGTAGCACTCGAGGAGAGGAGAGGAGAGGCGAGGCAGAAGGAGGCAGAAGGAGGAAGAGGCGGCAGCAGCATCGGCGGGAGGCTGGCTCCGGCGCGAGCACAAGCTGGCTACCCCACGCTCCTCCCACCACCTCAGCACCTCCGCGGCGCTTGCAGCCGCGGGGGTCTCCGTCTCCTACCCACCGCCCCTGCCCCCCACTCCGCCCAGTGCGGCGCCCACGGCGCCCGACATGGGCGCCGGCGGCGCCGCCAAGCAGATCGTCGACTCGCTCCTCGCCCGCTTCCTCCCGCTCGCCCGCCGCCGCATCGAGACCGCGCAGGCACAGGTAACTCCTCTCCTCTCTCCTCTCGCCTCGCCTCGCCCGGAATTCCATCACCAGATTGGGGCCTGCCTCTTCCCTCCCTCACGGATAAACAACGGGATCGGGACGGACTCACCTCCTTCCTTCCTAGGGTTCACCCCCCTTCCAGATCGCCCTTCCGGTTCCGGCTCCACACTCTGATTTGTTTTATTTCTTTCCTTCACCCTCTTCATCTCACTGGAGCCCCAATTCACTCCTCGAATTGGATCGATTGCAGGTGCACCACCTCTTCCAACCGCTTAGGCCTAGGGATTTCCCCCATACCCTATGTTCAAAGTACAATTGCTCTATGCTGCCGCTTCTATCAGTGCTCCAAATCATTGCCATCCCACCATTGTTATTACTGCTACTTCCTTCTCTATGAAACTGCCTCCTCATGCGTGTCCATTTGAATTTGATTTGCTTGTGCTGCGACATGCCCACATTGTTGAAAAATGCTCAAAATCGTACTCCACCTTTGATGGTCTCGTTACTTTCACATGTGTGCTCCACCTATAATACTGGGTCATGTTTCCAAGAGCACGATGATGTTTCTCTCAATACTACTTAGCTCAACTGCATGGAGGAACCTTTCTACCTAGACATTCTCTTGTTTTCTTGAGGCATTATTATTTTACCTGCCAGATGAACAACTTCAAAATTGATTACTAGCTTATATCATCAGGGCAAATGTTATTACTATTACAGAAAATACATCTGACACTAAATTTCTTTATTTTTGAAAATGCATAGGATGGGCAATACCTCCGTCCATCTGATCCAAGCTATGAGCAAGTATTGGATTCACTTGCCATGGTTGCTAGGCACACACCTTTGCCTCTTTTGGAAGCTCTTCTTCGGTGGAGGGAAAGGTATGCTTATTCACCTTGACTTTGAAAGCTCTAGCCCTATCCCTTAATGCTTCCCCGAAATCATTATTGAACAATGCAAATATGCAATGAGTTCTCTGCACTCCCTTATTTATTACTGAACTACTGTTCTTCACTGTCGCACAGTGAATCACCAAAAGGCGCACATGACGCATCAACGTTCCAAAAGAAGGTTTGTCGTTGATTGCCCTTGCCCTCTCCTTTTCAAGAACCACTTCATTTTCGATTGTAACTAACTATTAAGCAGCATCAGACAGGCATTCTTGCACATATAATTTCTCTATTATTTCATAGTTGCAAATAGTTGCCAGCAGGGTATTTGATCCCTGATCTCTCAAAACTTTTACTCCCATAGTATTTTCATTTGCGTACTCTCGTCTAAAAATCCTCATGTCTGTTTTCTGACCCCTTATCCAGCTTGCTGTCGAGTGCATATTCTGTTCAGCCTGCATTCGTTTTGCTGAGTATTGCCCACAAGAGGGAATAACAGGTTGTTATAATATTATATTTTGACTTATTTGCACGGCTACTTTCTGATGGGTTGGCTAACTAGCTGTTTTATTTTATCTAGAGAAACTTTGGATTGGCCTGGAAAATTTTGTATTTGATTGGCTAATTAATGCAGACAGGTGAGGCATTACTGCCTTTTTTTTACTTAGGTTTTCTCACATGATAAATAAAACACATCCACGCCTGTGGTGCATCTTAAATTTGTTTATCTTTGGCTTTGCATATCATCAAAACAGCACATCATGTGCAATAAATATTTGCTTTCTTGTTTCTTTCAGCTTGTGCCAAATTTTGCGAACCTTGTCATTATGTTAGATTTTGTTTCTTGATTGCCAGGAAAAAAAGACTTTATATTCTTTAGAAGTTGAGTTTCTTACCAACTTCTTTACTTTCTGCAGGGTTGTTAGCCAAGTAGAGTATCCCTCGTTGGTTGATTTGCGAGGTCTCCTCTTAGATCTTGTTGCCCAACTTTTGGGAGCTTTATCTCGTATCAGGTATGCTCTATATTTACATGGAACATGGATAAGGGGTGTGTGCGAAGGAGGGAGGCCATGTAAAAACTGTCGCAATATTATGTGGCCTTTTTTTTTCTTGACAAGGAAACTGCAGGGGAGGCCCCTGCAGTTTAATTATATATAATATATTGAAGGAAAGGTTTAAATAAAAGACATATGTGACCTCTTTGTCCATGTTACTTCAAATTAGGGAGGGAAGGAGGCCATGTAAAAGCTGCTGCACTGTTATATGACCTCTTTGTCTATGTTACTTAAAATTCTGATGATTCATACAGGTTTAGTTCTGTGACGGAAAGGTTTTTCATGGAGCTTAATAGTCGGCGTAATGATGCGCCTCTTTCTAGAAGTGATTCACTCAGCATTATTAATGGGATGCGCTACCTTAAATTGGGGGTACGATACAAAGATCGCTTTATTATTTTAATTTTCTGTGCCAGTTCATAGTGAGTTGACAAGTATTTAAAGTGCATGGCAATGACAATCTGATTTATCTTGGCATGCTGTCTTACAAAATTCCAAATGTTCTATCAGGTAGTATGGTACCACTACCATGCTTCAGTTACAAGTCCACTTTCACTGGCCAAAACATGCTCTGATATTAGCACTTTGATGAATCTGAATCATCCAAAGTTTTTACTTGTGTACCACTGTACATAGAATCCCAAAAGTACCTTTTGATTTGCAGAATTTTAATTTTGTTAAGAAAAACATATCTACATACACAAGAAGTAACTTAACTGATACTCTATTCACTCCATCATCTTTGAACCAATGTACATAACAATGCCATTCAGTTTGAATTGTAGTTATTACATACTTAAGAATTTACTTTTTCAGGTGAAGACAGAGGGTGGACTGAATGCCTCGGTTTCTTTCATTGCAAAAGCAAATCCTCTAAATCGTCCTCCCAACAAAAGAAAGAGTGAACTGCAACATGCTTTGTGCAACATGCTCTCAAGTATACTGGCCCCGCTTGCTGAGGGAGGCAAACATCATTGGCCTCCTCTGGGTGTAGAACCTGCATTGTCACTTTGGTATGATGCTGTTGCTCGAATAAGAGGCGCGCTCATGTATTGGATGGATAAGCAGAGCAAACATATTGCAGTAAGTCGAGGATTTGAAATTTAATGTTATACATTTTTTGGCATTTGTACAAAATATTGTATGCCTTGATTATTTTTTTTGTTATTGAATAACTAGCACATACTTTATTTACTTCTTTATTTGTTAGCGAGCATGAGATATTAATGATGCTGGACTGGGAATTCGGAAATTGATCTGTCAAATTGAGATTCTAATGGAATTTTCTGATTTTATGCTTTGTAGTTGAATAAGGCAATAAACTTCACTTTCTATCTTATCATCTTGGTGACTGTATTATTTCCTTTTTTAGACATCATTAATTACTGATGCCTTGTGCAATTTTAATATTTAGTGCTGAATCTTCATCACAGGTTGGATTTCCACTTGTAACTCTTCTACTTTGCCTTGGTGATTCCCATACGTTCAACACTCACTTTTCTCAACATATGGAGATCTTGTATAAGTATCTCAAGGTGATTTTTTGTGCGCACATTTGATCATATCAAAGGCCTATCATATTTCACCACCTAATATTCTTTTAAATGCTGTACTCATTGTACTGATTGTAAACCATGATCCTGATTTCTGAAACTTATATTCTTCCTTTGTGCTGCATGAAGCCTAATGATGCTTAATTGCTTATTACGCAGGACAAGAATCACCGATCAATGGCATTAGATTGTCTTCACAGGCTAGTGAAATTTTACTTAAATGTTTATGCAGATTACCAGCCTAGAAATCACGTGTGGGACTGTTTAGATAGTGTGACCTCTCAATTGCTGACCGTTTTGAAGAAGGGCTTGCTGACACAAGATGTCCAGCATGATAAACTTGTTGAGTTTTGTGTGACCTTAGCTGAGAGCAACTTGGATTTTGCAATGAATCATATGATCCTCGAGTTGTTAAAACCAGATAGTTTAAGTGAAGCAAAGGTTGTTGGTCTTAGGGCTTTGCTTGAGATAGTTGTGTCTCCATCTAACAAACAAATTGGATTGGATGTCTTCCAAGGTAACACGGTTTTATGAACTGTTCCATTCTGTTTAATCTTAAATATTTTCTGAAAATATTGTAATCAGTATTTTTACTCTTTAATTTCAGAATATGGTATTGGGCATTATATTCCAAAAGTAAAGTCGGCGATTGAGTCGATTTTACGATCTTGTAACAAGGCATATAGCTTAGCCCTTCTTACATCATCGAAAGCTACTATAGGTATGCTGCTACTTCTCATTGTACAAGGAAATATTCAAATTATTTTCTATTACTTTTGTCAATTTATTTTCATTCATCTTTGGAAACTATCGATACTTAAAATTGTGTCACGTGATGCAAATACTCATTCAACTTTCTATTTTCCCCTTTATTTCATTATTTCTAACATTGGTATTTTCAGATAATGTAACAAAGGATAAATCTCAGGGATCACTCTTCAGATCTGTGCTGAAATGTATACCATACTTAATAGAAGAGGTGGGACGTAATGATAAAATGACCGAGATTATACCTCAGCATGGTATAAGTATTGACCCTGGTGTTCGTGAAGAAGCAGTGCAAGTGTTGAACAGGATTGTACGATGCTTGCCGAATCGTCGCTTTGCTGTATTGAAAGGAATGGCCAACTTTATCCTAAAACTTCCTGATGAGTTCCCTCTTTTGATTCAAACATCACTGGGACGATTAGTAGAGCTCATGCGCTTGTGGAGAGTATGCCTATCTGAGGAACTTTTGGCAAAAGACATGCAAAATGTTAAGCGTTCTAGTCTAGGAGGCGATGCACTACAGAGGTCTCCTTTTCATAGATCCAGGGATGTATCTGAATTCCGTGCCTCGGAAATGGATGCAGTTGGTCTTGTCTTTCTCAGCTCTGCTGATGTTCAAATAAGGCTTACTGCTTTGGAGTTATTGCGATGTGTTCGAGCGCTAAAAAATGAACTCAGGGATTACTCGGCAAATGAATGGGGTGACAGCAAACTGAAGCTTGAACCAGAACCTATATTTATTATTGACATCATAGAGGAAAATGGGGTTAGTTTTTTTATATATTTTTCTGTTTGTTTGGATTTAAGTTTCTTTGACCTGGACTGTTTGAAATGAAGTAGTTTTGCTGGGAAGAAAAGAAAGTAAATGTTTTCAGCCCTCCAAAATTCCTGTCCCAGTTGGGCCTTAAGAATATCTTTGGCTTCTAATGTTATCATTGAACTGTTTCCCATGCTTGATGACTATCTGTCTACATAAATCCACAGGAAGACATAGTTCAAAGCTGTTACTGGGATCCTGGGCGACCTTATGATCTGAGGCGCGAGATGGATCCTGTTCCCTTGGATGTGACTCTTCAATCCATTTTAGAGAGCGCAGATAAAAGCAGATGGGCCCGTTACCTCAGCGAGATTGTCAAATATGCAGCTGAACTTTGCCCAAGCTCTGTGCAGGATGCAAGGCAAGGACTCTGGGGGTTTCCTGAAATCTTTCTGTGTATTATGACTTACTTTGTGTCAAGCCTCCCTTTTATTCCCCTCCAATAGCAATCCTGACTTTCCGTTGTTGAATTCAAATTAGGCAGTGTCTTCACTGCAGTATGTAAGTACTACACTAAATTGGCACTTAACCAGAAGCTCGTAATATGAATACAATTATGTGTCATTGGGATGTTAGAGATCTCCATATAGATGGACTGATGGAAGTTGACTAGCTGAGAGACTAGAGACATTTAACAGAGATGCACACCCTTAATTGGTTTATTCATTAACCTTAACTCAAAATATGTAGCTTTCTATGGATTGGGTACATTAAGTCATCTTCCAGTTGATTGCCTATTTCTCTAAGAGCCGCATTTTACATGCACCTTTGCTATTTTGCTAGGTCTCAATTTCTAGACAGTGGTGCTCTCTGCATTCATTTGATAATTTTGGGCATCTTATAATTGACTTTATTTCATGACTCCGCAGATTAGAGGTTGTTAGGAGATTAGAACAGATCACTCCGGTCGAACTAGGTGGAAAGGCACAACAATCACAGGATACTGAAACTAAGCTCGATCAATGGCTGATATATGCAATGTTTGCATGTTCTTGCCCACCTGATAGCAGAGAAGAATTTGCCCTCAGAGCAGCCAGAGAGATCTTCCATATAGTTTTCCCATCACTGCGCCATGGTTCCGAATCATATGCTGTAAGTCATGTGGTTATATATTTCCAAATGTTTAACTTGCCTTGCATATGACCATACACAATTGCATGTTTATTATAGCTTGTTCCTCATTCTGTCTGTTAACATTCCAAATGTTCTGAATCAAATTAACATTCCAAATGTTTCCTTTTTTTTTTTCGTTGATTGTTTTTTTCTTTTGCACAAAATCTGATTTGTTGAACTGAAACCCCCAACACTCAATTGATAACATTGGTAAAATCTTTTCTGATTTTGTAATGTTTATTTGAAATGAAAACTAATGTTTTCTAAAGGTTGGAATTGTAGTATACTTGCATTACTTATAGCTTTGAGTGCACAGGATATGCAAAGTACAGTTTTTGCCATAAGTCATATGAACTAAATGATGCCTGGCATGCCCGTGCAATATTGACATGAAGCATTTAATGAAATTATGCAAGCGCCTTAGACTAGCATGCTTAGGAGATAGTGAGCTAGCCAAATTAATGTCATTTTTCTGTGTAGCGGTTTTCCACTAAATATTTAGTTTCAGCATTGGTTAGTTGATTATGGATAAAGCACTCTAATTGTTTTATCTTTTGCGGTGTTTTCTGTATCTACAGCTTGCTGCTACAGCTGCCCTTGGGCACTCACATCTGGAAGTATGTGAAATCATGTTTGGTGAACTTACATCTTTCCTTGAGGATGTATCATCAGAAACAGAAGCAAAACCAAAATGGAAGGTACAGCAGATTTACTTTGTTCCAATGGGCACTATATCAGTTCAGTGAATTAGTCCACACTTTCTCTGCTGTGGCCATCTTCATTTAAGGAAGGGCATTTATTGCATAGATCTTTCCATATTTCTGGAAAAACTGACTTTTGTTTTTCACCTAAAATACCCAGCCTAATTCAACCAAACTGATCACTAATCCATGGTTTTAAGCTATCATCCCAGTTTCACTAGCTTATTTTTGTATCGACAGATCTTATTGATCTCTCTCTATTTCTTAATATACCTTTGAGACTGTGACTTGGTAGCAACTGCTTAACCTGTATATTTGTAATTCACATGTCTATTTTCCATGGTAGCCTCTTTACACAATTTTCCACAAGAAGGTACTTTGCCACTTTTATAAATCTCCAAGTACTCCATCCGGTCAGGAATACTTGTAGTTTTAGACATACTTTCACGTCGAACTTTAGAAACTTTGAATATCATTATCTTTTTACATTCTTAAATTGGATATAGGAGAACCATGTATGTAGATTTGTCTCAGAGAGTACTTTCATGACATGGAAATTTATTGTGTTATATAAACATAACATATTATATTCTCAGTGGTCAAAGTTACACTTGTAAGACTGTGTTGATGTCCAAAACAGGAAGTATTTGTGACCAGAGGGAGTAAACCTTTCATTCATTTCCTCAAATAATTTGAAATTGGTAGTGCTAGCAGTGACCAAATGTGTTTTTCCCTGCAGAATCCTAGGTCCCGCCGTGAGGATCTGCGTACGCATGTCGCAAACATACATAGAATGATAGCTGAGAAGATTTGGCCTGGAATGCTTAGTCGAAAACCTGTTCTCCGTTTACATTTTCTAAAGTTCATTGATGAAACATGCCGCCAGATCCTGCCACCATCTGATAACTTTCAAGATTTGCAGCCTCTCCGATATGCACTAGCATCTGTTCTGAGATATCTAGCTCCAGAATTTATTGATGCAAAGTCTGAGAGGTTCGACAGCAGATTGCGTAAGAGGCTTTTTGACCTCCTCCTTAGCTGGAGTGATGATTCTGGCAGCACTTGGGGACAGGAAGGCAACAGTGACTATCGCCGTGAAATTGAGCGATATAAAGCTAGCCAGCATAATAGGTCAAGGGAATCACTTGACAAACTTGCATTTGACAGGGAAATGGCTGAGCAGTTGGAAGCTATCAATTGGGCTTCAATGAATGCCATTGCTTCTTTACTATATGGTCCATGCTTTGATGATAATGCAAGGAAACTGAGTGGTCGGGTAATATCGTGGATCAATAGTTTGTTCATGGAACTAGCTCCAAGAGCACCTTTTGGGCATTCACCAGTTGATCCCCGAACGCCATCATATTCAAAGCACACTGATGGGGGACGTTTTGGAGGAAGGGACAAACAGAAAACTAGTCACTTGCGAGTTCTGTTAGCAAAAACTGCATTGAAGAATATTTTACAGACAAATTTGGATCTGTTTCCTGCTTGCATAGATCAGGTAAGTTTTGCTTCTTCTATGAACAAGCCAACTATTTGCGTTGTATTTATATTACATTGAATAGCATTTGTTTAATTAATTACTCATGGTGACTTTTCTTCTCAAAGTAGCTCATTTAATTTGGTGGTATGCTATTAGTTACTACTTTCATCCTGCATAACTTAGGATTACGCCATTTCCTTTTTATCCCCTCTAATCATCCTTGTTTTTCTTCTTGAAGAAATTCATCCCCTTTTAGCAAGGTTAGGGATGCTTCATATCACAATAACAGTTTCTTGAATTAAAAAGTTCTCAAGCTCTTCTCACTTCTCAGCATCCTTATGTTGACAGTTTAATTTGTGCTTGCCATCACCTGTTAAATTTCGACTATACCTATCATTTGCAGTGTTACTCTCCAGATTCTCCAATATCAGATGGGTATTTCAGTGTCCTTGCTGAAGTATACATGCGTCAGGAAATTCCAAAGTGTGAGATCCAGAGAATTTTGAGCTTGATCCTCTACAAGGTGGTTGATCAAACAAAACTGATCCGTGATAGTGCCCTTCAAATGTTGGAGACACTCTCTCTCCGTGAATGGGCGGAAGATGATGCTGATGGTGTTGGGCATTACCGGGCTTCTGTTGTTGGCAACCTGCCAGATTCCTACCAGCAATTCCAGTACAAGTTGTCCTCAAAGCTTGCCAAGGACCATCCTGAGCTCAGTGAGCATCTATGCGAGGAAATCATGCAGCGCCAGCTTGATGCAGTGGATATTATTGCTCAACATCAGGTCCTCACATGCATGGCTCCTTGGATAGAGAATCTCAACTTTGTTAGACTAAAAGAATCTGGTTGGAGTGAGAGATTGCTGAAAAGTCTTTATTATGTGACGTGGAAGCATGGTGATCAGTTCCCTGATGAGATTGAGAAATTGTGGAGCACCGTTGCAAGCAATACTCGTAATATCATTCCTGTTCTCAACTTCTTGATCACCAGAGGGATTGAGGATTGTGATGCCAATCCATCAGCAGAGATTACTGGTGCATTTGCTACCTACTTTTCAGTTGCCAAGCGTGTTAGTCTGTATCTTGCTCGGATTTGCCCACAACAGACCATCGATCACTTGGTCTGTGAGTTATCTCAGAGAATGCTTGAGGATGATGAGGAACCAGTCAGGCCTGGAAAGGTTGATACTTCTGCAAATGTCGTGTTAGAGTTTTCTCAAGGACCTAGTACCTCCCAGGTGGCAACAATAGTTGATAGCCAGCCTCACATGTCCCCCCTGCTTGTCCGTGGTTCCCTCGATGGTGCAATCAGGAATGTTAGCGGAAACCTAAGCTGGCGGACATCAGCAGTTACTGGTCGAAGTGTATCTGGCCCACTGAGCCCATTGGCTCCTGAAGTAAGCATTCCAAACCCCACTACAGGCCGGTCAGGCCAGCTCCTTCCAGCATTAATGAACATGTCAGGGCCATTGATAGGTGTCCGAAGTTCAGCTGGAAATCTGAGGAGCCGTCATGTTTCCAGAGACAGTGGTGATTACTACTTAGATACCCCAAACTCAAATGATGATATTTTACATCAAGGTGGCAGTGGTGTTCATGGTATCAATGCCAATGAGCTCCAATCTGCATTGCAGGGGCACCAGCACTTGCTTTCACGTGCTGATATAGCTTTGATTCTCCTTGCTGAAATCGCATATGAAAATGATGAGGACTTTCGCGAAAACTTACCACTATTGTTCCATGTCACCTGTGTTTCCATGGATAGTTCTGAAGACATTGTGCTTGAGCATTGCCAGGATTTGCTTGTGAATCTCCTCTATTCACTCGCTGGACGCCATCTTGAACTGTATGAGGTTGAAAGCAGCGAACGGGAGAATAAGCAGCATGTCGTGAGTTTGATAAAATACATTCAATCTAAAAGAGGTAGCCTGATGTGGGAGAATGAGGATCCTACCCTTGTTCGGACTGAACTACCTAGCGCTTCACTCTTATCAGCACTTGTGCAAAGCATGGTTAGTGCAATTTTCTTCCAAGGTGATCTTCGTGAAACCTGGGGTTCTGAAGCACTTAAGTGGGCTATGGAGTGCACATCTCGTCACTTGGCATGTCGGTCACACCAGATATATCGTGCTTTACGCCCCAGTGTTAAAAGCGATAGCTGTGTATTGCTTATGAGGTGCATCCACAGATGCTTGGGTAACCCTGTTCCAGCTGTTCTGGGTTTTGCAATGGAGATATTGTTGACTCTTCAAGTCATGGTTGAGAACATGGAACCTGAGAAGGTGATACTTTACCCACAGCTCTTCTGGGGCTGTGTTGCACTGATGCATACCGATTATGTGCACATATATTGCCAGGTGCTTGAATTGTTCTGTAGGGTAATCGATCGCTTGACGTTCCGTGATCGGACAACTGAAAATGTGTTACTGTCCAGCATGCCACGTGATGAGTTTGACATCAATGGGTATACAAGCGACCTCCACAGGCTGGAATCGAGAACCACGTCAGAGAGATTGCTATCCGTGACAGAGACTGGGAAAGTTCCTGATTTCGAAGGGGTGCAGCCATTGGTGCTGAAAGGGCTTATGTCTAGTGTTAGCCATGGATCTGCAATTGAGGTGTTATCTAGGATTACCATCCCAACATGTGATTCTATATTTGGGAGTCCTGAGACAAGGCTGTTGATGCACATCACAGGTCTTCTTCCATGGCTTGGGTTGCAGCTCACCAAAGATGCATCTTCCCTCGGGTCATCTTCACCTATACAAGAGCAGAATCAGAAAGCTTACTATGTGGCATCCAACATTTCGGTGTGGTGCCGTGTCAAATCTTTAGATGATTTAGCGGAAGTCTTCAGAGCATACTCCTTTGGAGAAATCATCTCCCTAGAAGATCTTTTTGCACGCGCTTCGCCGCCAATATGTTCCGAGTGGTTCCCTAAGCACTCATCTCTGGCATTTGGGCACCTGCTTAGGCTCCTTGAGAGAGGTCCTCTGGATTATCAGAGAGTGGTGCTTCTGATGCTTAAATCACTGTTGCAGCAAACCCCAGTGGATCCATCTCAGATACCTCAAGTGTACAATGTTGTGTCACAGCTCGTGGAGAGCGCACTATGTGCAGAGGCATTGAATGTGTTGGAGGCGCTCCTACGGAGCTGCAGCGGTGTAACTGGTGGTCAAGGTGATGATATTGGATTTGGCGAGAATGGTCACGGGATGGGGGAGAAGGTTCACCAAAGCATGCTTCTTCCTCAATCATCATTCAAGGCTAGGAGTGGACCTCTTCAATATGCTGCTGCCGGTTCAGGGTTTGGGACTCTAATGGGGCAAGGCGGTGGCAGCGCTGCAGATACTGGAGTGGCCACCCGAGATGTGGCGCTGCAGAATACCCGGTTGCTGCTTGGGCGTGTCCTTGATACATGCGCTCTTGGGCGTAAGAGGGATCATAAGCGCCTTGTGCCGTTTGTGGCGAACATCGGGTAGAAAATGCAGTTGAGTGACCTATGTAAAATGTTTGGTGGCTATATGTGCTAACTGAATGAATGAATGCAGCCAATTTTGTACAGCTAGGAGCGTGATCCAGAAATCGCTGTGCACAGGTTGACAAGATAGAAGAAGCAGCACTTCCCGCCACCGAAAGACTACCCTAACCAAACTCAATTTTGACTGTTGTAATATCGGAATGTGTTTATTTATCCTGCAACCTCACAGAGGTCGCAGGTTTGAAGTATGGTTGTAGCTGTAGACTGCAATTCATTGGATGCACATACACATACATACAGCATGAGCGAGTGGCACAAGCTCTTTTCTTTTCTTTTTTTCTTGGCTAGTGTGTATATTGGAATTGCTTGGTGACATCCCGAAGGGGAAGGGACTCCAGTGTAGTGTTTGATTCATTATTATTGTTACCTGTTGTGTTCATTTATGCACGGAGACGATGTAATCTGTTTGATGTCGCTACCGTAGAGTCGAAACATCTCTCGAACAATCTAATTCACCATTCATCGTGAGAAGCTGTTATTCCAGAAATTTTGTCAGCTGTTTATGATGCCCTGTTCAGAAATTTTATACCTATCACATCAAATATTTGGACATCTGTATGAAGTATTAAATATAGGCTAAAAAATAACTAATTGCACATATCTCGATACTAATTTGTGAGACGAATCTTTTAAATCTAATTGCTCCATGACTTAATAATGTGGTACTAGTAAACATTTGCTAATGACGAATTAATTAGGCTTAATAAATTCGTCTTATGGTTTACTGACAGATTCTGTGATTAGTTTTTTTATTATTGTCTAAACGATACGCCAAAATTTGACACCTCTAGCTCTATAAATACGGACCGGTACCGTTAAGTGGTTACTTCTGGTACTGGAGTTTGTAAAGCCTGTATAGGCATATTCATCCCTTTTTTTGACAAATTGACCCTTTTGGAAAACTTATTTCGAAACTAACCTCTGCCAAAAACTTCAACCAAAAATAGGCCGTCGCCTCAGCGCCAAACACATTGGCGCTGACGTTGGCCGTGTCAGCGCCAACGGGACTGGCGCTGACATTGTGCTACCGTGGCGGCCGGGCCGATCTCCAGCTGACGTGGCAGCTACCTCAGCGCCAACCGGACTGGCGCTGAGGTGGGACTTGGCCGCAACCCCCAAGGCCCAGACCAGCAAGCCTGCTGGATGGCTTGCGGGCTGGGACCTCAGCGCCAGCCATAATGGCGCTGACCGTGGGATACTCAGCGCCAGCCCACCTGGCGCTGAGGTGGGACTTGGCCGCAACCCCCAAGGCCCAGACCAGCAAGCCTGCTGGATGGCTTGCGGGCTGGGACCTCAGCGCCAGCCATAATGGCGCTGACAGTGGGACACTCAGCGCCAGCCCACCTGGCGCTGAGGTGGGACTTGGCCGCAACCCCCAAGGCCCAGACCAGCAAGCCTGCTGGATGGCTTGCGGGCTGGCACCTCAGCGCCAGCCATAATGGCGCTGACAGTGGGACACTCAGCGCCAGCCCACCTGGCGCTGAGGTGGGACTTGGCCGCAACCCCCAAGGCCCAGACCAGCAAGCCTGCTGGATGGCTTGCGGGCTGGGACCTCAGCGCCAGCCATAATGGCGCTGACTGTTGGAAACTCAGCGCCAGCCCACCTGGCGCTGAGGTGGGACTTGGCCGTTTCGGCCGTGGCCCAGCCCAGCAAGCCTTCTGGATGGCTGGGCTGGGACCTCAGCGCCAGGTGCACTGGCGCTGAGTTTGGACATGTCAGCGCCATTTAGCATGGCGCTGACGTCCCAGCCCTGCTAAACTTTAGCAAAACTTTGCACACAACAGAGGCAAACATCAAATCACAGAAATTTACAGGCAGTAATATATCCAGAGAACCATACAAAACATACATCCATCCATCAATCCCAACATCATTCCATACATCCATAGAATCCATCAATACATCCATATATGAAGTCCATATATATAAGAAATAAAAGCATCCCATCGATCCTCGTCTATACATCCAGTCGAGTCCATACATCCAGTCCATACATCCATCGAACCATGCATCAAGTCCATCCATCTATCCATCCATCCATTGAACCATGCACTCACCTCCTCCTACCTCTAGTGCGAGGACGAGGCACGTCGGGGGTGTACCTCTAGTCCTGCGAAGGAGCCCGCCGGCGTCGTGGTCGAGACGGGCCGGGCTGCGAGATATCCGGCTGTGACGACTCTGGTGCGTCCTCTAGCTGCGAGGGACCGAGCTCATCCGCCTCCTCTTCTCTGTCCTCATCCCCTTCTTCCTCCTCATCTCCTTCCTCCGCCTCTTTGTCTTGCTCGCCCTCCTCGTCACCCACCTCCCCTTCTTCATCCCCCTCTTGGTGGGCATGAGCATGTTCGACCACATCAGTCGACCTGCAGCCGAGCCTTGCTGCCAACTTCCGACATCGCTACCGTAGTCTCTGCATAAAAAATAATCCATGTTAAGTTATCGCTTTTGGAAGAAAACACCGTAGTTTCATCTCTTTCCAACGATTACCTGTAGGGCGTTGCGGAGGGTGCCGCCCTCTCCTTCGGAGCCAGGAGCCGTGCCTAGCGCCACTCCCGCGTCGTTGACGGTCCGCAAGAGCTCTCGAGCCTGTAGGATTGAAATGAAGTAAGTCACAACATATATGGCATTGAAATGAAATAATATACAACATTAATGCTAGAAACTAACCACTCTGTCGCGAACAGGTCCCGTCTCGACCGTGGTACCTAGACGGGTACGAGTATCGTACTCGTTCTGCTCCTCAACATCCTCGGGGTCATCCGCTATGTCGGCTAGTGTCCAAGCCGGACGTAGGACAAGACGGTAGGTCCTGTGGAGCCACGCCAAGTACAAGTCGAACTCCGTCCCGTTGTGCTGACCCTGGTCTGGTACTCCATTCTCCTCGAACTTCTCCCATTGCGTGATATGATCCTGATGGTAGTAAGCCCAATCAGTCACCTTCTTGTTCTTCCGACGGTCCACCCTGCACGTATGCAAAATGTCCAACTCAAATATGTAGTAAATGTTGAAGTGACTGATTGGGCAAGCAAAATAAATTGTTAAGTGAAATTACTAACTTGTGTAGGTCGATACTCGTGGAGAAACGGTGCGGGATTGTTTGAAGCCTCCCGAATTGCCGCATCACGCGGTGGCACATCTGGAACTCCACTGCATAGAAGCAGATCAGTGGGCACCGTAGGGTCTTCAACGCATCCTCTATATGGCACATGGGATTCAGTTCTAGCTCGAGCACTTCCTGTGCCTGATATGGCATCCACACCACCTGCAGCAACAAAAATAAAACACATTGAAGCACATTTAGTACTATATAGTAAGAAACCATCTTCATGTGTGATAGAACCCCGAATAGCTTACATGTTCTGGCTGTAGGTAGTCCATCTCGTTTGTGTAGTGGTAGTACGCCAAATTCCTGCGGCCTACTACTGGAGATGGGGCCGATTCCCACAGGTGAGCTACAGTGGGACGTCGGTCTGCATCCTGGTGCGGCCAAGCCTGATGGGTCCTCCACATGGGCCGACCAACTGGAAGCCTCATCCACATCCAAACCTGCGTCACATACGTTAGCTTCCAACATGTTAGCAAGAAATTGAAATGTTATGAAACATAACATGCGTGAACTTACCTGTAGCAACCAAACACAGCCTGCTAGGTTCGCGTCCCCGCCTTACCTTCGGCAAGCATCACAGAGTTGCCGGTACAACCAGGCTAGGGCAGCCGACCCCCAGCTGAAGGTACCCGCCTCGTCCCAGTCCGCGAGCAACGGCAGCCACATCCAAGAAGCCATGTCTCCACCAGAGTCAGGGAACAGAATACTGCCGAAGATGTACAGCACGTACGCCCTGCAGTATCGCTGTACTGTAGCCTCGTCTGCCTCAGCGGGACACTGACCGAAGTTGGCTCGCAACCAACTCAAAGGAACCCCTGATGTCTTCGTCTGCCTCTGACCATCAGGTGCCACTGGAGGCTCCAGACCAAGGTACTCCTCGACCCTCTCCCTCCAGTTCCCCGACGCTGTGTCACCTGTAACCGGAAATTAAATGGAATTATTAGTAATTGCAAAAAAATTAACAAATGAATACGAAGACTCGTTAGTAATTCCCTGACGCTGTGTCACCTGTGACCGCCTGACCCCGGATAGGAAGACCCAGGATCATGGCGACGTCCTCCAGAGTGACCGTCAGCTCCCCGCACGGTAGGTGGAAGGTGTGTGTCTCTGGACGCCACCGGTCCACTAGGGCCGTCAGAGCAGCAGCGTTGTACAGAGGCACCGGTCGCTGCGCCATGGTCACGAACGCCAAGAGCTTCGCCCGCCGTAGGTACGGGACGTACCGGTCGTCGAACAGTATGTGCGCCGTGTGACCTCTGACTCGAAGGGTCTTCAAGCGCTGCATCAATAGACAAACATAATAACATAAAGTTAGCGACAATATATCATATACAAGGGTTGTGGAAAATACATCATGCAACTAGGAACTTTAATTTTGGGATTGAGCAAGAAAACTGAAAAGAAGATCTGTGTGTTTACATGCTCTGCTTTGAGGCTCCTGAACTTTGATTTGAGATATCTCTATGATGGATGATCTATCTGTACAAACTAAAATCAAAGAAGAAAAAATAAATTCGATCATAAAAAAAATGGAATATTGTTGATGCTAACCTCTCCGCTGGCAATCTGTGGGGCCCGGTGCTTCTCCTCGTAGAAATCCTCCAACCCCGGAAAGTGCTCCATCCTGCAAATGAAAATGGAATCATTAGTAATTGAAAAAATATTAAATGGAAAAATCACAATGAGAACGGAAAGGAGGACAACAGAAAGTAAACATTGATGCAACAATATGAACTTAGCAAATGAATGTCATCCAATCCCACCTGTGTGCTACCCTCACCACCTCCCCCCGTCCTACGGCGCTTTTTCGGTCGATCCTTAGACTTGTCTCGCTTCGGGCACCTAGTTTTCTTATGGCCTAGTTCGTGGCATAGCGAGCATCTATTTTGCATGACCGGCTCTGAATTTGTATTGTTCGGCTTTTGTGACCGTCGGTTGGCTGAGCCTTTGTATGCTTTGTCCATATCGTTCTTGAACCTTCTTGTCCTTCTTCTTCCTCGTGTGTTGTTCTTTAATGACAAGTCGGGCACGAAGAACTCTCCATCATAACTTGGCCACTGCGATGGATCTAGGTAAGGTTCAAACCTAGGGGAGTACGAGTCCTGCACAGCCTTATTGGAAGCTTCATAACACATTCGGGGGGCCACCTCCACATCCAAACCTCGCAACTTACAAACGGTTATCATGTGGGAGCATGGCAAGTGATGGAGCTGAGGGAACTGACAACTACATGTGTTATCTCTCGCAACCACGACGTAGTGACGTCCACCCCATTGAACCCCAGCCGCCGTGACTCCGCCTTGCTCGCTGACCTCATACTTCATCGAAGGGAAATCAAAACATGCTGCTCTTTGCCCCAAGGTTCGTCTTTGCTGCTCCTCCAACATGTCCTTAACTTTTGTGGGCCACTTCTTTCCACACAGGATATCTACAGTTGCCTCTTTGTGTCTATCGACAAACCAACTATTGCACTTTGAAAATGTGTATGCCACAATAGCTGTAACCGGCAGTTTCCGAATGCCTCTCAATACATTATTGAAACTCTCGGCCATATTACTAGTCATGATGCTATGACGACGCCCGTTGGTATCAAATGCTCTTGCCCATTTGACCTTAAGTGGCATATGGTCTTCTAGCCACTTCTTTGGCCTCTCTCCGACCACACCCATGAGGCGTTTTATCTCATCTAGGAACAATGCTTTCTCATTTATTTGACATATGCGCTCAAGATCTTTCATCTGATCAGTCGTAGCTCCAGCTGTGTAGAAGTTAGCACAGAAGTGCCTCATGCACCACCTGTGGTGAATGGTTAGGTGATGAGGCATGATGTGGATGATGGAGTTCAAAATGCCAGGGTGTCTATCAGAAATTATACACACTTCTCTATTAGGACCGATCAACTTGTTTCTCAACATGTTGATGAACCACTCCCAGTTGGATGTATTCTCCTTCTCTACCAGAGCAAACGCTAAGGGAACAAGATGTAACCCGGCGTCGACCCCTATTGCCGTGAGCAATGTACCTTGGTATTTACCGGTTAAGAAAGTGCCATCAATTGCTAGCACCGGCCTCAAGTGCTTGAATGCTTCTATGGACTGGCCAAATATCCAATATGCACGTCCAAATACTCGCCTCTGTACTCCATCCACCATCCTGGACTTCTCGGGATGAGCCTCAACACGGAAATGCATGGTAGGGTTCTTTGCTTTGATGGCACGCATCAGTGTAGGCAAGCGAACATACGCCTCGTCCCAATCTCCCCAAATGACCTTCATAGCAACTTGCTTAGCACGCCATGCTTTGCCATACGTAGGCCGATAGTGCCATATTTGCTCAACTGCCTCGACAATCGCTGTTGGAGATAAAGTTGGTTCAGCTCGCACAAATGCCTGTAACCTGTTTCCAATAAACCTTGAAGTAAGTTGCAAATGCTTGCCGGTTACTTCCGCACTACAGCATGTGTGGTCTTCGCCCACCCTAGTCACCCGCCACCTATCTCCTCCACTCTTCCTTGCATTAATCTGCCATTTGCAATGGCGATCGAGACAAGCCACAGTATACTTTACTGACGCGTTAGATTCCTTCACATGGTACGGCCGGTGGACACGGATAGAATAACTCTGTAGCCATATTTTCAGATCATCCATCGATCGAAACTCCAACCCCTTCCTTGGTTCATCACACATTGGTTCGAAGGCACCGTCATATTGTGGATCCCCATCAGCAATTGCTAGCCCAGATCTGGTAAGATCCTCGAATTGTGTTATTTCCGGGTTTCTACCCACCAGTTTCGCAAACACAGTCCTTTCATGCTCTGACATCTTACGCACTGGACGATCATCATCGGAGTCGGAAGCGGACTCATCCAATTCATCCTCTGTATCATACTCCAACCAGCCTGGGTTCAATCCACTGCGTATCATAGCCTCCTCACACTCCTCTCGGGTATAGAATTTCAGCCTAGCCAACTCCCTTAGGCCCATACTTACATTCTTAGCATTCGCTTCTTCCTCAGGCAACTCCACATCATCTCCTACCTCCCGACCATCCTCAACATCTCCTTCCTCTCTTACCGGCACATTCTCCTCCACATTAACTTCCTCCCTTAACGGCACATTGTCCTCTGCATGTACTTCTTCCCTTAACGGCACATTCTCCTCTGCATGTACTTCCTCCCTTACCGGGTCATTCTCTTCCCTGACCTCCACATCCGCCATATCATTTACTCCCTCGCCCCCCTCCACGTCTTCCTCAATCAATTCTTCCTTCCTACTACACCTCTCCGACAGTTCGTGACAGCTAATGGGTGATTCTATAAGTTCTTTCTTCCCTATCCTACCATCTTTCTTCCATGCAAACACCTCAAGAGATTTGAAATGTGACCCCAATACTATATCTATATATGTTTGCCATTCGATCTCTCCATTCAAGTCTAACATAAATTTATGTGACATGACACCGCCGCCCACATCGTATCTCCCTTGCATACCAACCGACTCATCATTCCAATCCAATTCATGCTTGATGCGAGACATTAACTCCTCAAAGGTAGGCTTCGCAAAAAACACTAATTGTCTAACTGTCATTCCCTCAAATTGGCTTCCATGTGTACTTTCATCTACCACACAACCACCATAATGAAGCCGGACCAATCTATCCATCTACAATTTTAAACCCATGCATAAACATTAATTACTTGAAAATAATATGTAATTACCATTGCAATACCAATACTTCAAAAGCTAACAACATGTCTAATTTTTCCAATAAATAAGTACATTACTCAAATACTACACATTATTGATAAAAAAAAACTCTACTCCTACAAATTACCTACCCTTCACCACACATCAACCCCTTTCAAACCCTCTCAATCACCACAAATCCATCCCACATCCTAGGCCATCACCACACATCCATCTCCCATCAAACCCTAGTGCATCACCAAACATCCATCCCAAATATATTTTGTCAAATGTATCAATAACAACCAAATGGATAAAGATATGCCACTTCCACACTTCATCCCCACCCATATTATCCATCTAATAATCCATCCTTAGCCAACTATTATCAAACCACGTCTACAACCAAAACAATGCAAAATATCCAATAAAACTTTGGGGAACTTAGGGTTTATAGAGGGGTTTACCTTCTCTTCCGATCCCAAACTCAATGTCGCACAAATCACCTTCGATTAGAGAGGTTTTTGGGGGAGATTGGGCGAGGAGAACGCGGTGGCGACCGAACCCTAGGCGGGCGGCTGGGGAAAAAACGGAGGAAGAACTGGCTGGGGCGGCCTCGGCCGGGCTCTAAGTAGCCAAGGTCAGCGCCAACTTACTTGGCGCTGAGGTTAGGCACCTCAGCGCCGAAGCGGTTGGCGCTGAGGTAGCTGCCACGTCAGCTAGGGGATCGGCCCGGCCGCCACGGTGGCACAATGTCAGCGCCAGTCCCGTTGGCGCTGACACGGCCAACCTCAGCGCCAATGCGCTTGGCGCTGAGCCGACGGCCTAGTTTTGGTTGAAGTTTTTGGCAGGGGTTAGTTTCGAATTAAGTTTTTGAAAAGGGTCAATTTGTCAAAAAAACGGCATATTCATTCATTCGTACTTGTACGTGCGGCAAGCAGACTAGAGTGTGTGTCAGAAATTGGGACCCAAAGGAGGCAAAGGTAGATCTGGAGTTTCTGGACTTACATACCTATAGGGAGGGAGTGACTAGTACTCCAGTTTGGGAGCAAATGTGGGGGAAATAGCTTGATTGATGAGCTATAATAATAAGCTGAGAGGGTGAAGTGCGGTGCGGAGGCAAGACGACCACATAATAATAATAAGAGTAACATAACCAAAAAGACAAGCAGCATCTCTCTCTCACGCGCTGCTGAATCCATCCCATCCACATCTCATCCCATGGACTCCGCCGTGCGACCGCCCGTCGACGCCGAAGAAGCCCGCCGCCGCCGGAGCACCGACTGCATCTACTTCCTCGCCTCCCCGTTGACCTGCAAGAAGGTCTTGCCTTTCCTTTACTTTCCTCCTCCTTTCCTTTTTCTTTTCATCCATCTTTTTCCCCCCTTCTCCTCTTGCTCGATTACCTCCCGATCTGCCGCTTCTCTCATCTGCTACACCCACCCCCTCTTTCGATCTGCCTTCCCTCCACTCTATCTTGATTTCTTTTCATTCCCTTACTTTTACCTTTGTAAGTCTTCTTGGGAAATTCTCTCTTGTAGATTAGAAAGATGCTACAACAGTAGATTCGTTTGCCCTTTCAACTAATTAATTAATTCATTAATTCATCTGTATATATAGCGTATGCGATGAGATGACATGTCCTCAGCTCGCACAAAACTTGTGTTTGTGCTAGGTTTTCGGTTCTACTACTACTTACTAGGCTAAGCTCAAGGCCGGGGGGGGGGGGGGTGCGGTGCATGGCTAGGATCCTCATGTGCTGTGGTGGGGGACAACAAAACATTTCGTCGCTCTTCATCACATCCTTTACTTACCTCACCATCTCACCTGCTTATTTTCTAGCTATGTGCCCAATATTAAGACAATACTCCACTAACCCATAAATATAGTTCTCTTGTCGGTCTCTCCATATGCACCTTGCTTCAATATTCATATATGAAAACTTCCATTTTTGAGTAGATTATCACGGAGTACGTCATCGGTTCCAAGCCAGAGATTTATTTCATTTGTCGTTTCTAATGCGTTGCACCTTACTGATTCATTCATTCTTCACCTGCAATGCTCTTTAGGCTGTGTTTAGTTCACATTAAAATTGGAAGTTTGGTTGAAATTGGAACGATGTGATGGAAAGTTGGAAGTTTGTGTGTGTAGGAAAGTTTTGATGTGATGGAAAAGTTTGAAGTTTGAAGAATTATTTTGGAACTAAACACGGCCTTATTTCAATATACTGACATCATCTTTTTCCTTTACTCACTCAGGGAAGTGAATGTGAGTACCGTCATAGTGATGCTGCCAGGATGAATCCTAGGGATTGCTGGTATTGGTTCAATGGCAACTGCGCTAATCCTAAATGCTCATTCAGGCACCCGGTACTCCCTTGCTCTCCGTTTTTTTTTTCTTCAACCAAAACTACTGCAATTATTATATGTTTAGTGCCACTGCGAAACATGCCGACACTGTAAGCTACTATATAAGTTTCTCCAATTAGCTTATTCTTGTGGCAACAATTCTTGTACACAACTGCACATGATAATACTTACTCAATCAAATACTACGAGCAACCTGGGGTTGATAACTAATAATCTTGCTCACTTTTCAGCCGTTGGATGGCCTGGTCGGAGCACCCACAACACCACGAACATCTCAACAATCTGCACCACAGGTTTCTGTGCCTGCTCAAGCTCCTGTGCCTAATCCTGCCAGTGGCACAGCCAAGCAAGGAGTTCCATGTTATTACTTTCAAAAGGGCATGTGCGTAAAAGGGGATAGGTGCGCCTTCTTGCATTTGCCACAGGCTACTGGAAGTCCTGCCCCTCAGCACACAACAAAGGTTTTTGCTCCTGCTTCTGTGCCTCATCCTCAGTTGAAGAACTCGTGGACAAAACCAAACTCTTCTGCTCAGCAGAATGCACCTCCTGCCATATTTGACAAGCCTAAGGACAGTGCTCATAATGGCAAAACTGCTCAGAAGCAAAATTTGACAAACAGGGCTGGTCACTCGTCAGGAATTATTCATGATAAAAAAGGTTCTTATATGCCATCGGGTGTAACAAAGAATTACCGACCTCCACCCTCAACTGGAGACGATTTAGCTGAAAATGGTGTGGAGATGGGTGAATTTGTGAGGGAACCTTCTCCTGGTTCTGATGTTCTTACTGGTGGTGCTGATGACAATACTGAACAGTCACTCAGGGAAGACCGTGGTGCTTACCGTCGTACTAACGGGGAGCAGCACATTGGGATGCTTAGGCAAACTCATGATAGTTATGGATTTGAAAGGTCACACAGAGGTTCAGCTGAGAAATTGTTGTCAGAGAGTAGGTTTTCTCAGAGAGAACCTATGCCTTTGACTGCAGACAGTTCAGATTTGCGGCAAAGGCTATTGAAGCAAAGAAGGCTCAATAATCCCAGATCAGGGCAGGTCTCTGATAGACATAATGTCTATCCTGAGGATGAACGCCATGACCGTCATCGTCAGCGTGGTGAAGAGCAAGCTTCCAATGACGGCGTCTCAAGCTCTCGATTGCGTGGTAGAATAAGACTTCCAGCGGAAACAACGTTTGACAGACTTGGCTTACAGCCTGAGAAAGAGAGAGACAGAGGGCCTCGAGCTAGATTGTCACCACCAAGTCAAACAGACCTTAGAGGGAAGCTTCATGATAGGCTAAAGGCTAAACCAAATGAGGATGTATCTGGTAATGTACAAAGTTCTTTGTCAAAAGCAAATGAAGATGCTGAATCGTTGAACTTTGCTGGGCCAAAGAGCCTTGCAGAGCTGAAAGCAAAAAAGGTTGCAGGCAGTTTAATGAAGAGTAGTCGTTCTTTAACAGGGCCAGTTCGAATGACATCCGAAATAGTTACCATCAAAGACTCTTCGGACCCTGTTCTGTTTGATGGCCCAAAACCATTAAATGCCATCCTGAAGAGAAAAAGAGAGGCAGATTCTGGAAATGCTACCGATTTTGGCAGCAAACGGGAAGAACATTCTGGGGGAGATGAAGAAGGATCTCAGAATGATTTCCGAAACATCGAGGATGACATAGTTGGAATGAACACCGAGGGGAATGGAGAAGAAGCCTTCCAACCTGAAGACGATGTGGTGTATGGCGACAGCCTGTCTCCTGCGGATGACATTGCTGCTGAAGCTGCAGACGATGCGAGCAGGGAGCTGGAGGAGCAGCAAGATGTAGAGACAGCAGAAGAGTACGACTACGAGATGGATGACGTTAATGCGGCGGAGGAAAATGACTACCAGGAGTATGAAGACGAAGACGATGATTTGGAGGACGACGACGATTTCGCGCGCAAAGTGGGTGTGATGATCACTTGAAGCTGCGTTGCAGTAGGCGTGCCACTATATATGGTATGACCGAAGAATTGAAAGATGTGTTAGTATCCCTCCCAACAAGATGTTGGTCTGTTTTTCTTGTGGTGCTAGATACTTTTACTTCACTGCGCCAGAGAATTCAGCTAATAAAGTTGGGAGGAAGATAAAATTGGCTCATCGGAGAGCTTGTGTTTCAGCCAAGAGGCGGCTGCTTGTACTCTAATGTGTGGGTGTGCTCTCCTCTGCCTGCTTGTGTTGTTGTATCATTAGTTAAATCAAAATGACCTAACAGGTTACACAATGTACTACTTCTATTTATATTCATCAGTGTATAAGATGATAAAAGGCCTTGAAGCCTTTTCTTTCTGGTAGAGAATACATTGCTCTTACCTCCAGATTTAACATTTCATTTTTCTTGCTTTTGAATTGTGTATCTCATATTGCAATTTCGATCTGTGTCGCTTTGCTGGGTCGAACACAGCAGACAGTTCATTCGCGTATATTTATGCACAAGAAAACTGTCACCCTACAAATCGATGCCTCAGATAGCAAACAGACAAGTCATGGCGTCTATTTTTCCGTCTTAAAAAGTAGAGTAGGAGATGAGCTCAAAAAGGAGGACGAGAAGAAATTTATCATCTAAACATATTATCTTCGAATACTCCTACAAAGTATTACATACATATCACCGTATAAAATCTGCCGTGCGGTGTTTACATCACCTTTGCAGTGGCTTCAACAGGTCTTTGAGAGGCCCTCGCCGCTGAACATTCTTGGCCTGCTGTTTCTCTGCGTTGCAGCTGCAGCTGCTGGTGTTGAGGTTTTCGCCGCAGCCAAGGCAGAGACCTTTGCAGGTGGGACTGCACAGGGCATCGAGCGTGATCTCCAAGTGAATGATGTCCCTGATGTGCTTTGAGATATCAATCTCCTTTTCTCCAGCTGGGAAATGCAGCCGGTCATCCCAATCTATATCTTCATCGTCTCCATCTTCTTGGCTTCCGGTTAGCGAAGGAGCTTTGGTTTGTTCTTCTTCAAATATCGTGCCGAGATCAACCACATCAGGTTCCTCTACTCTGTCTTCGGTCAGTAAGAGGGAAAAATTGGCAAATATACCTTGAGGCGCTGGCTCAGCACACCTGAAAATGAAGCACAGTGCGTTTCAGTATAGCACTATCAACCTTGTCTTCAAGTTGTGCCAGAATTAAATTAACCAAAAAAAATAGCCTGTTTCTACTTTGTGAACAACTCATGTATTGTCAACAACGAAAGTGATATTCACTGAATATATACTAGTTGTTACGTCAACAAAAAAAAAACTAGTTGCTTCATATTCAATCCTCCATAAACCTTTATTATGCAATTACTAGATATATATTATATTATTTCAAGGTTTGCACACAAGAGCAGCTTAGTCGGACAATAAATTTGGAAACTTCCCACAATGGTTGTGAGCTAAAAGAGAAAAATACTGTATTACCTACTGTATGAGAGATGAAGTTGAGATTGTTGTCCTAAAGTTTTCCTCCTACGGAATAGTTATTTATTTGTTTGACTAATTTAACGAAAAAACTCACAGCTAGCTTCAACTTAAAGTGAAGATATGCCAAATGTAACAAACTAGTACTAGCTGTATGGAGCAGTGAAGTGTATTTGACCGGTAGGCAAAGTCCAATCCAGCATGGACATAGAAGTGAAAAATTGCACAAGACAAAGCTAAAAGGGTGGGTAATATGATGTATTTATGAACAGTAGTAGAGGTGATAAGTTAAAAAGATTGTTACTGTACTTGCCTTTGCCTAATGAAACCAATTTCTTTGGGTCATACTACTGCCTTGTCTAAAAGGAAAGGAAAAGAGAGGTTTACCCATAGCAACCGAGGGTGATGACAGTGCGGACGATGCCGTCGAGGCGGAGGCGGCCGCGGCGCCTGGCAACGTCGAGGGAGACGAGCACCGGGGTGTCATCGTCCTTGGTACCGGTAAGGTTGGTGGAGGAGAGGATGAGGATTCCCATGGTGGCGGCGCGCGCCCGAGAGTGAGTGGAGGAGAGGTCGCCAAGGCCGAGGCGCTCCAGTGTGGTGGCGTACTCGAGGTGGTGAACCGACGCGTCCCGCCGGTACACCACCGCGCCCTCCCACGGAGAACCCTCCTCGTCTTCTTCTTTCTCCTCCTCTGGGTCGTAGTCGACGGTGAAGAAGTCGTCGTCGGCGGCGGCGGCGCATGGGGAGTGGGAGAGACTAGGAGAGGGTTGTGGTCGGAAGAAGAAGGAGCAGGTGTGGTGGAGTGGGGTCATCGCCATCGGCGGGGGAGGGGTGCAGGTGCGAGTGCGGCGGAGGACCAAGGGCAAGGCTCCTGCGACGCCCCCAATGCCAAACCCAATCATCATCATCTTCTCCACCCCCCAAGCTTCTTCTTCCTCCTCTTGGTGCCATCGGCCATCCCATCCTCTCCCGCGTGTTGTAGGGCCCATGGGCTGAATCATTTAGTAAGGCCCAAGGGATGCGCCGTGGTGCGCGGAAGTAACAGCCCATCGCTGCTCATGGAAATGCCAGTTTCTCCAAAAGACGCTATGTTTATAACAAGTAAAAAAACACCAGTAACAAAAAAAAAAGCATGTACTAGTATCTATCTATCTATCTATCTATCTATCTATCTATTATATTATTAAAATAGCTTTGAATAAAGACACCACGTTCGCTGTCGAGGCTAGTTAATCGAAGAAAAGAGAAAAAAGCTACACCGTTAGATTACAATGAATATAAATTAAAGGGTGTAGGTTTATCAGAAAAAAAAATTTTATCAGTACGAAACAAAGTCTATCCAATACATAATAGGAAAGTTACTCTATTATATTATTAAAACAGCTTTGAATAAAGGCACCACGTTCGCTGTCGAGGCTAGAAATTCTCACATTAATCGAAGAAAAGAGAAAAAAGCTACACCGTTAGATTACAATGAATATAAATTAAAGGGTGTAGGTTTATCTGAAAAAAAATTTTTATCAGTACGAAACAAAGTCTATCCAATACATAATAGGAAAGTTACTCTAATCTTTCACGTACGTGCATACATGCATGTTGGATTCCTAATAGTATTTGGACAAGGATGCTTTCCGATTGGGTGTGGAAAAAAAGGAAAAACAAAAGATGCACAGTCCATGGAAGAGTACATCTAGACTCAAATCACTTAATTAGCCAGATAATCTTGCTGTCACGCAAAAACCAGGCGCATTAATTCATCTTTGATATCAACACGTACACCTACACGATAGATTGTTGGTAATAATTTTGTAGCTTACTAAAAGTTTTTTTTCTACTTAAATACATATTTAAGGAGTCTGTTCACTATATTGGAACTAGAAAAAAAATATATGCACAATTACATTTGTTGTTTAATTACGAAGGGTTTAAATTTACTCCATTGATCATACTTGAAAAAAAACATTTACTCCAATAATCATATTTGAAAAATTCTACACCACTAATATTGGTTGATTTAATTTATAATAAGTTATAACAAAACATATATAGTATATAAGTTAATTGTATAAGGAAAAAATATTTCTTGGCATAATAGACCACCTTAACAAATAATAATTATAGACAAGCTAGCTCGAACGGGAAGGAAAAAAAACACAGTCCCTGTCTTCATAAGAATCTAGCACTTTGTGAACCCTTTAGTTGCATGCCATAAGAAAATAAAGATAACTCACCTATGTCGTAGGTTATAGACTTATAGTACTTAAAAGAACAATTTTCACGGAAAACCCTGAACAATTTCCATTGTGTGTATTATATTTAGTTTCCTATGGAGGCTACAAAATCCCACATTAATCCAAGAAAAAGAGGAGAAGAGTTCGAGTAAAAATACATCTAGAAATTATTGAAATTCGGAATAAAAAAATATGGAAAGAAGAGTCCATGTAGAACACAATTAAAGATTAATTAAAATTTGGAATAAAAAATAGAATAAATTCCAAAATTATAAAAATAAGAATAATAAGAGTTCAAGTAAGATTACAATTTTCAAACAATAGAAATTGGAAATAAAAAGAATAAGAAATATTGAAAGATTTCCCACTATACAGCACAATACAAGATTAATGAAAATTAGAAATAAAAACTAAAATTAATTCAGAAATTAGAAAAATAAAAATAAGAGTTCAACTAGGAATATGGTTTATAAATAACTAAATTTAGAATAAAAATAAAGACTATTGAAAGAAGAGACCGTCTAGAACACATTAGGAAGTTAATGAAAATTTGGAATAAAAAATAAAGTAAATTCTAAAAAATAGAAAAATAATTATAAGTGTTCAAGTAGGAATATAATTTATAAATATCAAAATATTGGAATGAAAATATGATTTTTTTTAAAAAAAATAGTCCATATAGAATACAACGATGAGAAATTGCAACAAAGAGAAGAGAAGCAAGCCCGTAAAGGAGTAGGGTGGTGGCAGTTGATGGGGCATAAAAAAACTATAAACAAAATTCTAAATAGAATCCCAATGATGATTAAGAGGAGGGATAACGGCAAGCCATTAAGTAACCGGTCACGACAGTTGGCGGGACTTCTACAAAGTAAAAAAAAATAAACCACAACGACAATCATTTTCGATATTTAAAATCTCAATGATAATAAAATTGAGAGGCACCATGCGGGTCGCATAGGAATACAGTGGTTGAGCCACCAACAGTTGGCGGGTCTTATAGAAAGTAAAAAATAAACTCCAATGATAATTATGTTTGATTTTCAGAATCCCAATTACAATAAAGAGGAAGGCACTGAACGGGCCGTAGAAGAGTACAATAATGATGTTTGACGAGACTTCTAAAAATTATAAAAAATAAAACCCAACGAGACAATAAGAAGTCTTATTTTTTAAAGTTTTTAAGGAGAACGAATAAAAAATATGGTAGATCGCTCGAGCAAATAAATGGGCGATAAAGAAGTAAAAGTAGTGATTGGTGTGACTTTTAAAAATCAAGGGATGATAATGTTCGGTCTTTCAAAGTCCTAAGACAATAAGATAGCTATTTAGCAAATTTTAAGTAATATTATATGTAAAAAAACCGATAATTATGTATGAATGCTAGCCGCGCAATTGCGCGGGCCACCCAGCTAGTTATATTACTAGTTTACAAAAAGAATACCCTGCAACGCAACCAACGCTACGCACAAGTCATCATATGATAGTCCGTCTTGTCAAGATGAGAGGAGCTACAACACCATTGGTTTTGGTTACAGGGTGGTGGACTGGTGATGACGCAAAATAGAGTACGCATCACAAAGATAAAGATGCTATGATCTCTTTTGTCCGCCCTTGCGCTCTTTCCTTCTCTTCAGGCCCATCCAGATCTCCAATGTTGTCATGATACTCCTGCATTGGACAAGCAACATTACTACATGAACACCCACGGTGGTTTAACACCTCTTCTACTCAGGTTTCAGCTAAAAAAAAACTGATTTCACTTTGGGCCACCAACACGTTACACATTAAAAACTTACACTTGCACACTCCATCTACCTTTCTAGACACCATAAGCGGCAAACCCTTACAAAATCAAAACCCAATGCGCATACCTCAAGTATATCCTTAACGTCATCCTTAGTCAGTTTGTTCTGTCTTAGAAGCAACTCTATTCTTGTTCTCATCTGTGAATTGCTGAAAATACATGGCAGGGTCAAAAATATGAGTATTGCACTGCACACCCGACCTCCTAACTCAACAGAGCAAGAAACACTCAAGCTTCACTTACCCAGAGTGCCATATATGCCCCAGAATAAGTGCAATTAACTGAAAAAAACAGCCACAATTATTATAGACACTTGGTAAAGTAAATAAACTAAAGGATCAACCAAGAAAGCCATACAAGTAAGAAAACAACACTTTCAAGTTATTACTATGGTACCTGAAGTGTGTAAAGACCAGCTTCTAGCTTGCGATTGTAGCGCTCATCTTCATCCATCTGAGATAATGAGAATGTAGCTATAAGAATTTTTCATCTGTTCAAATCTGAGACAAAAAATCACCGTGGGGGCTTCCCCCACTGTTTCCGGGTCAAAAAAAAATCTGAGACGAAGGCAACTAGGTAGATAAAAGCACCTCTAGATCATCTAAATCAAGACTGTCAAGTCTTTCAGTCTCAGCTTTCACTCTTTCTGAATACCTGCAAATGAATGAGCAAAGCATGGAGGATAAAGCCAATAGCAGAAAAACACAAGCAATTTTCTTAGTTTTCTTCAAACGAAATATACCTTGTGTAAAACTCCATCAAACGGTCTATCTTTTCACATTCATTCTCAACAAATTTTCCTAGTAACCTGATTCTTCGTGAACCTTTTGTAATACCACCTAAGAAAAAAAAATGCAAAACACCAAACATGAGGAAATAACTAGATTAATAGGGTGTCTGCAGCATCAACAAACCTATATATAAGTAGCACAGACAGGAACAGAGTCCTTAAATGCAAAAGGCATCGGCAGTATTATGTTCAGAAAGAACTCCCCACTGAATTGAATAATTAACTACAGAAAGAAAACATGATTTTTCAATATAGATGCAAACATGATTGTGAATTAACTACTATAGTGTGGTAAAAACCACTGAGTATTCAAGTTCAATGGTGATCTTCCCAGAAGTACTGTTAGATCATTTAAATAGAATAACTGCAGCTGTCCAAATATGCAGTTAAGGCTTGAAATTTTTGCATGCTACGCTATACACTTGGGTTCAACCTTAAAAGGCCAGTATGATTGAAACGATCTGCTATTCAACTACTCCCTCCATTTCACAATGTAAGTCATTCTAGCATTTCCTACATTCATATTAATGTTAATAAATCTAGATAGATATATATATGTCTAGATTCATTAACATCAATATGTATATGGGAAATGCTAGAATGACTTACATTGTGAAACGGAGGAAGTATTTAGAAAATCAAAGGTTGCATCCTCACTTCCCCTAAAGAAACTAGTTTCAACAGTCAATCATGTACTAATGTCTGTTAAGCTGATTTATATGTATATTGTTGATTCGCAGTTGCAGGTATCATATACAGAAGCAATCTGGATGAAGTGTTATAATACTAAGGAGCACCATAAAAATATAAACACCCATATTGGAAAAAACCTGCTTGCTTACCAAACAATGAAGCAATTAGTGAAATGACCCGTTCTTCTAGTGCTTCCTGATAACTCTCTTTTTTGTTTTTCTTGTTCACAGGAATCTGAAAAACCATATCCCGAAATAACTGAGAAGCACATAGGTGATTACCTCATAAAGCAGTTACTATAAGTTAAAAATGGAGACGAATAAAGATGTCATGTAGCAAAGGTCTACTATAAGCTGTTTTTCAGTTGAAACAATAAGGTGTATGCTACTAGTTAACAGCATTTGTGCAATAGAAAAAAAAAAGGAACCTCACATAAATTTGATCAAGTGGACTGAAACTGAAAGGCAAACAGGATGCTCTGTTATAATTTGAAAAGGCAGCAGCATGTGTTTCAAGTTACTTAAATCAGCAATGTATGTGTTTTCCATGTAATGTTGGTTGAAAAGGCTGATGCAGTTGAACCACTTTCATCCATTTTCAGATTTACTTCCCAATAGAAACTGTAACTGCAGACCATAAGAACATATGGCCGGGTTAAAGGTAATAGTGATAAATTTAATTCTCTTGCATATTACTGCATCACAGCATTGATTGATGTTCACAATTGAAACTATATAGGATTTGATCAGTATAGGAGTATACAAGCACTTTCATCCATTTTCAGATTTACTTCACAATGGAAACTGTAACTAAAGAGGATGAGCATATGAGGCTTCAGGAAATGGTTATCAATTTAGTTATCTTGCATGTTAGTGCATCACAGGGCACCGCATTGATTGATACTCAGCATCCGAAATCTTATAAATGAGAAGAGAAAAGGAGTAGCAGACACTTGCCTTACCCATGAACGCAGCAAAAGCGGTCTTCAGCCCAAGTACATCAACAAAGCGCTCGCAAGCAGGTGGGAACCTAGTCATGGCAAAATCGAGGGTCCGGATGGCAGAGCTGTATGCCAGCTTCTTCTGCTTCATGATGATGATCATGAGCTCGACGCCCTCCGCCTTGACAAATCTTTCCTTGTTCTCCATGGGCATGAGCACACAGCAGAGGCAATCGAAGAGGTTCTCGAGCATCTCCTCCTCATCAGAGGTCTTTGGGTCCCTGGACTTGTACATGGCAACGGCCTGCAGCAGGCCGTCGACTCCATTGATGTTGCCCAGGCGCTTCTGGTTGGCGGGGCTGTCCTGTAGGAGGATGGCGAGGATCTCGGAGGCGTACTGCTTGTTGGCATCGAACTCGCGGGCCTTGAGGCGGGCGAGGAGCCAGCGGAGAAGCTTGGTGCGGTCGCAGACAATGTCGGCGAGTTGGGGGCGGAGCTCGAGGAGGTTTTCAACGACAGAGAGGGTGTGGTGGACAGCCTCGGCTTCGTCGGGGTCGGCCTCGGAGAAGCGGGAGAGATTGTGGACGAGGAGGTCGAGGGCGTTGGCTTCGACGAGGGCGTCGGCGAGGGAGTGGAGGCCGGCGAGGTCGTCGGGGTCGTCGGAGTCGGTGAGGTCGGCGAGGAGGGAGGCAGCGGCGGCGGCGAGGTCGGCGTTGTCGTGGGTGAGGAGGGAGGAGAGGGAGGAGGCGAGGCCGAGGGGGACGAGGTCCGGGAAGAGGTCCGGGGCGCCGGCGAGGAGGCGGAGGCGGTCGGTCTCGGCGTGGAGGGCGATCTCGGAGTCGGCGAAGCGGGCGGGGTCGTCGGGGTGCTTCATGCGGGCCTCGAGGTTGTCGCGCAGGCGGCGCTCGAAGGCGAGCAGGAGGCGCTTGGCGGCGCGGAGGTCGAGCACCTCCACGTCGTCGGCGCCCTCCAGGGAGGAGAGGTCCACCGCCCCCGCAGCGCCGTCGTCGTCGGCGTCCGGCCGCTTGCGCTTGTGCGCCGCATCCATCGAAAGGAATAGGGGGAGGGGGAGAGGCTAAACCCTAACCCTAGCCAGCGAGCGCGGGGCCGGAGGCGGAGGCGGCTGCCGCTGCGGAAGAAGAAGAGTAGTAGAGCTCTAAGATTCGTGCAGTGCCGGATGACTAGATGATATGAGGCTCTCAGTATACTCGCAGCAGCTACTGATGACATACAGTATGTTAAAAAACAGCAGCAGATTGAGTACTTTGATCAATTTCTGGGCTGGATTATCATCAACATGTTGCAATGCAACTACAAATGAGATCTACAAATAGATAAATGCTTTCATCAATTGATTGATAACCAGATGATCGAGATGAGGCATTCATTTCATACATGACAAGCAGATTAGAGGTCAGAGGAGAGACCAGCACATCACATACGTAGCTCCATAATACTAATACTCTACCAAGAATTAATAATAAGAAGAAGAGTAAGCCGTTACATTCATGAAAATGAACAGAGAGACCAGTCACAGGCCAAGAAAAAGCTATTACTAGTACTTGCCTTAGGAAGGTACAGTAAGTTAAAAGTTGTTTTCTGACCAAAGGATGACTCTACAACCAGAACGAGTAGCATTCAGGTAGGCTTTGTCATGCCTTGGGGGGTTCTTCGTTCTATCCACTGGAGTAGAACCCAGCAGCAAGTTTTTATATTAGCAGGATCAGATGAGCAGCACGCCTGCCATAAGCAGCGGATGATGGTCGCTTTCATTTTCATTTCTTGTGCGCCCTGTAGTCTGGGGAGTTTGGTGGCAATGGTGAAAGCGGGTGCCTCGATGATGAATCTGCACCATTGAAATCGATGGTCCGACCCACTGGGCTCGTATCCTTCAAACTTGATGATTTGCGCTTGTGCTGCAACAAACATATACATGATGACATCAAACTTCTTTCCAACCAACATTTTCAACAAGAGACAAATTTTCCTTGCCAGTTTATACCTTGGTGGTGGACGCACTGGAGGAATGCTTTCTCTCAGACCGGTGCTGTCGCTCTTTCTCCAACAGAGCCAACAGTTTTTTGTTCTCTTCGTCAAGAATCTTGTTTTCCTCGAATAGCAGCTTGACCTTCAATTGAACACAAGAAAATTTTCTAGCCATCAGCCAGGCGGCACAGGTTTCTTAATGATGCAGAAATGAATGCAAGGACAAGAGTGTTTCACTATCTTACCTCCTCCTCTGCTTTATTAAGATTGATCCTTAGGTTTTCCTTGTCCTTGTGCAGAGCTTCAACTTGAGTGGTCAATGCAGAAAGCTGCATATGGAATTAGAATCAGAATAGATCAAGCAGGGGGCAGACGGTGCTATAGCATTTGTTACTAACATCTCAACACACGAGCTTAGATGATCAAATAGTTAAAGCAGAATATTCAACAACAGTTGATCAAATTTTTACTAGTTTTTTTTTGGGATCAAAGAGGAACGAAGCCGTTTCCCTCATTTACATTAATAGAACGGCAGGGTTTACTACATACTAGTAACAGAGAACAAAATTAAAAAGAAAATGCAGGCCTCCGCTCTACTGGTGCCATCCCAGCAACTTGAGGCTATCCTGAAGAAAACCATCTACTGGCAGCAAAATTTTACGACATTAAAGCGAAACATGTACTGAAGAGTTCTCAATCCAACAAGACCACATCACATCTAGTAGAGGGAATATTAATTAATATTCATACTAGGGTAAAAGAAAAGAAATTCACACACATGCCGCGCCAAGAATGAAAGAAAGGGGATGCGAAGGAGGAAGGGTACTGACGGTGGTGTGGTCATTGAGGCGTGCGCGCATTTCGTCGTTCTCCTTAGCGAGGTCGTCGCAGGACTCCATGGCGCGTTCGAGGTCCCGCTCGTAGAGGGTGCACTCCCGCTCAAGCTTGGTGGAGTGGGAGGAGAGGTCGTTGTAGGCGGAGACCATGGTCTCCTTCTCCTCGATGCAGCGGCGCAGGCCCGCGGCGTTCATGGTGGACTCCGCCTGTGCACCAGATCCAGCAGAGCAAGAGCAGTTGCAGTTAGGGGAAAGGGAAAGGGAAAGCAGATTGGTATTGGTATTGGTACTAGATTAGAGATTAGTTACCTTGAGCTGTTCGATGCGGCGTGCGGCTGCGCGGAGGTCCTCCTCGAGGACGAAGACGTGGTCCTGGAGGCGGCGGCGATGGTCCTCGGAGGCGAGCAGCTTGAGGCGGAGGGAGCGGTCGGAGACGGGGAGGCCGAGCGAGTCGTGGATGGAGTCGCGGATGTAGTCATCGGCGCCGCCGGGGAGAGGGGTAGAAGAAGCATCCTCCTCTCGCTCCATGGATGATCGCCTTCTTCTCTTCTCTTCTTCCGGCGGCGGCGGGGGCGGCGGCGCCGACGAGGAGAGGAGAGGAGAGGAGGCGGCGGATGAGGGTGAGGGTTGGTTGATCGATCTGGAATTTCTTGGGGAAGAGAATGTGGGATCCGGATGGATTTTGAACTGAACCCGCTGGATAAGGCCGGGGTGACCGTTGCTGCTATTATTGGGCCGGGCCTTCTCTTTCGATCTTTTCCTTCCCTATTTCGGCCTATTGCAGGTTCTCTTTATTTAGACTTAACTTTATTGACTTAGACTTTTAATAAGTCAGCTTATTAGTTTATATGATTTATATATATAAACCGATGGATTTAATGTTTTAAGTTTAGTGGTGAAGTCACATCTCTACTTCACATAAGAAAAAAAAAATCTCCAAACTAGTTTTTGGCTTGATGTGTTGAGCGGCTTATGGCTTCAAAATAAGCCAAAAAAAAAAAACTGTTTGATTAGGCTTAGACTTTTTGGCTCGTAAACTATTTACTGGGCTCATTTTAATTCTGCAGTTGCTTTCATAGGCACGCGCATTGTGATTGGATTTCAACTGCATATCGCACTACTCCTGCGGTAAAAACAAAAATCAACGTTTAGGATAAGATTCAACCAAATTTTTAAAATTCCAACCATCACTATATTCGGATAAATTTATAAATTGTAAGTTGATAATACTATGGTGAATCCACATATACCAATTTTTTATATTAAACGAAGCTTTCGGGAAATTTTTTATGGCCATAATTTGAAAAGTTTAATACAATCTTGCTAATACCGACCATTATACATTCCAGACCGATGCATGAGTTGACCAATGGACAAGTACAACCTTCTAGCTCTGCTTGTACTTGTAGAATAGAAAAACAGTGTCGGCGGCAACAAAATTACAGAGCCCCAGAGGTTGGTCTGATTACGAGCATATGCACGCAGTATTTTATGAGATAAAAAAATCAATCTGTTTAAGATATCGATATTTCGTACTTCGTTCTGACATGTGTCAACCTCATTAGCTAAGGTTAAAAAAAATATAGTCCAGAAGAATTACTGTAATGTAATACTGTAGTGCTGGCCAGTTTTCTCCATTGCAGGCAAACCTCTCTATGCAATAAGTCTTGGGAGATGAGATGTGGAGGCCCCAGTGAACAAGTAGAATATGTGGGCAATGAATCAATTAAGCATTTCGTTTCCTTGGAGAGCTAGTTAGTGGTAGCGGATAAAATGAAATGTAGGGAAGGAATACAAATGAAGAATCTCACAATGCGATGATGACGATGGAAAGAAATGCCTTGCTTGCCTGGACTCTTGCCGGTCTCGTCCTTGATACCATAACTTGTTCACTTTAATTTGTTCTCCATCAATCGCTCAAGCAATCCATGCTGCCGCAGAAGGTGGTGTAGGTACATATAAGAAATGATGCCTGCCTGCTTCTTGGAAGTCATCTTTCTTCTCTCTCCCTCCTTCCTTCCTCTTGATCATCTAGTATAAATTGAGGAGGCTTGCTGGATCCATACAACAACAAAGACAGTAGTATCATATAACAGCAAGCAAATAAGAAAGCTAGGTAGGGCATTCCTCCCTCCTCAAGTAGAGAAGAGCTACAGCTGCAGCTGCAGAGGGGGGCATAATGGCCGTCGGGTTGAGGAGATCGGACAGCATTGCCGACATGATGCCGGAGGCACTGCGGCAGAGCCGGTACCAGATGAAGAGGTGCTTCCAGAGGTACGTGTCCCAGGGTAAGAGGCTCATGAAGAGGCAGCAGCTCTTGGACGAGCTCGACAAATCCGTCGATGATAAGGCCGACAAGGACCAGCTCCTCCAGGGCTTCCTTGGCTACGTCATATCCTCCACACAGGTAGGAGAATTACTTACTTTCCTAGGTACATGCGCATCTCTCTGTCAATCCAACATCATCCATGGGCCATGCAGGAGGCTGCAGTGCTCCCCCCATTCGTCGCATTCGCTGTCAGGATGAACCCTGGCATCTGGGAGTTCGTCAAGGTCCATTCCGCAAATCTGTCCGTCGAGCAGATGACACCGTCGGACTACCTCAAGAACAAAGAGGCCCTGGTTGATGACAAATGGTTAGTCAATTAAATATTCACATTTGCTTTCCGTGTAGCTATTACTATTGCTATTTAATCAACATCCTTTTTTGCTTTATAATCTCATAATCTGGTTGGTTATATCTAAATTAATTAATTGGCTGGGTCAGGGGGGCTTACGATGACGACTCCCAGCTGGAAGTCGATTTTGGCGCCCTGGACCTGTCGACGCCTCACCTCACGCTGCCCTCCTCCATCGGCAAAGGCGCGCACTTGGTCTCCAGATTCATGTCTTCCAAGCTGACCGACAACAAGAAGCCATTGCTGGACTACCTGCTGGCGCTCAGCCACCGCGGCGACAAGCTGATGATCAACGACATCCTTGACACCGTCGACAAGCTTCAGACAGCACTGCTTCTCGCCGAGGTTTACGTCGCCGGCCTGCATCCCGACACAAACTACTCCGAATTTGAGCAGAAGTACATGCTGTATTACCATACCTGGTCAACTACCAAAAGCATGCAACACGAATACATGATCCAATATATATTTGTAATGCATCATGCAGGTTTCAGGAGTGGGGACTGGAGAAAGGCTGGGGTGACACTGCTGAAACATGCAAAGAAACACTAAGCAGTCTCTCGGAGGTGCTCCAAGCACCGGATCCCATCAACATGGAAAAGTTCTTCAGTACGGTGCCCTGCGTGTTCACCGTTGTCATCTTCTCCATCCATGGTTACTTTGGCCAGGAGAAGGTCCTCGGTATGCCAGACACCGGTGGTCAGGTTGTCTACATCCTGGACCAAGTTAGAGCTCTGGAAGACGAACTGCTGCAAAGAATCAAGCAGCAGGGCCTGAATGCCACACCTAAGATTCTCGTGGTAATTTAAGTTTTCAACTAACAATTGCATGCATACCTGGGCCATCCATATCTATTATATTATTAAGACAGCTCGAAAAGGAGGCACCACGTTCGCTGTGGAGGCTAGAAATTCCCATATTAATAGGAGAAAAAGAAAAAAGAAAAAGAGAGTCCAAGTAGAAATACAATCTAAAAATAGCTGAAATTCGGAATTAAAAATAAGCAATATTGAAAGAAGTTTCCAGAAATAAAAATAAGATAAAATCCAAAATTAGAAAAAGGAAAGGAGAGTCTAAGTAGGAATACAATCTAAAAATAGCTGAAATTCGGAATTAAAAATAAGCAATATCGAAAGAAGTTTCCATATAAGAACCCAATACGAGATTAATCAAAATTCGAAATAAAAATAAAATAAAATCCAAAATTAGAAAAGGAAAGGAGAGTCCAAGTAGGAATACAATATAAAAATAGCTAAAATTCGGAATTAAAAATAAGCAATATTAAAAGAAGTTTCCATATAAGAACCCAATACGAGATTAATCAAAATTCTAAATAAAAATAAAATAAAATCCAAAATTAGAAAAAGAAAGGAGAGTCCAAGTAGGAATATAATCTAAAAATAACTTAAAATTGGAATTAAAAATAAGCAATATTGAAAGAAGTTTCCATATAAGAACCCAATATGAGATTAATCAAAATTCGAAATAAAAATAAAATAAAATACAAAATTAGAAAAGGAAAGGAGAGCTCAAGTAGGAATACAATTTTGAAACAACTGAAATTGAAAATAAAAAATTAAAACATTAAAAGAACATAATACGGTAGTAACTAATTTTTAAAAAAAAATAAATTATGAAATTAGAAAAAGAAAAATAAGATTTCAATTAGGAATACAATTTATAAATAACTAAAATTTGTGATAAAAATAAAGACTATTGAAAAAAAAAAGACCATCTAAAACACATGACGAGATAAATTAAGTAACATGCCTATAAAGGAGTAGAGTGGTGGCGGTTGATACGACATATAAAAATTGTTAATAAAACACCAAATGGAATCCTAATGACGATTAAAAGGAGGAACGTCAGGTAGGCCGTGAAGCAAACAAGTAAGGCACTTGCTGGGACTTCTAGAAAGTAAAAAAAAACCCATTGATAATCATATTCGATTTTTAAAATCTCAATGACAATAAAAATGAGAAGCAGCGGGCGAGGTGTATAGGACTATAGTTGCAGAGCCGCCGACGGTTGACGGGACTTCTATAAAATTAAAAATGAATTCCAACGATAGTTATGTTCGATTTTTAGAATCACAATGACAATAAAAGAGTAGGCAACGGACGGGCTGTAGAGGGGCACAGTGACATCGTTTGATGGGACTTCTAAAAATTATAAAAAATGAAACTACAAGTCCAATTTTTAAAGGTTCGGAACTTCCAAAAAGTAAAAAAACCCAATGATAATCATGTTCGATTTTAAAATCTCAATGACAATAAAGAAGGGAGGCAGCGGGCGAGCCGTAGAGGAATACAATGGCAAAGCCGCTGATGGTTTGGCGGGACTTCTAGAAAGTAAAAATTGAACCCAAACGATAATTATGTTCGATTTTTAAAATCTCAATGACAATAAAGAGAAGAAACAGTGGACGGGCCGTAGAGGAGTATAAGGTAACGTTTGACGGGACATCTAGAAATTATAAAAACAAAACCCAACGTGACAATAAACTCTAAAAACTATAAAATCCAATTTTTAAAGGTTCCAACAAGAATGAATAGAAATAGTGGTAGATCGAGCAAGCAAATAAAGAAGTAAATGACATAAGGGGTAGCAACTGGTGTGACTTTTAAAAACTATATAATTAGAAACACGAGGATGATAAGGTTTGGTCTTTTAAAGTCTTAAGACAATGAGATAGCTATTTAATAAATTTTAAGTAAAATCATACTAAAAAATATATAATTTTGTTTGGATGCTAGCCACGCAATTGCGCGGGCCACCCAGCTAGTTATCATATATGATACTACATAATCACTTATTGAGAATTCAGATAGATAGTGACATATGAATAAATGCACATATTGCAGCTAACAAGGCTCATACCAGAAGCAAAGGGCACCAAATGCAATGTAGAGTTGGAACCGATTGAAAACACAAAGCACTCCAACATCCTCCGTGTGCCATTCAAGACTGAGGATGGCAAAGTTCTTCCACAGTGGGTCTCCCGGTTTGACATCTATCCTTACCTGGAGAGATATGCCCAGGTTTGCCAGCCAGTTAGATGCCGATTTCATTTCCTACTGCACATATTTTAATTTTACCTGCAGCATTCATTGACAATAAACTTCCTTGAATTATTGTACATGTCGATATCAGGATTCTTCAGTCAAGATTCTCGAAATATTGGAGGGGAAACCAGACTTGGTCATTGGCAATTACACCGACGGTAATCTAGTAGCATCCCTCCTGACAAGCAAACTAGGAGTCACTCAGGTGAAAACGGATCACTACAGCAATAAGATCATGCTGGTTTTAAAATAATGGCCAACTTTTGCATATTCATGAGATTATAATGACTAAATATGCCAACACATCGCTAAAAGAAACTTACCATCACCAATCAACAGGGAACAATAGCGCATGCTCTAGAGAAGACGAAGTACGAGGATTCAGACATCAAGTGGAGAGAATTGGACCACAAGTACCATTTCTCATGCCAGTTTACTGCTGACATGATTGCCATGAACACTAGTGACTTCATCATCGCTAGTACCTACCAAGAAATAGCTGGAAGGTCAGTTACTCCACAAACCAAAATCCTTTTACCTTGTGGCTTAGAACTACCACTATGCAGCTGATAGCCTGACATTGGAGCGTCAAAAATATAAAATGCAGCAAAGAGAAGCCTGGCCAGTATGAGAGTCACTATGCATTCACTATGCCAGGGCTCTGCCGCTATGCCACAGGCATCAACGTATTTGATCCCAAGTTCAACATTGCTGCACCAGGTGCAGATCAATCTGTTTACTTTCCCTTTACACAAAAGCAGAAGCGCCTGACTGACTTACACCCCCAAATTGAGGAGTTGCTCTATAGCAAAGAGGACAATAATGAGCATATGTAAGTACATCCCTTGGGAAGCATATCCAGTATGCAGGATCTTTTTTTTTTACAGCATTGCTTTATTAACAACTCGCATCACATGTGGTATGATTAAATCAGAGGGCACCTAGCAGACAGGAGTAAGCCAATCATCTTTTCAATGGCAAGACTTGACAAGATAAAGAACATCACAGGGCTGGTCGAATGGTATGGTCAGAACAAGAGGCTCAGGGACCTTGTGAACCTTGTCATTGTTGGGGGCCTCCTGGACCCTTCACAGTCAAAGGACCGTGAGGAGATAGAGGAGATAAACAAGATGCACAGCCTGATAAACAAGTACCAGCTCGTGGGACAGATCCGTTGGATAAAAGGACAGACTGACCGAGTGCGCAATGGGGAACTTTACCGTTGCATCGCGGACACCAAGGGAGCCTTTGTTCAGGTACACCGTCAACTTAAAAGGATACTACTATTTTCTTGGTTTTAAACATAAGACTGCAACACTAACCTTATGACTGGACGCTGTGGCTGTCAGCCTGCACTTTATGAAGCATTCGGACTAACAGTCATCGAGGCAATGAACTGCGGGCTGCCCACCTTTGCAACAAATCAAGGAGGACCTGCAGAGATCATTGTCGATGAGGTTTCGGGTTTCCATATCAACCCGCTCAATGGCAAGGAGGCAAGCGACAAGATTGCTGACTTCTTTCAGAAATGCAAGGAAGACCTCATCTACTGGAGCAAGATGTCCACCGCTGGACTCCAACGCATCTATGAGTGGTAACAATAGCCATTCCACCTATCACTCTCTTCTCAGCTGAACCTAAATATATATAGCCATCACCAAGAAAAGGAACAGTAAAATTTGTGCTGTTTGCATCTATGCCTTGAACACTTTAGATCCAGTCATACCATGCTAAAATCCTAGGTGGATACCTTATGTTTTTTCTTAATAAACTAAGGGCCATGCTTGTCTATGGTTGAAGTTACACGTGGCAGATCTATGCAACCAAAGTTCTGAACATGGCATCAATATATGGCTTCTGGAGGACTCTAGACAAGGAAGAAAGACAAGCTAAACAGCACTACCTACACATGTTCTATAATCTTCAATTTAGGAAGTTGGTGAGTTTAGGACCAGTGCAAGACAAACAATATGCTGAAGATCTATGAATATATTTTGTTCATTTCTTTCAATTTTTCAGGCAAAGAATGTGCCAACACTGGGCGAACAACCAGCACAACCTACAGAGAGCGCAGAGCCTAATAGGATCATACCAAGACCCAAAGAAAGGCAAGTGTGCCCATTCTTACGAAATTTACTGAAGAAAGAGACAGGGAACAACTGACTGAAACATTTGTCGTTTGAGCGCTGCAGAAGGACGCAAATAAGGATCCAGAGGTGAGAATTCTCAGCACTGATGAAGCTGCAAAAACAGCAAACAGAGAGCATCACTCCAGACTGAGATATTAATCCATTAATATACTGTTGTGTCATGCAGGATTGCAACCAACTTACTTGGACCACTGCTCCCAGCCTCCAATTTCTCAACAGATGGAGCTTGAAGTAGAGACCAATCGTCAGAACTTTCTGAAGTTGTTGGAGTGAGAAATGTATTGTATAACATTGATTGTGAAGATTTAATAAATGATTACTGTGGGAATAATAAAAAGATTAACATACTTGGTAGCACTGACTACTTATAAATAGTATGCCTGGAGCACATATAAAACTCATCACTCTAAACTCCTACATGTACGGGACACAAGTACTAATTTCTAGCAAGAAAAAACTAAGATGAAATGCTCAAGCCCAGTCGCAAACTCCTCGAATCATAACTACAGACATGACAGTAAAACATAATACATGATAACAATAGTCCCCGCAAAAAAAAAAAACAATAGCATAATATACATACATATAGGGTAACTTTGGCAAACATGACCAGCATAGTACAATGGAGAAGATAGCAGCTGGCAGATTATTATGGGATTTTTTGACACATAATTACAACCATCATAGGCAGGTTGCCAAGAAACGAAGAGCTTTAGCTATGTAGGCCCTAGCTTCAGCAGTAGAACATGACCCTCTTCACACTATCCTTCAGAGCAGGAAGTGGCTTAACAGCTGCACCACCAGGGGCCCGAGTACGTGATGTTGATGAGCCAGAAAGTGGCCCACGTACACCAGGCCCACTAACGACAGAGCTGCTGTCAGATGTATCTGGTTCCATATAGAAACGAGCACGGAAGGCAGCCAGATGAGCATAATAAGCAGGTGGAACTGCAATGGAAGGATTAGAAAGATATTAGCCAGGAGATGAGTCGCTGGAATTTTGAGAAAACTATCCCCAGAAGAAGATAACTAACCAATTGATACAGAGCGAGTGCACCTTGCATAGCTGCAGAAAAAATGATGGAAGTTAGAAACTAACTTTCTATATAAAGTTCACCAGGTGGTCAGAAAAAAAGGGCATGCTTACGTGTAGCAAAGGTTGTTGGTAAGAATCTGCAATGCATCAGCTGTGAAGTTGTTTTCATCCCACAAGACATGATAATGAGCTGGACGACTAGTACCCTGGAGAGCAGGATGTTGTACCTTATTTGTTAAGACTCGTAGAAATACAAAACAAAATCAGAATCCAAGCAATTCCTGGGATTACCTTAATGCCAGCATGGCTACACAGGTAGAAGTCAAACTCAGTTGGATGACAGATCTTTGAATCTACAACCGTACCTTCAAGTATAGAGCATGGAGAAAAAAGTAACCAATTAACCAACAGAAAAAAGATCATTGGTGAAAATGTAAAGCAATATGTTGTTGGAGTTATTCATAAGATCTACCAGGGAGTATGTTCCCGCTCCTGTCAACTGAGTTCTGATCGTTGTGATTATGTGCAAATAATCTTGTGTGGTGACGTTTCTGAACCACAATGAAAGTCACCTTTGGTTGGTAATTTGTCTCCAGGGAGGCACATGCCTGAGTAAAACAAGGACATCAGAATTTAATGGTTACATGGAATATGAAAAAAGAGGGAAGGATACAGGATCTGGCAAACTTTTACTTTTCGGATTGCATTCAATTCATAAAGTAGAACTTGGTAAAATTGGCCTTCACTAACGCCATCCCTGACAAAAGAAAACAAGATCCGGCTTTAGTGGAATTATGATTGTTTCCTGTTCAGTGGAAGAGATGTCCCCTCTAGCAAATTCAACATGTTGCTATGTTTCAAAAGATCCAACAGAAATCATGGATATAGCACATATAATATTTCCAAATCTATAAATCATAGAAAGTCTAATTGTTCCTCCTAAAGGGTAGATACCTGTAAAATATTATTCGCTGGGGCTTCTCACCAGTTGATCTTTTGAAGGATATAAGCAGCTCACTGCATTTTTTGGCAATATAAATATAAAATGGGCTTTAATATCATGTTATTTTAAAAATGAAGAACTATCTGTGAAGTTCTTAAGGAAAGAACTACTAAAAAATACTGAGTAGCATACCGGATCATGCCACCACTAACTGTTCCTCTCTGTGGATCCTGCCAGATTTTATATAGATCTTCTATCAGCTCTTGTCGGTGGGCTTGAGCAGAAACCAACCCAGCATACTTTGTCACCTCAGGCCAATCTTGGGAGGCTACAACCTGCAAAACGATATATAGTTAGCGTAGGCAGAGTAAATTATTACCCTCCAGGGAAAAAAAATTCAGGAACAGGTCACAGGCGATATTCTACTTACAGCAGCAATTGAGGGACTGCTGTCCTCTCCAGGATGAGGATGGGTAACATCAGCACCAAATATAATTGTAGGTCTGTCGGTTACCAGAGGAATACGCCTTGACACAGCATCCACCAGCACAGTGTTCCTGCCCCCAACCTTGCAAAATTAAATGATGAAAAATTCAATAACATAGAAGAAATACAAATTGCAGCGAAAAGGCGTAAATGGATTGCTTTAACCTTGACATTTATCTTCAGAGCAAGATTTGCAAGAATTTGTTTGTTCATTTTGAACACCTGCTTCGTGCAACAGCATTGTGAAACTATTCCAAGATCTATTTCACACACGCGCTTCAAATCACCTTATAGAGAGAAAAAAAATTGATAAAGAATCACATGCACAATACTAGTGAGAATCCAACAACTCTTTGTTATCAGATGCAAACTACAAGGATTCTGATTATCAGACAGACATACCATAAAGCGAGCCATTGTTATCAGGTAGTATCCCAATAAGCAAATCAAGTTCCCTGCGCTGGGGTCCAAGAACGTTCATTGCATCATGATACCTAGCTTTTAGAGCACGCTCCACTTGATCTGGATGTGCATTTAGTGGTGGAAGAATAGGTTCTGGAGCGAAATCCTATTACAATGATGCATTACACTGTTATTATTGTAAATGGTTAATATGAAGTACAAATCTTAGAATTCATGTTGAAAATTTTATATATGGATCTTGGTGTGCTTTGCTCATGCTCAAATGAGAGTTTTGCAGGAAGCATTTCAAGGATACTTGCCATTCCTGAGGCTTGACACATCAGAGCAAGTTCATGGCAGAACCCACGAACAACACTTTCCTGCACATTACGGGCAAAATTGACGCACATCCAGCTTCTGACTTTACCACCATTTACCATTTTCTGCAT